AAAATGTGACAATGAATATATATATGTTCATATATAACTGAAAAATTGTGCTGTTCACTGGAATTTGACACAACATTGTAAAATGATTATAAATCAATAAAAAATGTTAAAAAATAAAAAGTATAAAGATTGAAGAGGAAGAAATAAAACTACCATTATTCACAGATGGCATAATTATGTATGCAGATAATTCAAAATAATCTATGGTCAAACTAAAGGAAATAAGTGAATTCAACAAGATTTCCACCTACCAGGTCAACATACAAAAATATATTGTATTTCTATATACCAATAACAAACAATGACAAAACATAATAAAATGTAGTTTTAAAAGTACATTTACAGTAGCATAAAAAATCAAATAGAAATAAATTTAACAAAAGATGGCCAAAACCTTTATCTGGAAAACAACAAAACATAATCGTGATTAAAGGCTTAAGTAAATGAAAAGAGATGCCATATTCCTAGATTATAAAGATGTCAATTTCCCTCCAAATTGAGCTGCAGATTCAAAGCAATCCCAATACAAATCAAGCACTTTTTTTTTGTAGAATTGACAAGATGATTCTAAAATTTATACAAAGATTAAGAATGGCCAAAATGTGAAGAATATAGCTAAAGGATATACACAACCAGATGTCAGATTTAGTATAAAGCTATAGGAATTAAAATAGCAAAACGAGGCACAAGAAAAGAAAAATACACCAATGAAACAATTCCAGAAATAGACCCACACATACACAATTACTTGATTTATGACAAAGATTACAGTACAGTGCACCGAGGGAAAGAATCATCTTTTAATAAGAGTTCATCTTGATCCCTCCCTCATGTCATACAGAGAAATTTATTTGAGAAGGCAGACACCAAAAAGTACATTTTGTATGATTCCATTTCTCTGTAGGTCAAAACCAGGCAAAACTACCCATGCCCAATGTTAATAGCTCTATGCCAATTTAAGAGAACCACTTGACCCAATTTAATTTCTGAAGTATCAATGACAGCTGACATTTATGACTCTTTCCACCAAAGCTAGGGCGGTATTTCTGTGGAGGAAACACGGTCTCCACTTGCTCAGATGAGCCCATTTATTTAATGAATCCAACCAGACCAAGAGGTGCAACGGCAACCTCTAAAAAACTTATCACAGCGAGGTAAGGGGTTTGCCTGAATGTCAGATGGTGGTTCTGGTCCCAATTCAACTAACTGTAGTGTCAGTTAGGCAAGTCACCCAATGCCTCTGTGTTCTCATCTATGAACTAATGGGATTATTTATCGGCATTGTTGCCTGTCACACATTAGGTACTCAGTAGTCTATGAGTGCATAAGAGTTGGATAGTTTCAAATATATCTTCCAACTTTTTACTATATTCAATTCAATTGACTCCTGTGAAAAGTAGTCGACCAGCAAAATAAAATGCCAATTCAGCAGGTCTATTCTTGTTCCACTACTATTTTGGGGGAAGTCTGGGATTAGAAGAAACTCGCCCTGGAAGGTGATACTAGAAGGAAAGGGTAATGGAAATACAGTGATACAGTAGCCACATTTATTGTAAACAATTTAACTAAAAACCAGAAGAAAACCTCCCTCAAAATGAGCAAATGAACTAGAGTAGAAAAAGATAATTTCTTATAAGACCACTTCCTATCAAGAACTCTCGACTTTTTGAAGAATGTCAATAAAATCGTTTCTCAAAAGAGCTATTGACTTAGTAGACTCACATGAACCAGGCCTCTCCCAAGGAGAAGCAACTGCCTTTGAGGTTTTTGTACTTAGATTTACTGCAAGAAGAGGTGTCAGGTGAGCATACAACGTTAGTCAAAGATGGAGAGAAAAAGGGGGATGGTGAGGACAGCCATCTCTGGAGATTCACCAAGACAGAATTCAACATGTCTGATGCAAGGTAACTTTTGGGGCCCTCTATCTCATACATTCTTCTGAAATAAAATTTTCTTCATTTTTTTAATATTTGCTTAAATTTTCCCCTATTATTTCCGGTCCACCCCTGTTGGCCATGCTAAATCTTTTCCCTTTTTGAAACTTAGATTTAAAAAAAAATTTAAAGAATTGAGAAAACAAGGCACACTGGAAATATGGACTGTTCTTTTACTGCATAGTAAGAAATGAGTGTGAAATGCTGGAGTCTAAAATTAAAATGTAAACAGAGGATGCTCAGTGACCTTTTCTTAGAAGGCTCACATGAACGAATGTCATGGTACATTGATCAAACTTTTACTCATTTGCATTTTCTGATGTTGCTATTAATACCACATGACACTCAACAAATTACACTATAACATGACATTTTATTCGAGTCACGTCACCTCTGGATTCTTCTTCAGCTATGTTACTTCAACCTCTGGTTACTTACAGAAAAACAATGTATTAAAGCCTTATTTAGAGGCAAGGGAAAACTTTTCTTCTACCTCCTTTAGTTCTGTACCTAGGCCCCGTGAATTAAACTGACAAAAGACAGATTAATAGGAGAAAAAGTATACAACTTAATTGCTGTTTTTAACTTTACTTCCATAGGGGTTACACAGAAAAGAAGTAAGAATTCTCCAAAAAGCAGTTTGTCTTGAAAATGTATATACCATTTTAACAAAGGGTAATAAATTATGGAAAAGTAAGTAGGCAAAGGAAAGGGAGTTTGGCTTTTAGGAGTTGTAAATTGTGGGAAAGCAAAAAGATGGGGAAATTGATGGAGGATAAGGGTGATTTTAGTAAGGTTTGTTTATGCAGACTCATTTCAGTGCCATCTCTGTGTCCAGTGATAAGGTCTTCTTCTTCCTGGTACAGGAGAGAGGGGACACCTTTACAAATGGAAATTTATGCCCTGCTTTCAGGCAGAAGTGGAAGGACAGAAAGTGCTTTCTCTTTCTGCTGCTTCTCACTTTCATTCAGCTCAAAATAACCCTTATGCTGAAGAAGCATATCTGGGGCTGGTATATTCTGATCCCCTTAAATTTCTAAGGGGAAGTCAAAGTTCACTTGCGAATGTAAAGATGAAAGAAAGAAAGAAAGAAAGAAGAGAGAGAGAGAGAGAGAGAAGAAAGAAAGAAAGAAAGAAAGAAAGAAAGAAAGAAAGAAAAGAAAAGAAAGAAAGAAAAGAAAAGAAAGAAAGAGAGAGAAAAAGAAAGAGTTGTATGGTCAAATAAGTTTGGGAAATGCTGGGTTAAACAAAGTTAACATGATTTTTTCCAGCAGGAAATAACATTTAATTAGTGGCAATGCATTGTTATTCTGCAAATGGGAATAATAATTGTGTTCCTCAAACTTATGACCATGGAACATGTGTTTCAAAGTATTTTTCAAGAGTAACAGTTTTTGTAATATATGTTGAGAAATATTGGGATTAGCCACTTCATATGTAAGTACAAACATTTAAGTAGCCAATGAAATAAGTGTAAGCCAGGTAAAAAGCTAGCAATAAAGCTGGCAAATGTCAGTCAGTAGTAATGGTGCTGCACTCTGAGTGATGCTCTAGAGGACTGAGCTCAGGTTTGCTCCTATGAAGAAAAACGAGTGTCCAAAGCTCTGGATACCATTGACTTAAAATCCCTTTGTGGCACTGAAGAGAACCAATGAATAAAGAAAAAATGGTCTCATGTGTTCATTTCCATCCTTGGCTCAGTACAGCTCCCGTTGCATTATTCTTATACATCTATTAACATGATTGCTTCATAATTACAAAGGCTAGCTGCCAAGCATTTTTCACAGGAAGCAAGGCACTGCTCACTGCTTGTTTTAAACTGCTCTTTTGGCGTGTGCAAAAGGGTCAGCATTTTTTTTTTTTAAATGGAGCTACTGGGGATTGAACCCAGGACCTTGTGCTTAGCATGCACTCTATCAGTGAGCTATACCCCCACCATGGGTCAGTGTTTTTTTAAAAAATCTTTTTTAATTTCAATTGAAGAAACACCTCTAAAAATACCATGTGAGTGATTGCAAGGTAAAAAGGAAAAAGCACATTCAAGGCACAAAGCTAGGTAAGTGCAATAATATAGATGATCATAGGTGGGGGAGTACAGGACACAGAATTATTATTACTGATATATCACAAGGGTATAGGTACCTAGTGTCTTCATCTGGTCATTCTGTTCTGCCAGAGTTTTAATTTCAGCAGAGACCATTCTCAGTGTTGCCATGGACTGATTTACCAATCAGTAGATTTGATCCTTGATCCTCAAAGGTCAGCTGCTACCATGTGTCCCTCTCTTCATCATCCTTCATGCTTCCTGGTTAGGGGCAGAGCTAAGTGCCCAAGTCAGAGGACGGGTTGGCAACAGCCTACGCTGTCTCGAAAGATTTGGGGAAGAAAGGTGCGAGGAGGACTGGTATTTACTGAGCATCCAGGTGCCAGATATTTTCATAAACATTACCCCATTAACAAGCAACAGATCTTTCCCCCATTTTGTAGATAAAACTGGGACTTAGAGATGTTATAATACTTGTCCAAGGTCAAACCAAATGCTGATGTGTACATCAGGTAGAATCTGAGTCAGGCCTGGATGAGTCCAAAGTCGGTTGTACAATATCATGCTGTCTCTTAATCATAACAAACTTCATTTTTTATAGGAGTACAAATGGCCCATTTATACCATTTCTTTCAGTATCTAGCAAAACATCTCAACTTTTATCATCACGCTAACTTCAAGAGACCTGATAATATTTAGATCTTCTCATTCACTTGCTCAAATCAATGGAGCTATTTATTCCCAACTGCTGGTAGTGAACTTTCTTAACTCAGCATTTTGTGGAAAAAAAAAAGTCTAAATATTTGAATTGCTTAATTTCATGCTCTTTCTCTTGGCATGCATCTTTTTGGTTTGCTTTTAAAAATAAACTCGAAAATCATGACCTATTCAGATATGAAAAAATAAGATGGAGAGCAATGAGAACACTAATCTTTAATGGTCACCTGGCTAGAAAACCTGTGTCTATAGTTAACCCAAATTACATAGAAAACCCTTGAGTTTATGAAGCAATCCACTTACGTGAAGTTGATTAAAAAAAAGCAAAAAAGCAAAAAACTGCCCTAAGACTGTAGATTGGATTCTACCCCACTCTCCCATAGTTGCCACCCTGGTTAAGACTCTCTGATTTGGTTTCCTCATTATTTAAAATAAGAACAGAGCTCTTAAAAAAAAAAAGAATAGATCTCTTAAGTTCCTTAAAAAATTCCACAATTCTATAGTCAACTGCAGCTCACGGGTCTTTCGTCCAGTGAATAAACAATTTAAAATAATTCAAGTTCCACTTTCATCATCCGTTTTTTAATTTGACAAAGGCAAAGGACGTACTCATCTTCCAGTTAAATTTTTTCGTGTGATAGAGAATCAAGCAGGAAAGAAAAAAACCCAGTATGGTCACCCAGCTAGACACAGCGTTAGGAAAAACAGTTTATTTGAGGAGAAAGCAGCACAACAGTTTGCTTATTTTGGTTGCAGGTATCATGATTCATCTCCTCTCAAGGGCAGACAGAAAAACCAATCTTTTCCAGGAAAGACAGTAATACGGCAAAGCTTCTTTCCCTCTTGCTTAGCCTATATATATTTACAAATGAAAATAACTCTTTGAGTGCTAGTCTCATACAGATGCCCACAACACCTGCTTTCAAATTCTTATAATCAGAGAAATTATGTAACAGACTGTTTGGCTCCATCCTGACTTAGATGACAGACATAGCTCTCCTGGGTTGCTTTCCTTGGCATTTCCCTCCCCCTGTTTTCATCCCATCACTTTCGTTTTCCCTTTCCTCACACAACATTTACACATGTGTTCTGATGCAGCAGGACACACTGTAAGATGAGAGTCTGATCATACCCAGCACGGCCTGGTAAAGTTAAGCAAACAGTAGCCACTCAAAAATATCACTGACTTTAATTTCCTTATGAATTCATCATTCCTTCAAAATGTCAAGACCAGAAGCATTTCACTGGCAGCATGCGGTGCTCGCTTAATTCTTCAAAGGTTCGTTGGACACGGTCAAGCCTAGAGGTAGATGCACTAGAGGAGACACTGGGGAAACACTCCCCTCGGCCACTCTAGCAGTGTGGGAACGGGGAAGAGAGAGCGAGCGGGCAGTCCCCCCACCTGCACACACATGCGCATCTCTTCTCTGGTCACCATATAAGCAGAGGGCCCTTGTCAGAAAACATCAGTCTCACTCACTGTTAACTCTACCGTCACAGAATCGTCACTTGACCTCTCGTTCATGTGAGGACAGCACAGTAATCATAGTGTTTTTCAAACTACAAAGTACATATGAATCACCTGGGGACTTTGCTGAAATGCAGATTCCGATTGAACAGGTCTGGGGTAGAGCCCAAACTTCTGCGTTTCTAACAAGTTTCAATGCAATGACGCTGATGCTGACCTGCAAACCACCTTGAGTAGCAAGGTCCTAGTACCACTGCCATCCCAAATCTGGAGCACATTTTACCAAACTAAGGTCTTCTTGTGGCTAGCTGTCTTTTAAGAGAACAGGGTGGAAAACTCTGACCCTCTGCATTGGAAGAAATCCATTCTGCACATGGGAGTTAATTAAGCTTGCTGATTCTCACTGCCCAGACTCCAGATCTTTGTTCCCGCGCAGGTGGATCTGCCAGATTCCTCTTGCCTAGCTGAATGACGAATCTTGACTCAGCCAAACCAGCCTTATCTGATGCCACTTGGCCAGCAACTCAAACAGTAATGGTGTAGCACCTGCAAAAATGCAGGTTCCTGGGCTCTGATCCAGAGATTCTGACTCATTAGGTCTGGAGTGGCCCCAAGAATAAACAGACTTTCTAGGTGACTCTAACACATTCTGAGATCTGGGGGGACAAAATGCATGTAACCACTTCACATTGGAACAACCTATATCCTATGGTGTTAAAGCCTCTCTACCAAGGAAGACAGCAAAGGAAGGAGGGATAAAAAGAAACATGATTTGAGCATCTTATACTGTGACAGAAGAAATGATTTCCTTCTCAATTTGGACACTTGGCTTAAAGCCATTTATAGTTAATTCCTGTAAATATTTGTGTATTTTCTTTAGAAAAGTTCACTAAAAATGTGAACTATTATTCTGTAGAAAATTCTTTTAATTGTAGGTATGATTACAGATAGTTAATGATCAGAATATCAAAAGGAATGGTTAATTACTCTTCTGACTGAACAAATAAAATTGGAGTTGTTCATACATATACACTTTAAAAAATATATCCAAGAACACGAACACTGAGATCAACCAACAAAATTAAGGATGGAATATCTGTTAGTATCATTAAAATGGCAGATGCACGTGTAAAATATAAAAAGTAACTTTACCTAGACTTTATAAATGCAATGTCCTCCCTAAGCAGGGCTACGGTTTGGCTACTTGGGTTCTCTGGGGGCAGATGTGGCCTCCTGAGGGGTGTTACTCTCCCCTGGCACACCTACAGGTCCTGCCATGGCAGCAGTCATCTCGGAGACGGCAGGGACAGCCTCTGGACTGGAACTGGCTCCTGTCTCACTGGGGGTGGCCTCAGTCTCATGGAGGGTGACAGTGGTCTCAGTCTGAGAGGCTGAGGTCTCTTGACTGGAGCTGGCGTCTGTTAGACCAGGTGTGACGTCAGCTTGAGCAGGCATGGCCTCTTCTTCTGTTTCCAATTCTGTCTCCTGACTTTGAACTTCTTCACCTTCTTCTACCATAGCAGGTGGTAGCTGTAATAAAGTCTAATGAAGAAAAAGAAAACATCAAGGAACCCAGATGGAAAAACCACTGGCTTACAAAGCTAAGCTCTCACATTAACATTATCTTCCTAACAGACACTGTCACTCTAGAACTCTCCAAGCCACTGCTGCCCGTTTTATATTGTAGATGTAACAACTCTGATGACAATGGCCTAGGTTTTGCTGACTCCATGGAATATGCCTACACAGGTATCAGATAATAATGAGAGTACAGAGTAAATCTTCAGGGAGAAGAACAACATGAAAAGCTATCAAATTTTTCAGCAGAGGAATTTACTGTAATACTCTGGAAAAAACAGAGACTAATTAGGACTGATTGGCACACCAACTCAAGAAAGCGCTGGCCGCAATCAAGGAGCCCTGTGAGGGTCGGGAGGAGCCAAGCCCTGAGACACGGCCATGGCGGGGCCGAGCAGCAGGGCACACGGCTTCTGTCCCACTCAGCCAGAGCACAGGAGCAGCTCCACAGGCCCGGCTTCCCTGGTAACGATGGCTGTCTGCAGCTGAGGCCTGGCATTAATCAGAAAAGAAAAACTGATACACTGGGACTTTGTCAAAATATAAAAACTTCCGTTTTTTGAAAGACACTTAAAAATGTGAAAACAAGTCACAGACTAGGAGAAAACGTATACAAAACAATCATTTGATAAGGGAACTGTAGTCAGAATAAATTGTAAAGCTCTCAAAAATCAATAAAATAAACAATGCCAAAAAATGAGCAAGAGGCCTGAACAGATATCCTCAGAGAAGATATACAAATGGCAGCTAACCACATGAAAAGATGCTCAACATCATTAGTTATTAGAGAAATGCAAACTAACCCACATAAGAGCACTAGATACCTACTGGAATGGCTGAGGTGAAAAAGGCCAACCATAGTAAGTGTGCGTGGGCTCTCATCCACTGCTGGTGGGAGTATGAAATGGTGCAACCACTTTGCAAGACAAGTGGGCAGTTTCTTAAAAAGCTGGATACATATTAACCACACTATCCAGCTGCCCCACTCTTAGAAATTTACTCAGGAGAAAGTACAAAGACTTGTGCAAGAATGTTCATAGCAGCTTTATTTATAATAGTCGAAATTGTAAACAACCCAAATGTCTATCAATAAATGAATGCGTAAACCTGGTACATCCATAAAATGGACTAATATTCAGCAATAAAAAGGAAAGGACTACAAACACATTCAGAAACATAAATGAATTTAAAAATGATTATGCAGAGTAATAGTAAATGGGGGATAAAAAGATAAACTGTAAGAGTCTATTTACATAAATACCTAGAAAATGGATACTGATTTATCGTAACAGAAAGTATGATTCTTAGTCTCCTGGAGAGGGTGGGAAAGGCATTGGTGAGGGGGGAGAGGGATTATCAAGGTGCAAGAGGAAAATTTGGGGAGACAATAGATCCGTTCATTATCTTGACTGCAGGGATGGTTTCACAGGTATATACAATCATCACAATATATCAAATTATATACTGTAAATATGTGAATTTATTATATGCCAAATTATACCTACAGAAAGATGTCTTTAATATGGATGTTACATGAACAGTAACATCCTATTTTGGTTTAGTTGGTTTCCCTCAAGGAATCAATTACTTCAAAGATTTATTCTGCAACAGAGAAGATTCTACAGCAAGAAAAAGGAGTCAATGTTGAGAAAACTCACCTGATGATAATGATGTGTGGTCTGTATCAAATGCATGTACATGTTGTATACGAAGTTTGCCATCTGGGGCATATTCTTTATTATCTGTACTTCATGAGATGGTCTCTCTCCATTCTAGAAGAAGGCAAAAAGAAAGTTAACTATAGAGTGAAAAACGCTGAAAGCCAGCATTTTAATAGAAGCCCATGTCGCCATCCTATGTATGAACACTTTCCGGGTTTGGAGGACATAAGAATACTAAGAGGACATTAAGATGTAACTGAGCCCAGCAGTCCAAGGATTTCATGAAGAGGAGTGATTCAATTTAAATTCAGAAAAGGTAGAGATAAGAAGAGAGCTAAAAGTTACTAGCTTTTAATATAATTTCAGGCTGGTAAGTAAAACTTGAGTTTTGGTCTACGAATTGATGTAGAAGAATTAATAAGAAATGAGCCATCATTTGACTCAAGAGAAAAGGCAACATGGTCTAAAGAAGTGGTCTCCAATACCATATACGCTCCAAAGGCAATCTCAACATTACTCAGAAAGAAAATATTAAAATTATTCTTTCCATTTGTTTTTCTAAAAAATAAGAACTGAACATTTATTACTATTCAATGTATAGATGGTTCATCATGAGGATGACTATTTGAAAGTCTTTTTTTTTAACCAATAAAGCATCAAAAATGTTGGCAAATAGCAGTCACATGTGAACCATGTGGGGAGAGTGTTAAATCAGAGGTCTGGGCTCTAGCCCCCAGAGTTTTGATTCAGTAGGTCTGAGGCAGCATGAGGTGATTTAGATAGACATGGTTTCTGACAACAATCTGAGAAACACTGTTTTACTGGAGCAGGTAAAGTGGTAAAGCAAACGAAGAAAATACAAAATTTGCACATCTTCCTAAACCATCCTAGAATAAAGATTAAGAACTTTACTATTTAAAGTCAATTACAAAATTTTTATCAAGTATCATCCTTTCTTACTGCAGGAACAATTCAGAAAACCATAAAGGTGAAACATTATCAAGAAAAAGGATATTACCTTAAAGTGACAAATAATTTAACATAAAGCTAGAAATATTTAGTTCAGTAAATACTACTTCTCAGAATTAAAGAGGAGGGCAGTATTGCTGATAAGCAGATGTTCTTTTGATAATGGTCACTTTCTGCAAAGACTGCGATGTTGTTACCACTATGAAATGTTGCTTTTAAAGCCTGGGAGGCTTTTGTTTGTTTGTATTTGTTTGCTTATTTTCTGGTGGCCTTACTGGGAGCTGCCTCTCCTGAGATGTAGTGCTGCTCAGCCCTCCTGACCCCCCACACTGTCTCCCGAGCAGGGGATGGGGAGATGCTCCCAGCCCTCAGGCCCCTGGGCTTGTGTCCACAGTATGGTCTAGAGCCCAGTTTCTAAGCCTTCTGTTCCTCCTGATCTACACTCCAGGTTTTTCCAGGTGTGTCTGTAGCCCTGGGTAGGAAGCACCTGGAGAGTGTTAAACCTGAAGGCACTAAGGCTCTGCCCCAGGCCTCTCATCAGGAATGTGCCTATTTAATACCCAGGCCACCAAAGACTGAGAACCTCAGAGCTTCAGGACTGTGTCCAGACTTCAGAGCCCAACACTCAAGGCTGTACATGACCCCACCCTATTACATCTCTCCATCCTTTCTCTCCTCCTCCATAGCAGCATTTCTTTAAAAAAAAAAAGTTCTCAGCATTATTATAAAATAAACACAGAGAATTTAATCATTTTTTTTTCAAAGAGGAGTGGGGGAAAGAAGTATCCTGTGAATATTTAAGATAGTTTTATTTAAAATTCAATGGATCCCTAAGGCATTTCATTACATGAAAAACACAAAGCTCAGAAGTCTACAACACGCTGACCTCCATGTAAGAAAGAAAACAACATAAGAAAACAAACAGGTATCTACTCCTTTGTGCAAAAGGAAGGATAAGTCAGAAAGTAAACGGACAGGTTACTACAGGAGTAGGGATGGGAAAGGGGAGGAAGAAGGGGGTGGGTGGGTGTGGAGAGGGACTGGAAACCAGTAGCAGGGATGAGGGGAGAGGGGCACTTCTCTGAATCTGCCTTCTGTTAAGTGTATGTGCTGTCTCCTCCCACCTTCCCACAGAATGTAAGCTTCTTGAAGGTTTTCTAAGAGCTAAACCATTTATTACTCTCTTATCAAGTAATTATTTAAGTTCTTCTTACAAAGCTGAAGAGAAGCAATATGGTACAATGGTTATTAAATGGACTCTGGAATCAGACTGCCTAGGTCTTTAAATCTTGGATTCTCCATCTACTAAATATGTGGCTAAACTCCTTAACTTGATCCAACTCTGATCCAGTTTCCAACAAAGGGAAAATGGGGTTAATAAGAAAACCTACTGAACAGGGCTGTTGCTGAGATGAAATAAGATAACATATGTAATGTAACACTTACTGAGTAGTCACCATGTACCAGGCAATTAGCTCTTTACATACATTATCTTACTTCATCTCAGTAACAGCCCTGTTCAACAGGTTTTCTCACTAACTCCATTTTACGCATGTTGGAAACTGGATCACAGAAGTTGTCTGATCCGTGAGTATTCAATAAATGTTAGCTGGTATTATTATTTTGACATAGAAAATCTAATTCAGCTCCTCAGTGTAAGAAGCACTCTAAACCAGTGATGGAACAATCTACGTGACGATGTTCCTTGCTGATGTGGTCACTTATTAACGAATGCTGCCTTATACAATGAAGAAGTCTTACCTTTCTACTGGTTGGGAAAGGTTCTGTTGGAATTATATGCAAATGAAGTGGGCGGGCCGTGAGCTGGCTGAAGGCTGGAGTCAGTTCAAAACAGTTTTGGAAGAGGGACACTCTGGCGAAGATATAAAGTCCAAGTCTGGCTCTAGACATGGCCACCACTAAGCGACGGACATCCCTTTGGGAACCAAACAAAATTAATTAATGTATTTCAGGAGGAATAACATATGTATGCAGCCTTTGATTTTTTAAACATATTCCACTAAACATTCCTGTTAAGCTGTGGCAATCAAAGGTTAAGCGTCTTAAAAACTTAACAGAGTAAACATTAAGTTAATCAATGCGATATAACTAGTAAACCAAGTAAGAAATTAATGTTTTATTACTAACCTCTATGGGTTTTTTTTTTGGTAGGGGTTGGAGGAAATCACAAAATAACCAATGCTCTGATTAAAAAGATCTAAGTAGCTCTATTAGTATTATGGTATAGTTTAGCTGTCAGTTACCAATTTACTGTATCGCCACCCGAATCAATCCAAACCAGCCCTTCCTCAACTTCACCTACCAAAGTCCCAGGCTCTGTCAAGGTTAGAAACGTCAAATTTTACTTCCTAGGTAACTCTTACCACACTGTTTTATACTTATTTATAATAATAATTACAAATACAAACAGAAAAATAGTATGATGACACAATATAACGCGATGTCTTAACTATGCATTTACTCTACTACCTATGCCCAATGCCTGGCCTGTCAGTCTCAATGTTCACATAAACAGTAATAAAATGCCAAAATGAATGATAAAATGAATGACCCAACTATACATGTACTTGATTATCTGAAGAATGATGGCAGTTTTCTTTATCTTTTAGAAAGAATATGTTCTTATAACTTTACCTGAATTTATCTGAATCAAATAAATTTATAAAAGTCTAATTTCACCTCACTATTAGTTAGAATGTGTTTTAGTAAGAAAAGATAGTTTTGGTTTTAAATACAGAGGACAGTTTGTTTCTTGAGATGCTCTTAGATGACTATTTAAATTTGTGGGTATTCTATAAAAGAGAAGACTTTCATGAAAAATGAAGTCTGGTACAATCACCCCTGATCTCTGAAAGTGTTAAAGAGTGGTACAGAGGTCAGATGTTACAAAGATCACACGACAACCACACAGAGAATGGCAAATGCAATACTTACTAAACGGCTTTTCTTTGTCTCTTCATAATGTGAGGTATTTGGCGAATATCCCTAATTTAGCCTCCTTTTCTATTGTGTTCTATGGCCTTGACAAGGCCCTAGTTTCCCTTATTAGGAGGGACTGTGCAACATCACATAATAGCAGTTATGTTGGTGGGGGGTACCCCCACCCCTCAAAGTAAGAGATGTTCATCAGTAGCTTTGAGGAATTTCTACATTTGTGACACACTGGATTCATGAAACAAATGTTATCTTCTAGGTTACTCAGGCCAAATTGTTTTTTATTTTCTCCACATTTTTTTGAAGCCTAAGGGGCCATGCTACAGGCGGGTAGTTTCAACACTAGTAACTGGATGTATGATGCTAGAAATACTCAGCATGAATTCTCATGCAAATATTACAAAGTAAATTATGGTTAAAACAATGCCGTCAGGGGAAAAGGAGGAGCAAGGTGGAAGGAGGTGACCTGAACTGTTGTTTTCACAGTGATCACTGTATTATGATACTCAGTTCTCCCCTTCTCATCTGGAGGGCCCTACCTCTAGGCAGAGCAGACATGGTGCTACTGCAGTGACAATGGACCTGTTCCTCTGAGGAAACTTTCCCCTCCAGCCCTCAGTGCCAAAGTGCAGTGAAATGACTTTATTAAGCCTGATCTCCACTGCACATGAAGACAGCTAGCCTGAAACCTTCTGTAGGTTGAAATGTAGGTATTTTCCAAGGATATATCTAATGACTCTCCCACTGGATTCTAAGCTCCATGGGGGCAGAGAAAGTTAGATTTTACTACTATATATCAAGAACCCAGCAACACCGCCAAATAATAGATGCATCTGAGACTAGTTGTTAAACGAATGACTGAACACTATAAACATAATGAACTACCAGGCAAAAAAAAGTAAAGAGTGGTAGCATGAATAGACAGAGCTGCTGGGAGCAGTATCTTGAAAGTAGGACAATGGGAACCACCACCTTCTTTCACAGTCCCCAGAAGATGGCTGGACAGAAACAACACTGTTAAACAACAAGCCATCACAGTGACAGAACCCTCTGAGGAGACAACACAGGAAAGTTAGTTTCACTGCTTTGCTCTGAACAAATCACAAGCATTTCTATTTGTAGTTGGGATATTCAAGTCAGTAGGGACAAGAACAATGAATGCTAGAAAAGGGACCAGAGCTGTCTCACAATTCTAGCTTCTAAACAGCTCCACAGTGTCCTAACAGGCCTCTGGAACTGAAGCTGAATAGTCTGGCTCCCGCTCCTAATGAAGTCTACCCTGGATGAAAAGAGATGCGGGTAAAGAAATATGGCAGGTGCTTCGAAAGCAGCCTAGCAGTTTCTTAAAGGGTGAAACATAAAGTTCCCATATGACCCTGCAATTCCACTCCTAGGTTTTTACCCAAGAGAAAGGAAAACAAACTTCCACAAAAAACTTGTATATGAATGTTCATAGCAGCATTAGTCATAATAGCCAGTAAGTGGAAACAACCCAAGTGTCCCCCAACTGATGAATGGATAAATAAAATGTAACATATTCACACCATGAAATATTATCCAGCAATGAAAAAGCAATGAAGTACTGACACATGCTACAACACTGATGAACTTAGAACATATTATGCTAAGTAATTTCATTTATATGAAGCGTCCAGAATAGGCAAGTCTACAGGATAAAGTAGAACAGTGGCTGCCAAGGGCTTGGGGAAGTGAGGGGAGTAACTGCTGATAAGCACAGGGTTTCCTGTTGGGGTGATGAAATGTTCCAAAGTTGCGAAGACAGCTGCATAACTCTATGAATACACTAAAAATCATTGAATTGTACACTCAAAATAGATGAATTGTATGGTATGTGAATTCTATCTCAATAAAGCTGTTACTAAAAAAAGAAGTATGGAAGGAAGGTTTCCTTGGTCTCTTGAAATTTCAAAACAAAATATTTTCCTACTTCTTAGAAAAAGAAAGATAAGAAAGATTGTATCTACAAACCAAAAAATTCTATAAAGAATTAGATAAAATTCGAGCTAAGATACCTAAGTTACCTGGATAGGTGAATCATAAATAATACATACACTGACATTTCCCCCTCTATGCTTCAGCAACACTACTGTCATCACCAGCATCCTCTGAAGAAGCTGGACTTCCAAAGGGAAAGTTTGGCAAATACAGAGAAGTTTAATTTATTTGGATAAAGAAAACTTGGATATGTAAGATGACAATGAAATTGGATTCTTTTTAAACTCTCCATTTATAAGCATTTTATCATCATTTTCTCTTTAAGTTTCCAGAAAAGTCAGGCAAAGAACAGCACAGAAGTCGTCATGGGAATGTGAAAAAGACAAAAGCACGACAGAGTAAGAAAAAAGGTGGGAAAGAGAGAAGGCAGTATTCACATATTCATACTGTGAGTTTCTGAGAGATTTTAATTATGTAAATCATAATGATGCCCTATTCAGACAGCAGCTATAAATTTCAATGCAGAAAAGGAACCGCTTTTTAGAAAAGTTAGTCTCCAAATACATGTTTGACACTTAAGCAAAAATAAACTGTATTTTAGAATGTTACAGTCTTAAAATGATTTCTTGAAATATTATACCTTTGCTTACTCTTTCATAAAAGTTACCGGTCTAATGGAACCTGATCACCAAAGTCTTGACTTATGAGAATATTATGAGAGCTTGAAGAAAATTTTTTTATACCCACAAAATAAAATAATAAAATGAACTCTCCTTATAGTTTTGCTAGTAAGTCATAAGAGATGAAGGTTTATATAAAACTAAATGGCTGCTTTGTAATAAGAAGATATTATTCCATAAATCTCTAGCACATAAATACATCACAATAAATGATAAAAATAGACTACTGTTTGTTTTGACAAGTCTTAATCCCGAGAGAACAAATGGTTCCTTTATCCTTTAACACTGAAGCTAAAAGACTGTGTGGGGAAAAGTCAGAAATCCTACGCAATGAAAAATTTACTCTTAAGATTTTTACCACTTCACCTTCTTTAATTTCTGATATTAAGCTTCCAACAGATATAAGATATATATATTAAGGTTATATGATTAAATGCTATCTCTGAATGTTCCTGAAGAGTCAAAAAGTTAAAATTACTAAAACATTTAAGATTCAAAAGATTTAGAAGCCATGGCAATGACTAAGTAACTACAAAGAATCTGACAGTTACACTCCAACAAAAATCACTAAAAGTTGCTATAGCAATGAATTATACTTTAAACTTAAAATTTAAAACTACTTAGCCACAGAAGCTCAAAACTGAAGCAGATACTAAAGTTTCATACTATTATAAAGGTTCTTCCTTACATACCTCAGATGGCCCACTGCCCTGGTTCGTACCAGAGAAAGAAGAATATAATCATTCTGTTGACCTTGAAATCTGTCAACAGTTGTCACCTAGGGGGAAGAAAAGAGATACGGTATATTTTCAAAACACGGTAACAAAACCGTAGAGAGATCATTTAAATAATGTGCTAGAAATAAAAATCTTACCCTTAAAATAATCAATCCCAAAAGAATATGACTATATACTTGGAATTGAAAAAACACGTTAATGAACAATGAATTTCATACCTTTTTAGTGTTGAACAGTATCCTACTGAATGAATATACTACAATTTGTTTATCCATTTACCTGTTCATGGCATCTGGGTTGGCCCTTGTTTGGGGTTATTTTGAATAAAGCTGCAATGAATATTCATGTATAAGTATCTTTGTGTACATGTTTCACTGCTCTTGGATAAATATTGGGAGTGAAACTGCCGTATGGTGAGTGTTTGTTTAACTTTATAAGAAATTGTCAAATTGTTTCCCAAAGTTGCTGTACCACTTTCAACATTCACCGGCAATGTGCCAGTTCCCGAGTTCCAGTTGCTCCACATCTTTGTCAACACTTGGTATACTGTCAATCTTTATAATTTTAGCCATTCTATTGGGTGTGTAGCAGTACCTCATAGTAGTTTTAATTTGCATTCCCCTCACAATTAATGATGGTAAGCATTTTTTCATGTGCTTACTGTCCATTTGTATGTCTTCTTATGTGAAGTGTCTATCCAATTCATTTGCCAATTTTGTCCTGGGTTGTCTACATTTTCAATGACTTTTAAAGTTCATATATTCTGAATGCTGTTTGAGACCCAGGCTCACACGCTGAGAACAGCAGAGCAGAAGGATGAAATGAACCTTGGTCCTTGATGACACCATTGAGCCACCCAACCCTGGAGCCACACTACTTTCACCTTCTTGTTATGAGACAGTAGCTTTCCTTATTATTTAAGCTTTCCTGTTAGTTATAAATAATAGGACTCAGACCCTGAGGTTCTTCTATTTCGTTCTATATTTCAGAGTCATTAGTTCCTCATTCTCATTCTCTATACTCCTTTGGAGTATTCTACAGTGTCTGTTCCTTCTCACATTCCTTTCAATTTTGTCTCTACTTCTTTGATTTTGTCTTGTTTCCTTCCAGTTCACATTTACCTCTTCCTGAGTTCTTCAATTTCTCTGCTCTGTAGCTTTCCCTCACAGAAATGGGTACTTTTTAAGTATTTTAAAATTAACAGCCAGATGTGTATTCAAAATTTTCATCTGTTCCAGGCCAGCATGTCTTTGGGAGCGTGTTATCTTGTCAACTAGTATGTTTTGATGTTCTTTCCCTCATATATAAATCAAGCAAATGCTTGTTCCCCTCCCCCTCTATTCCACAATTGAGTAAATGAGTGTCTTAGATCAGCTACATGCAAGAGGTTAGGCTGGGGTGAGTGATTTTCACAACAGATGGTTCTCCAGTTTCCTGCTACTACAGAGACAGTTTATTTTTTGCAAATACAGCTCACCTGTAGGTGTTTCTGAACTAGGAAGGCTCACTCTAACTCCCGCATCTGTTGTTGAACAACAGGCACGTGGCTCTTACACTTCAAAGTATGCCACTCACTTTCGGAAAAGTGTGTTTTTGCTGGCATTTTCAAGACTGGTCCCCTAAATTCTCTTCTTCCCACATTTTCTTCCTGATCTTAGTCACCTGATCTGTGTCATGTCACTAAAAATGGAATTTGTTTCCTGCTTCTCCCATTTTCCTCTTACTTGTAGATGATTTCCAAGAAAAGGTGAAAGAGCTTTTATACAGCCATGTTTACAAACAAACTCCTGTTTTCATCATCACCAATACTACATTTGTTTTGTTATTCTAATTTTTCAAAACTTTATTGATAAAATCAGCATCTTTTTTATGTTATATTATTCCATCATATCACATAAAAAAGTATAAAAAATCCTAAAGTCTGAATGTGTTTTATGATTTTCCTTTATCCTCAAGAAAAAATACTCCCCTGCACACATACACTCAGTAAGCAGTACAGATTGTATCTTCGTAAAACAAACAAATGCTACAATTCCTATTTCTACTATAACAGTACATAGCTTCCTTAGACATCACTTTTCCTACAAAAAGTTTTAGAAACTTTTTTTTTATGATTACTATCAACAGAAATCTTCAATGTGATAGCTGAGATAGACATTCACAGCACACTAATAACACTGTCAGATAGGATTGCCAGAGAATTATTTACAGAGTTCCTATTACTTCATTTTCTTATGTCTTACACGGAGATAGCAAAGAAACAAAGTAACTCACATAATAACATAAATAACTCACAATGTATATAACTCACATAAATAACTCACAGTATATATAAATCTTACTATTTTGCCAACATGATGAATAAGAGAACATATTATAGTCATAAAATTACCTTATTCGGTCTTCCAATCAATGGATTGCTCCCACAGCGTCTATTGATGATGTCACGAATAAGATGCTTTTGCCCGTTGTATGTTGTTAGAATACTGATCTTGTCAGCAGGGTAACCAAGTAAACACATGTACATAAAAAGTGCCACTACATATTCTGCCTCTCCAAGATTCTATAATGCAAACATTAATCAGATTGTGCATTTGCTTCCATTTACAGAGAAAACAGTTAAATAACACAATTTGTTCACTTACCATACCTCAAGAAGTAAAGAGTTAACAACTTGGGCCTTTCATAAAACCGAGAAATAACTTATCTCAGGTTAACACTGATAAATAAAAATACAGTACATGGTAATTACTTCCCTTTGGCATTTGCAATGTATTTGCAATACACAGAACAACCATAAAATAAAAGTTACCAACTTAAAGGCTTAATATTTCTGGGACCACAACAAGTACAATACAACGATGCTGTATTCTGCTACAGTGTAGCGCAATGACAGTTATGCAAAGAAATAATAACACAAAGAAGCAAGGCAACTAACTTAGAAGCCAGTAGAAAATCCAGTCTAATAGCTTTTACATCTAGCAATACTGTAGTTGACTCTATTTTTACACAATGTTTTTTCTTCTTCCTCATATTTCTTAGTATTTTTTTGTGTGTTTTGTGTTTGTTCTCTTCCTGATGGTTGCTGCCTCTACGCAGACCACTTTAGGTGGTTACAGGATGTGCCCTCAAATTAATCAGTCTGGCTTACTGTGACCTTAGAGACTCTGGTTAAAGATTGATGGAAAGGAGTCTAAAACCAAGGCTTAACTGAACTTGAAAGTGAGGAAGCACACACAAGATTGTTTAGTCCAGCTCAGCAGAGACTAAATTGAAAGTTAACAGATGAGAGAAGAAGGTAAAATGAGAACATAAACATAACATGAAAATCAAAAAAGAAAGACAAGAAACTGGATTTCATGTAAAGGCAACAGGAAAATTACAGAACGACCTTCAGAAAAATCATTTATATTATGGTGACATGATGACACACAGCTTGAATTATTTCTAGTTCTTTGGAAGACAGGAGCCACATGACTGTGTAAATCTTTCCATTTTCTATATTGATAGCAAACTATATTTATTTAAGTATCAGCTCTAATACAGATAAAAGAATAAATCTTTGGGGCATAAGCTGCCAAATCTTTTTGTATAGATTATCATTACGTATTTCTATATGTCTGTTTGCTGTTCCTTTCTAAAAATAAAATGAGGCACTACAGATATATTTTGCAACCTGATTTTTTTTCATTTAATATAGCACAAACATTTTCTCTGTCAGTAAGCCAAGTTATAATGTTATCATTCTTAGTGGCTATTCAGTTTTTCATTATATGGACTAGGTAATAAATAACGTAATGAATCCCTACTGACAAGACATTCAGGTTGTTTCTCCTTTCCAAAATAATTTGCAGTACAAGAAAAAGTGTGATGAACATTTTAGCATATAATTCTTTACAAAATCGTCTGATGTTTTTTAGGATAAATTCCTAGAAGTGAGAACACTGCTTTTAATACATGCTAACAATCTGTCCACCAAATTACCTTCCTACTAGCACTGTATAAGCATAGAATTTCCCCAAACCCACCCCAACAGAATATTATCAGAGGTGATATAAATCTGTATCTTTTTTTGCAAATTGCATATTGTCATCTTATATTTTTCTTTTGGGGTATTGATTTCTCTTAAAGCATTTATAAGAGTTCTATATACATTCAGACTCCTTCGGACTTCAACCCATTGTTTGTTAAATGCTGAAAATAAATTTTGCTCCCAAATCAATCAATATTTTTCTGTATTATTTTTGCTTTCAGTAATGAGCTTTAAAAGACCTTTCTCATCCCAACATTACATATTCTTCAATACCTTCTTTCTAGTGTGCTTATAGTTTCTTTTTTTTTTTTTTTTTTTTGGTGGATGTATCTTTCTTTAACCCAACTGAAATGCACATTTCTGTGCTGTGCGTGAGGTGGGACCTCACTTTCTTTTATTCAATGGCTTGTCAAATAGTTCAGTAACACTGACTTAGGTAGTAAGTCAGCCAGGCGGGTGCAAAATAAATGTAAAAATTTCATGTTTCTTCTTACCTGATAAAAGTAAGGATTAGGTTCAGATTCTCCGACTCCCTGAAAGTCTTCAACATTAATGAGCTGGAAGTCGTACAGCAAGCCAGCATTTGCTGTGCTGAACTCTGGCAAGAGCTGCACGTGGGGTAGGTTTCCTAGGTTCTTGTATCGCCAGTTGTAGAGGTTGCACAAACTTCAAAGACAAATCCCCCCACACCGGAAGTATTAGCAATGTCGAATCCCTCTCCGTGTACATAAGGGGGTTTCTAAGGAACTGTGCTCTTCCTTTTAGCTTTCATGTTACTCATGTTGAGCTCATCTTAGCAACAATGCTTTTTCAACCTTTGCCTCTTTACAAGAACTAATCAGAAGAATGACGATATTTAAGAAATCATAGCTCTACTGCATTCTCTGAGGTGAATGCTATCTTTATTCCTTAAATAAAAAAATCCGGGAAGAGTCTGCAAAGTGAGAAAAATTTTGAGGTAACTATGAGATGGGGCCTGTACATTTTATAAAGTAAGAATGGGTGTGTTCTGCTCTTATTCACCTTTAGCTTTAGCTTTAGACCTCAAAATGATAGTAATTGTATACCTTTTGGGGGCATGAAGAAAATGGAAGTGACAGTAAAACGAAGTCCTTCGTTTACAAGGAACTTAAATTAATCTCAATGAATAAAGTGAAGGAAGTAATTTGGTCAATTTTTACATGCCAGGCTGAAGGCAGTAAAGGTACTTTCCAATTTATAGATTTGTATCCAGGCAAGTTCCTGGATAGCAAGGACTGCTAGGAGTCTATACAGAAGATGTTAGTAATAGTTAGATCATGAAACTGATGTCCTTGAATAGGAATGGTCTCCCCCTCCCTCCCTGTCTCCTTTACCTTGCTCTGGCCCTCCCCTGGGCATCGAGGTCCACGGTAGGAACTCCAACCCGAACAAAGCGAGTGAAGAGAGACTGCTCCATGTTTGAATACTTCTGAAAGGCCATGTTCTTAATGACTGGAGGTAACTGGTGATGGTCACCAATCATAATCCATCGTTTTAGTCGGCTAAAACCATCCTGAGGATTCTAGAAATTGAAAGTGAGGAAATGGCAAAATACTCTAATTAATACATTATCCTTTTAATCTCCAATTTATTGTGTAAGATTCTTGTATTCACAAAATGGCTTTATCAGCTTACTAATTCTTGCTATTCACCAGCTCCAGAGAGAGGAATCTGGCAAATTTACAGGATGATTGGTATGGGTACCACTGCTTGTGGTAGGCAGTGAGTGAAGGAGGATGAAGAAACTGAGAAGGCAATCATGGAATTATCCTACTTTAACAGGTGGGGTAACCCAATGAGGTCTGGGAGGTTTAGATCAGAATTAGGCAAAGGAAGCACAGAAAGAAACAGATGCTCAAGCAGGAAAATAGAAGGATGATAAACATCTTGTATCATCATTACACCAAGAGCCAGTTCTGAACCTCCCAAAGCAGTAAACATTCTACCTTAATTTCCTGTATTAATTCAATTTCCTACTCTACATCTCCTTGTTCTTGAAATATATTCTGATAAAACACATTCCTAGTCCCAAATAACTCGGCTTATAAAACAACTTTTGGAATCCAGATTATCTGTGAATTAGAGTAGCTTCAATTCTTCAGTTGGTAATTTCACACTTTGCTGTTTACACTTCCTTAGTAAAGAGTATCGTACAATAAGAAAACATGCTTAAACATCATTTAACTAAAAAACAATCAGGCATAAAATAAAAGTATTGTACCCAGTGCTCAAAAACAATTCTACAAACAACTCTTAAAAAAAAATTTAAAAAAGCCCATCTTCCCTCAAAACTGAGTAACAATGTAATTTTCTTGATTAAAATTATTGTCTTTTCAAAACTTAGAGATAAATTGTGAATTTTTAAATAGTACTGCTGAAACAATACAAACTACTAAATGATCAGTGAAGAGATAAAAGGAAGTTTACAGGCTAAAAATAGAATACCAAAACATAACGAAGTTAAGGAGAATATATAATTATGGCAATTAGCACCCCAACACTGTGTAGTTTCCCAATGCTGTCCCCCAGAATTCTTTAAACTCTACTTTCTTTGTCTTGGATCTCAGTATCTTACCTGCAGAAGAAGAGGTATAAAAGTTTCTATCTCCAGAATCTGAGCAGCCTCTTCCATTAAAATATTATCATACTGAGAAGGGGAGAAAAAGGACAGCTTGTCAAAAAGTCGGCTGAAAGCCAAACAGCTACCACCAAAAGTGTAACAACCATCCAAAAAAACCCCTAAATAATTCAGATAAAAACAAATACAAAATATTCAAACAGAATGTTTACAATCTTATTTGCCACTGTGCTCCTGCCTCTGCAATTCAATTCTTTAACCTTAGGGAAGACCTCTCAATATACAACTCTATACAATTAAGATCTCCTTGATCACTTCTTGGATTACAATATATATTTAGTTATTTTCAATTCAGTTCTTTTAAGTTCCACGTAAGCAAGAATCAACCTACAATTATATATGAGGTTATTTCCATTGATATTCTAACCCTAGGTAATATTTTGTGGCAATTTTTTCCCTTATGAACCCTACTTAGCACTCAACAATCCGGTTTTCCCCCAGCATTCAGTCTGTCACCAAAGCATGTCAATTTCACATTCAAAACTCCCTCTAGAATCTATTCATTTTTCTCCATTTCTGCTACCACCACCACCACCACTGTAATCCATGCCACTACTCTGACTACTGCCAGCAATCTCTTTACTAGTCCCTCCCCTTCCTGTACTGCCTCCCCTAAATCACTGATGTAACAGGCATTAGAGCACATCACCTCTGGTTTCTAACCCTTCACTGGCTGCCAGCTGTCTTAGGGAAAAATGAGCCTAATGTTGCTTGCAGGAGACGTATTAACTAGGGCCTGTGTTGAGTCTGGCCCCTGCCGTCCTCTCCTATTTTATGTATCACTGTTCCCCTTTCTCACTAAGCTCAAACACACTGACCTATTTCACTTTCTCAGAAATGGTAAAATCATTTCTGCTTCAGGCCCTCTGCATGTGCTTTTTTCTCTCTTCACTTTTGTCTGCTTGGCTTTGTCTATTTCTTAAAGTATCAGCTTAAAGTCCACTTTATCCAGGCCTTTTCTGACTTCCCAACCTAAAACAGGTTTCACAGGACCCTGTTCCTCTGTCTCACAGCACATCATAACTTGTAATTCTGTTCATATATGTACATACTTGTTTGATGCCTGTTTCTTCCCTCTAGCCCAGTTCCCAATAATGTTAGGCACTGCACATTTGTAAAACAATGAAAAGTCGTCTTTCTCCAACCTAAGGAAATTTCATTCTTTCTTTTTTGTATGTTTTTCTCTATCTGCCCAAAATTTTTTCCAGACTTATTCTCAATGTTTCATATTTCCCCTCCTTTCCCTTCTAATTCTGACTGCTACTTGGTATGATATCCTATTTCTTGTTTTATTGGTAAAATACCTTCTTTGAGAATCTCACCAAGTACAAACTAGAGTTCCTCTGTTTTCTATTTTTAAAGTTTTCTCTCCTCATTTTGTATTCCAGGGAAGTGGAAGGTGGGAGGAGCATGTTTCCTCTTAATGCTTAATTAATTCTCTTCTTTTAAACTAATTGTTTATATATCCTGTAATTTCTGTGCTATTCATTTTTACCAAAACATGTTTGTATCTATATTTGTCCATGATTGGTAGCTGAGCTGGATTTCCATTGGACATGATGAAAATTAAGGTTCAATTCTGCACTGTTTCTTACTGAAACTACCTGAAGTTGCAGGCATGTGGATGGGTGTCTTCCCTATCTCTATCTGATGCTAAATTTCCCTAGTACAGTGATTCTTTAGGTCATCCTAGTAGGAACCCAGGAGGAGTTCCAAGAATCCTATTTTCTCAGAAGTCTGTAAGTGGCCTCTCAAGGTAATAGACAATATGCAAAACAGAGTGGCAGCAGCTCAAAGAAGACAATTTAAAGAGCCTGTTTTCTGAAAAACAACTCCGAAAATCGAATGTGACTTAATTCATAATAATATATCTACAGAGTCTGCTTTTTTAAAGTGAGATTTTAATCACAAAGCAAAATTATGACATAACTATATCAGAAGTATTAAGGAGGAAAAAAGTGCACAAATGTGCTTGCATGTCTTCTTGAGGACAGCACAGAAACTAAAGACAATGTCCAAAATGGAAATTTAATGTTCTTTATTGATATAAATGAGAAGAACAAAGGAAAAACAAAAAGAGTTGAAAGAGATCCCAGCTCGAGTCCTCCCACCAAATAAAACATAACTCTCAACTTAAAAAAAAAAAAAAAAAAAAAAAAAAAGAGTTGAAAGATTAAACAATTGAGGAGCATCAGGGGAGTAGGGAATTGCCTTTTTTAAATGTTAGCAGACCTGCAAGGTTTATAAGCTCTTAACTGAGATGCATGTGTGAGTTTGATTAAAAAAAAACTTCAAAATTAAAAACATAAAAAAAGTAAAGGATAGTTCCAGTACTCATGTAAACTAATTTTAGATGTATAGCACATGTAAGAAAATGATTAATGAAAATGATAAGCTACAAGTAATGTTCTTAGAAAACGCACGTGAAAGTTGCATGAAAGCATAAAATGCTAATTATGATTGCATCATTTCCCCTTGTTATTAAACTGATTTGATTTAATATCAAATTCAAAGTATATTTTATATGTCAGCCCCAAGAACAAAGTATTTAGGTGAAAAATTCTGACTAATAACTTGCAAAAGAAAGTTCACACCACTAGGGTAAATTCACAGTGCCTTTTAATAAATTATCGTATTTGTCCTATCTTGCAGAGGAGGAACCTTTCATCCAAGATAACAATTCTGTCACCTTGAATTTATTTAGCATTTATCTTCCAGTGAGCTCATAACATTAAAAAATTGTCAGTTACTTTCATCAACAACAAATGCTCTGCTCACTTTGAATTCAAACCAGTACACAAACCCTATTTTAAACAACAACAGATAAACCAGTTGCAGGGAAATTCAATGATCTGCATTAAAATCAAAGTTTAGATCAGTACAACTAGCAAAGTCAGAGTCTCCAAATTTAAATTTACTGCTCATTTATTACCTTTCATTTCAACTGAGTCACAGGCTAACAGGCTATCTTGCCCTTTAGCTCTCCAGTCTTTATCGTATGGTGGTCAAATACCTCCTCTGACAGTCTAAGTAAGAGCATTCCACAGCCTCACATAGAAGGCTTTTCATTTACTGAATGAGCAAATAACTGGCAGCAGATGTGTGCTTAAAAGGTAAATAATGCAAGCATACAGACGTTTAACAGGTGAAAAACACTCTCAACTGTTATTTTTATAAAGCTGTTTGGAGATTTTTTTTAACATAGTAAAAATAGATTAATCTACCTTAACAAGTATTAGAAGTTGACTTGGGGGAGGGTATAGCTCAGTGGTAGAGTGTGTGCTTAGCACGCATGAGGTCCTGGGTTCAACCCCCAGGACAGTACCTCCATTAAAAAATAAAGAAATAAACTAAACTAAACTAACCTTCCCAACAAAAGGAAGTTGGTTAGACAATCATATGGTTATAATGTTACTTAAAGGACATATATCTGATAACTAAATTCAGAAAAATTAGATTTAGAGTTTACTAATCATATAAACACGGAAAGTTATAAATTTTAAAAGAGACATTTTTAAGTAATTATAAATGTGAACTTCAGTAAGAAGTAAACCACTATCCAAGGGAAATGGCCTAGTTTAAAAAAAGAAAAGAAAAGGAAAGGAAAGGAAAAAATCTAACAGCTGCATAGATGATGAATTAAAGAATAAAATATAAGTCTTTACCTTGAAACCTAACTTGACTAAATCATGTCGTTTTAAGGCAGCATGAGTACAGGTCATAGCAATGATTTTGGCTTCTTTTACCAAAAGGTACTTAGATCTGTCTAGTCCACTTCGAAGCAGTTCAGAAGCTCTAAATTCCTATAAGAATGGAGAGACAATGAGACAGTATTTTAGGAAAATAAACATAGTTTATGAATACATTCATACAATCCAGTTTATGAGATAATTTGTGAGAAATTAATATAAATATATCATAAACTAAGCTAAAGAATTATAATTCTGTCCATTATTAATAAGGCACTGATTGAGCTTAAATATTAGCTGATATTCAGGCCATAATTTGGACTGTTTTTCATGTTGTAAAATATTTACAGTATCAACAAGAATATTGAATAAAAATATCAAACACTATTGTGCCTATATTACCCAAGGTCCCTACAGAAAAACAGAAATATTTCAAGCATTCATAACAAGGGGAATTTATTGCAGGGAACTGTTATGCAGATGATGGAGGAGAAAAGCCAACCAGGGAATGGTGAAGCAACCCAGAGACTGGCAACAGTAGGAAATTACGACCATTCCTAGGCTAGGAAGGATAAAAAGAGGAGGAAGTGTCATCAGAGCCCGGAAACTGGGGTACCAGCATAAGCGGGAACCACAGTGGGCCAGGCCAGCAGAAACTGGAGCCATGGAAGAGATGAAACCCAAGGCAGAGTGTGCTGGTGAAGAAATATCCTGGCTTCTCTCTTTCTTCTATTTCTGCCACAAATTGTCATTGACTAAACCCAGCTAGAGGTCAGTGGACACGAGAGACTGGGAAATTAAACCTCTAAGGATCAGCCCCAACCCTGATCATGGCAGAAGGTCCCCCACAGAGCAGAGCAGGGGGGTAGACAACAGATGTGAGGAGCAAAGAGGCTCAAGCCGAGTAGCTAGAAACAAGTTTTATCAAATGTGAACACTATGTACACTTACTTCAGACTTTGAAACATTTGTGTTTTTTTAAATAACTAAAGCATTACAGGTACAGATGGAGGTACCCTGTATATTCTTCTCCCCACCGTCTCCCTACATAGCTATTGTATGTTTGTATCCTTTCACATTCTATTATGTAATCATAAATGTAATATAATACCATTTTGCAGGTTTTAAAATTTTACTTATACTATGTATATACTATATATATATATATATATATAGTATGTATTTATTATTCTATACCTACCATCCATCCATTTCTATCCACCTACCCATACCACACATCAGTATTTATTGAATGTCAACTATGTGCCAGATATTACCGTAGGAAGTAGGGATATAATCATATCTAAAAGGTACTCAGACTGAAAAAAAACAACATCTTTGCCCTTTTTACCTGAAGTAACCCTAAACCTTCTTACTGAGGAATCTGGGCCTGAATGTGACCTTCTACGGGATTGCTATAGTCTTCCAACGATATTTTCTACAAGAAATGAGAAAACCAGAAAGCATCCTGGGGGGATCCCTGGGTTCCAAATACAGTCTTCTCTGTCCCCTTTGTATAGTGATGACTCTTATTTCACCCTAATAATCAATACCAATCATCCTGGCTAACACAGCAACCTCACTTTTTGCCCACTGGTCAAAGGCATAAAGAACTTAGAACGGCCAAATTCCAAATCAAAGAACCACTGTTAAATCTCCTGATAACAGCATTCCTTTCTCAAATACTCAGACTTTCACACCAGAAAAGCCAGAAAAATGGGGATTCAACACATATCTTAATTTTTACTTATTTCTTGAACTAGAATAATAAATGTCTCCAATAATCTTACTTAAAAGTAATAATCTGGTTTGTTAGATTTGAATATTTCATTTCTTCTTTTAAAAAAAGAAAACCAACTAAGCTCAAAACCTTTAAAGGAAAGTTAAAAGAACTTGAGAATCCTTACCTCAAGCTGAGTAAAGATTTTCTTAATATGCCTGAAACATCCTTCTGCAATTTCCATGTCTTCTTCATAAGATCGGCCTTTAAAAATGGGTTGAGGAGCATTTGCAAAGTATTCATGGAAAGGGAAGAACGTGGAGATTTCCGTGACATCCGGCAACGTGCTACCTTTGTTTTTCACTTTGCTGATATACTCTTCCCAACGAGACATTACCTATAAGAAAAAGAGACGTGAGGTTAAATATGCCAGCTTATTAATGCATTCTAAATTATAAATTAAAACAGAAATCAAGTGAAAATAAGATTTGCTAGGTAAAGGAAAAGGAAAGCAGTCTTTGAGCAAATAGGTCTATTTCTTGCCCAAGTCACTGACAGATTGCTCTTCGTTTATAAAAGTAACCTTTAAGATTGCAGGGAAAAAAAAAAACTCTTTAATCAAATGCACAGATAGACAAGAACCTCAGGATCATCTCATGGTACGTTAGACCTTTTCAGATTTTCTATGTATACTCAAAACAGTTTATTATTGATGATCCACACCCCCAGCCAGACTTGTGAGATAGGTAGCTCAGTTACATCCTGGTATAAATGTTCATTATGCCTCTACTCAGTTCCTACTTAGCCTCAATTTCTGTAATTTGTCTGTTTTTCCATTATGACTTCAGTGTTTCTCAAAGTGGTCCTTGGGCAGGGTATCTGAGAAGCTGATAAATAAAATGTAGATTTGGGATGCCACCTCTTACTGAAAGAAAGTCTCTGGGGACAGAGCTTGAGAATGTCCTTTCTAAACGATTTTCTTAATGTGATTACTGTATGTTGAAAACTGCTGACCTACACTGTAAGGCCTCAAGTTCATAATTCCCAAATTTATTACTTACGCTTCTACAATGTATATATTATTTCTCCTACTTTTAAAAGTAGTTTTCACAGAGAGCCTAGTGATTTTTATTTCGTAACAAATATGCATGTAAGCATGATCTTTACTCCATTATTCAAAGTTCTAAACAGTCTGTCTAATGCAGACAACTTTGCAAGATCAAGCATAGATCCTGTGTTCACAAGAAACCAAGAAATCTGCTCATTTCGAACGGACTCAACTGGTTTGTATATCTACTTATAATAAGCATAATTTCTTCTTTCATATGCATTTAAAATTTTCAGTGTTATGCTTTATACCTAAAATATACAGATAACAGTACAAAGAGAACAAATAAAGTTACACAAAAATCTTCATTATTTGATTATATTTAATTCATTTAAATTAGTAAACCAACTGACTATTAAAGTTTATTTTCATTCATCTTATTTAGCTTCTACTGCTCCTTAATCTTCATTCTTCCCAAATTAACCCTAGCAAAAGGAAAAACGTATCTCTAAATTGAAGTTAAAAGAATTTCTAACTTAAGCTTCTAAATTAACTCTAAAACAAGACAATATACTTTTCTTTATTAGTTGATTAATACGTATAGTAAAAGTAAGTTACAGAACCATGTTTGTTAGCACTGGGTTGACAGAGCAGTTATATTTCTATAGTAATATGAGAGAGAGAGAGAGAGAGAGAGAGAGAGACTAGAAACTTTATCAATAGCAAGAAAGCAAAGAAAAGAAAAAAATTTTAAAGTAGCAACATTGGCCTTTCACTGAATAAGTCATCAAGCAAAGTTCTTTAGCAAAGAAAACTGGAGATAATGGGAAACACATTCAACATTCACAAATATAGCTTCAACAACAGCATACATTTTAATCGACTCAACAAAAAAATAAGCTTTCAAAAGAAGGATCTCAAGATCTCATCCTAGTTTCCAACTGAAGACCATATTACAAAAAAGTATGATTTAAAACCCTTAATCTCTTACCTGATACAAGAAGAAATAGCCTGCAGTTTCACAAGTATATGAAGCATCTCCTGGAACCCCCAGACTCTTCTGCAATCGTTTCACTTCTTCTAAAAGTTCTATTCTTCGAGCGAGGACGTAATTAACTCTTCCATACCTAAACATTTCAATTAAGCAAAAAGGTAAAATTGTATAATGAAGAGACTTTCGAGGAAACTGTCAGAAAATTTTTTAAGAAAATCATAATAGAAACTATAAATGGCCAAAGAGAAAAAAATTAGTAGAAAACATAGTTTATAATCTAACTGTAAGTGGTAGTTCTTGGGGTTTTTTTAATACAAAAGCTACTTAAAGTGTACCTGATGGGTCAGGGCTGACTTGCAAGTGTGTTAGTGATCTGAGAGAAGGGAAAATCAGCTACAACACTAAACACAACATTTAGTTCAGCTATCAATTTTTTTCCCCCATAAAAAGACCTTTATAAAGAAGCAAACAGTATAGTGCACTCAAGTGCTAGTCCATCTTATAATAGACCAAGAACATATAGTGTACAGACTGGCTGCTCTGAATAGCACTGTTTATACTATCACAAAAGTAGATTAGCTCTAAAGGTCTTGAAAAGTAATTTTAAAATTTATTTGATCATTCCTTGGCCTCCAGCATGCAGCTTGGCATCTGGACCAAGTAGGTTCATAAGTATCTGCTGAATAAGAAAACCAGAATTTGGAGAGCACTTGGCCCAGAGACAGACAGTTAAGGAAAGAAGCAGTGGAACCAGAATTGAATCCCAAAGCCTATCCATACTCTTTCCACCATAATAAAGTGCCTCCCACAATCCTGTAACACTAAAAAGAGATAGAATAGAACGATCCAGAATAAAAAAGAGACATAAGACATGGTCTATAGTTTTAGGAATTTTCCAACTTAGAAAGATATAATTATAGCAGGTAACTTTTCCCATGTTTGCTTATCTACAACTTAAAACTTTTTCTACAATGTACACTTTGGTAATGAAAAAAAAATTGGGGATGTTTATAAAGAGTCTAATAAAATGACAAAATTCTTGTAATATAATGTTAAATTAAAAAACCAATATACAGTGGAATTCTATGTAATATTCTGCAAATCTAAAATTATACCAAAAAGTCTATTAATTAATTAAAAAAAGCAGTGTACAGGCATACCTCATTTTATTGTGCTTGGCTTTACTGCACTTTGCGGATCCTGTGTTTTTTAACAAATTGAAGGTTGGTGGCAACCCTGTACTGAGCAAGTCTACTGGTGCCATTTTTGCCAACAGCGTTTGCTCACTTAGTGTCTCTGTGTCACATTTTGGTAATTCTTGAAATATTTCAAAACTTTTCATTATTATTATTATATTTGTTATGGTGATCTGTGATCAAGTGATTTCTGATGCTATTTTAATTGTTTTGGGGTGCCGCAAACAATGCCCATATAAGATGGCAAATAATAAATGTGTGTGTTCTGACTGTTTCACTGATTAGTCATTCCCCTATCTCTCTCCCTCTCTTCAGGCCTCCCAATTCCCTAAGACACAAAAATACTGAAGTAAGGTCAGTTAATAACCCCACAATGGCCTCTAAGTGTTCAAGTGAAGAGTTGCACATCTCTTTCTTTAAATCAAAAGCTAGCAATCATTAATCTTAGTGAGGCAGGCATGCCGAAAGCCAAGACAGGCAGAAACCTAGGCCTCTTACACCAAACAATTAGCCAAGTTCTGAACACAAAGGAAAATTTCTTGAAGGAGATTAAAAGTGCTACTCTAGTGAACACACTAATGCTAAGAGAGCGAAACAGCCTTACTGTTGACAGGGAGAAAGTTTTAGTGGTTTGGATAGAAGACCAAACCAGTCACAGCATTCCCTTTAGCTAAAGCCTAAACCAGACAGAGCAAGGCCCTAACTCTCTGCAGAAGAAAAGTCTGAAGTTAGCAGAGGTTGGTTCATGAGGTTTAAGGAAAGAAGCTGTCACCGTAGCTTCATAAAAGTGAAGGGAAAGCAGCAAGTGTTGATACAGAAACAGCAGCAAGTCATCCAGAAGGTCCAGCTAAGATCATTAATGAAGGTGGCCACACTGAACAACAAATTTTTCTACCAGAAAACGATGCCATCTAGGATTTTCATAGCTGAAGAGGAGAAGTCAATGCCTGGCTTCAGAGCTTCAAAGGACAGGTTGACTCTTGTAAGTTGAAGCCAATGCTTATTCATCATTCCAGAAATCCTAGGGACCTTAAGAATCATGCTAAATCTACTCTGCTTGTGCTCTATTAGTGGATGACATCACATTTGTTTACAACATGGTTTGCTGAATATCTTAAGCCCATGCTGGGATCAACTGCTCAGAAAAAAAGATCCTTTCAAAATATTAGTGCTCATTGACAATGCCCAGGTCACCCTAGAGCTCTGATGGAGATACACAACAGGATTCATGTTGTTTCCATGCCTACTCACACAACATCCATTCTGCATCCCTTGGATCAAAGAATAATTTTGACTTTCAAGGCTTATTACTTAAGAAATATACTTCATAAGGCTGTAGCACAGCAGCTGAAAACCTTCTGGGAAAGATTCACCATTCTAGACCCCACAAAGAACATTCACGATTCATGGGAAGAGGTCAACACTAACAGGAGTTTCGAAGAGGTTGATTCAAACCCTCGTGGATGACGTTGAGGGGTGTAAGACCTCAGTGGAGGAAAAAACTATCAATGTGGTAGAAGTAGCAAGAGAACTACAGTCAGAAGTGCAGCCTGAAAATGTGGCTGAATTGCCGTAACCTTATGATAAAACTTTAACAGGTGAAGAGCTGCTTCTTTTGGATGAGAAAGAAAGTTGTTTTTTGAGATGGAATCTACTCCTGATGAAGATACTGTGAAGACTGGTGAAATGACAACAATGAATTTAGAATATGACGTAAACTTAGTGGAAAAAACAGCAGCAGAGTTTAACAGGACTGATTCCAATTTTGAAAGAAGTTCTACTGTGGGTAAAATGCTATCAAACAGCACTGCATGCTATGAAGAAATCATTTGTAAAGAGTCAATCGATGTGGCAACATCGTTGAAATATATTAAGAAGTTGCCACAGCCACTTCAGCCTTCAGCAACCACCACCCTGAGCAGACCAGCCATTAACATCAAGGCAACACCTTTCACCAGCAAAAAGACTATGACCTGCTGAAGGCTCATATGATGGTTAGCAGTTTTTAGCAATAAGGCATTTTTCAGTTAAAGTATCTACATTATTTCTTTGGACATAATGCTATTGTACATGTAATGACTACAAGAGAGTGTAAACATAACTTTTTATAGGTACTGGGAAACTAAAAACCCATGCAACTTTCTTTGTTGTGATATTTGCTTGATTGTGGTGGTATAAAACCAAACCTGTGATATCCCTGAGGTATGCCTGTATGCATTTATACATGATAACATAATTACAGCTGATTATTAACAAAAACTTCTTTTAGAGTAGCAGAATTGTGAATGATCACTCTCTATTATCTCACAAGATGTAATAAAAATTTTTCTTTAGGGAAAGTGATATTACTTTTATTGTGAAACAATATTCACTAGTTTTCTTTTTAATTATAACAAAGGGAGAGGAAATAAAAGAATATGCTCAGTTAAACAAGCACACACATTACTATCAACACCTGGGGACTGGTTCATGTATTAGAAAGCAAGAAGTATTTTCTTCTCTAAAAACTTGGTAGTACCTAAACTCATTTTAAAAACTCTACTGTACTATTACAATATTCTTTAAAAACTATAAATTGTACTGCAAAATAATTATAATTACAGTATTTAGCATTCCCTCAGCACCTATATGTTCACTGAATTCTGGATTATAAGATTTTAGAGTCTAGCTCACTTGTGAAACTTACTTTTAATAAGAAGAAATATCTATGGGAAGAATTCTGGGAAGCATTCCTGGCTGATCCCAAATTAAGAATCTAGAGCCCCACATAACTTAATGTGTACTGATCTTGTCCTCCGACTTTTCAGAAGCTAAAAAATGTTTGGTGAGCTATTTAATACAAGAACTCAAAATAAATGCAACATAATAATTTGACACTCTTTTAGCTCTTTTGATATCTACAATCAATTTAGTCAAAGGTAATGTTCAATAGTCAAAGGCTGTATTAAATACGTGTAGCTTTTAATTATGCCTATGTATAAAATTATGCCTTAATAATGGATTTAAACATAAATGAAATGAGCTACTATAAAGCAACTTTGAAGGAAAAAAACCAAAATACTAACAGCAGAAGAAATTTAATTTGTAAAATTTTAGTCTCTTTACAATATGTAATACTAAACATAAATTCCAGTTAAACTAGCAACAAGTACCTGAAATAATAGTTATAATCCTAAAATTATGCTATCATTAACCTCAACTGCACTTAATTAAATGCATCAACTTAACTGGCACCTAAAGTAAATGCAAACTAAATGTCTGGATGAAATGTGAAAAGAAACTGTGTAATGCTGTACAGTTTTGGCTTGGCAATATTAAAAATTACTTCAATAAATAGAGAGCAAATGGAAACCTGCAATTTAAAAAAGATGAACAAGATAATTCTCATCATTGAAATAATTATATGCTTGAGGGAAAAATGGCAGAAACATATAGAATTGGACCTGAGGGAGATCACGACCAGACTTTTAGGTCAACTGGGTATGGTCTAAGTAGGTTACACTAGAACCTTTCAGAATTAAGTTGGATTACTCATTGCTCTCTTCTCCTGAAAAGTAAAGAAAAAAGAAGAGAAAGTTAGAAATTCTTTTGTACACCATTTCAAAACTCATCCCCATTTGCTCACCTGCTGAAATCTTTCTCTGTCTCCAGCTCTTCTTCTCCATGACCAAGACGTAGGAGGTGGCGCTCATCAATGTCTAAAGCCATGATTTTCTCAAACAACTGGTTCAGGGCCTGGAGAATTGAAAAAAAAAAAAAGATGATGGTGAGTTTTAAAGAATTAGCAGGCTCCTTTAAAAGTAACAAAAACTAACAATTAGAAGGATGGAAAGAATGAACACTGCCCAGTCAGAAAAGAATCAACACCAAGGGGGGGAAGGCGTAGCTTAGTGGTAGAGTGCGTGCCTAGCATACATGAGGTCTTGGGTTCAATTTAGTACTTCCATTAAAATCAACCAACCAACCAACCAACCAACCAACCAATCTAATTACCCCTTCCCCCAAACAAACAAACAAACAAAAAAGAATCAACATCAAAACACAGAAGGAAACAACTTATATTAGGCTATTTACAATTTAAACAAAATAGTATTTTTATTGATTTTGACAGTGCTACATATGCATACTTGGCCAAAGGAATAACTGGAAACCATAAAGACCATGTGTTCAACACATATCTGCTAATTTATGAAAAGAAAGGCTTTGGCTCAGTTTCTATTTCACTCAAGTAGTAATAATTACTAAAATAATTAATAACCATACCGAGTTTCATTTTACTCAAAAGAATTTCCATGGATCGCAGAGAACTGAAAAGTTTTCGTGGTTAGAGCAAGCCTCTCAGAAGGTGAGCGTGTGAGCAGAATTCATCAGGAGGACCACCGAGCGGAAAGGTAGAGTGCGTCACTCAGCGCTTAGGCTGCCGGTCTAAAGCTGTCTACACAATGATGAGCCGAGCGCACAGCACAGCACCAACTACTCTTACAAAAGCCATTTATCTACCTATAAATGTTCATATTTAGGGTTCCCTCAAGTTCTGGTATTTTATTATCTGAGCATCTACAGTTAGAGGGCTTTGCAGAGAGGCAAAAGTTTCAATGTATGGAAAGATACACTAATAAAAACTTCATTTAAAAATTAGCCCTCATTCAAACACTTCTGCTAATTTACCATCAGTGTAACCCTGACCATCAAGTCAACATTCAGTCTTGTAAACATCCAGGTTATATAACACATGTACAGCTATCCTTTGCTATCAAAGTTCTAGCAATCAGAGCTCAGAAACTGAAGAGAAAAACATAAATTTTCAGAAAAAAATTCCCCACTATCCCAACTCATGATATTCTCAATCCAAAACTTGAGACCCCAAAGATCAGACCACATGGTATTACTCACTATCCAAACCCACGAACCATGTAGATTTAGAGGGTGAAAAATACTCGCACATTATAATCTCAGAAAAAAGTGAAAGATTTCATCATGAATTAGAGGAATGTTGGATAACTGCTTGAATTATATATGCTAACCAAGATCTAGCAAACAAAACAGCTGTGAAAAATCAACAATTTGACAGACATGAAGAAGGAGGATGATTTGACTATCAAAGGATCAAGAAAGGCCCTTAGCAAACAATGAAGTCTTTGGGTATTTTCTGCAAAGTAATCTTCTCTGTAAGTGTGCTACACAAGTCAAATCAGATGTAGAGGACACTATACTCTATATTATTAAGTCATTATCAAGTTTTTGACAAAATTTACTAAAAGATGTTATTTTAGAATAACACATAAATTATTTTTATTCATACTAAGAATTTGAAAATAGGTAAGATTATTACAGATTAAGTTTTATTAAACAGAAGAAAAAAAGCCTTTATACAATGCTTCTTTTATCATGACAAAACCTCAATCAACCCCTTCCCTGGCACAAGTTTAGTACAATATGCCACTGTAACTTATAAACTTCAAAACAAGTGTATGGACTGGACAGTATTAATTTTAAAGTCCTGAGATTAAAAACTGATGAGTAACAGAAAACTGACATTTAGCATTTTAAAAACCCATAGCTTCTTTGTAGATCAACTTTTTTTAAACATTTTTTCATTGAGTTATAGTTATTTTACAATGTTGTGTGTAGACTAACTTTTTAAAAGAACTGGTTAGCTGAAGTCCCTATTGCTAATATGTATTTGGAGAAAATAAGTACCTTCCGAGGTTTAAACAGCAATGAAAGTCTCATAATATGTTTCAGAATGTTTTGGGAGCTGCCTGTCACATTTTACATGAGAGTTAATAAATGTTACTTGTTCTCCCTCATTTTCACAATAGCAACAGCTTCAGAATAACTACCTCAGCACACGCATAAATCCAAAGGTCATTTTTCAGCCATTTATTTATAAGGAAAGAGTTTGTTGTTTTTTGTTTTAGCCATTTATAAATGCTTTAGGTATTAGACCTGCAACCTAAAATGGTCCTTCCATGTAATATAGGTATTCATAGGTATACTTCATAAGGATTTCAAATTCAATTCTGTATTAACATGGTCTAGATTTAGTCTTTTAGGAATATCTATTCTAGTAGAAAAATGTTACTAGTAAGGGGCAATGCTTTTAATCTCAAAGTAAAAAGTCTAGCTTAGCATGGAAGTTGGAGGGGAAAAGGCAATTTAATTTAATCCAAACATTTAACCACATATCCAAATATTATTCTTAGTTTTTCTACATTTTGGCTGCCTCCACTAGAGATGAAAGATTGTTTTTATATTTTCTTCAGTATAGCCGGGTCATGACCAGTGATAATCCAAGATTAACTTAATAACATACTATACTTATCAGCCTTTCCTGGTATTCTCTGCATCCATAATCATGTTATCATTCAACCAGAAATGTCCACTGTGCTCTCATGCATCTTTTGCTCCATACATGCACGTCTGCTCCATACATGCATGGGGCATGCACACACACGTGCACACACACACACACTCTTACCTGATTGGAATGAGTAACAATCAGAGTCCTCTGCTCTGGGAAGTTGTGGTAGATGTTGGATATGATTTGGACTGCCACATCTGTTTTTCCTGTACCTGGTGGGCCCACAACCTAAAAACAGAGAACACATAGCAGACTACTAAGTTATCACATCGTTAGAAAATAGAAATTGTAAACTCGAAAGATAAGATAAATTTTAAAATTTGCTAGATGAATTCAACACCAGAATGGGTAAGATAGAGTTGGTAAACCTGAGGACAGATCAATGGAAATCACTAACCAGAACAATAAGCAGAAAAAAAATTATTTTTAAATAATAAACATAGCCTCATGAATCTATGGGGCAATATTAAAAGGTCTAACATATCACTGGAGTCCTGGAAAGAAAGGAAAAGTACACAGAATAGAAATATATTTAAAGAAATAATGGCTGAAAATTTCCCAGATCTGGCAAGAGACATAAATCTACAGATTAAAGAAGTTCAGCAAACCATAAACAAATCTAAGCCTAGACACATCATAATCAAGATGCTTCAAATGACTCTGGGCTTCTCATTAAACACCATGAAAGCCAGAAGGAAGTAAAATAACATTTTTAATGTTCTGAAAGAAAAAAGCTGTCAATGCAAAATTCTATGTCTAGTAAAAATATCTTCAAAGAATGAGGGTGAATTAGAGACATTCTCATATGATGGAAAATTAGTTAATTCATTGTTAGGAGATCTGCTCTTAAAATTGGTTAAAAAGAAATTCTTCAAAGGAAATGGTACCAGAGGAAACTTGAGGTACCAGGAATAAAAGATAGATGGTAAACATAAAAGACTATTCGCCTCTGCAGTTCTTTTTTAAAATACGTTTGGTGTTTGAAAGAAAAAAATTTAATATTGCCTGATAGCATTTTCAATAATATATATGACAACCACAATATAAAAGGGGAAAGCAAAGGGACATCCATGGAAGTAAGGACATTCAACTTAAGAGACAAAATATTGATTCTAAGTAGACTGTGAAAAGTTAAATATGTATGTTGTAACTCTCTAGAGTAGCTATTAAGAAAAAATTGTACAAGAGATACAGTAAAAGAACAAAAGATAAATAAAAATGAAAAACTAAAAACTATCCAAATAACTCAGAAGAAGGTAGGAAAGGGGAAACAGGAACACACAAAAAAGGGGAACAAACATAAAACAAATAATGAAATGGTAGGCCTAAATCCAAACAGACAAATAAGTACATTAAATGCAAATGGACTAAACGGGACTTAAAAGCAGAGACTGTAAAAATGGATTAAAAATCATGCCCCAACTATATGATGTCTACAACAAACTCACTTCGAACATAATAGGTAGGTTAGAAGTAAAATGACAGAAAAAGATGAATCACATAAATAAACACTAATCAAAAGAAAGCTGCAGTGGCTATATTTATATTAAAGCAGACTTTTGAGCAAAAAAAATTACCGGTGATGAAGACAGACACTATGTATGATAAAAGCAACAATTCACCAAGAAGATATAACAACCCTGAAAGTGTATGTACATATCCATAAAGTTTTAAAATACATGAAGCAAAAACTGACAGAACTGAAAAGAGAAACAGACAAATACATAATTATAGTTGGAGACTTCAATACTGCTCTCTCAGTCATCAACATACACATTCTTTTCAAGTGTTCATAGTATATTCACCTACAGATAGAGCATGTCCTAGGTATAAAACAAGCCTAAATAAATTAAAATAAATTAAAAGTTGAAGTCATATAAAGTATGTTCTCTGACTTTAATGGACTTAGATCAGAAATCAGTAACTAGAAAGTAACAGGAAAATCTCTAAATACTTGGAAATTAAACACGCTTCTAAATCAGCATCAACAGACTTTTCCTATAAAGGGCCAGTAAGTATTCGTATTAGATTTTGTGTCCCACACAATCTCTGTTGCAAGTATTTAAACTGTTGTTGTAGCAAAAAAGTGGCCATAAGCAATACATGGGCATAGCTATGTTCTAATAAAACTCTACTCATAAACAATGAAATGAGTAGCGAGATCTACATATGCATTAGATGCCACAATTACGTATAAACAACTTAAATTCAGTTGGGTTTTTGTGCTTTAAATAGAACTCTACGCACTCTGAAAATCTGACACTCATTTCTGTCTGATTCCACGTAAGAACTTGTATAACAAATAATTCTCTTACCATAGTTAGCCCGGGCTGCATTCCAGCACGGATGGCCTCTATCTGTGTATGAGTGAACTGAATCGTATTACTGCAAATAAGAGTTGATAAAACATTGGTTAAAAATACAGATGAATGACATTAGTAAAAATTAACACAATAATGACCAGAGGTCTAAACATTTGCTCTATATTGGCCCCTGGCCTCCCCAAATCTTTTCCCTCCAATTTCAGCCCCTTCTGTGGGTGTTTGTGCAGTAAAAAGTACACTGAATGACAGGTATCTTCTTAACAAATTTTAAATGTTCAGCACAGTACTGTTAACTCTAAGCACAATGTTATACAGCAGAGCTCTACAACTTTACATCTCAACATGACTGACTCAGTGTCTTCTAAACAGCTCTCTTCACTCACACCCTTCCAGAGGCCAATTAAAACTAAATGAATCTTGTGGAGAGAAAAGACTACAGTTATTTAGCAATATGTTTAGCCCAGCCCCGACCTCATCTCAGTGTTAAAGTTCTAGTTTCCAATCTGACACCAAATACAAGGCCACTTTCTAGTCATGGCACACGTGCAAGAGGGGAGCTGCTAAATGGAGCACATGGTCATGAAGTAAGAACCCTGTGCTCAAACCAAGGTAGTCCCCGAAAATTTATTTCTCATAGTACCTGAAAATGCTTCTTTTTGAAATATTACTACAGAAGGGCCAAAAAATGAGCTATTCAGTCAATGGATAGAAGAGGGTCCAGAAACAGAAGTTTTGTAAAATTTTTAAAGGATCAGAAATTTTAAAAAGTATTACTAATCCTCTTGAAATAGCAAACCATGATTCATTATTATGATTAGCAGAGAGAGTGAAATTACCGTTTGGGTTGGTTGTACGGATAAGGACCTCTATTAGGGATAACGTGAGGTTCAACAATTAAGGTTCTTGCCTCTTCACTGTCTTCATCTTCCCCCTCCGCATCTTTCCTTTTCTTCCCTTTGCCGCTTCTTACTGGGAAAGTTATCCTACAAGACCAAAACCTTTGTTCGTTTTTACAATCAACAATGATTCGCCAATCACCTATCTTATGCTTGACACTGTACAGAGGATTATCAGATGAGTAAGAAACATTTATAGCCTAAAGGAGCTCACTATCTGCACATAAATTTTGAAAAAAGCAGATTTAAAAGCACTAAAATGTGTGTTAAGGGTATTCAGATTAGAAAAAGTCATCTGATTAAGGGAGAATCAAAGAAACATTTATCTTTTTAGGGGAAATAACTTCTTAAAATTAGGGTAATATTCATATCACATAAAATTCATCACTTTAAAGGGTACAATTCAATGGGCTTTAGTACATTCACAATGCTTTAGGGTCATCACTATTGTCTGATGCCGGGATATTTTCATCATCCCCAAGCAAACCCCATGCCAGTTAAGCAGTCACTGCCTATTCCAACCTAAACCCAGCCTATGGCAACCAATAATTTACTGTCTTTATATCTGCTTATTCTGGACATTTCATATAAATGGAATCATACAGTATTTGTCCTCTTCTGTCTGGCATCTTCCACTTAACATAATGGTTTCCAAAAAAATTTTATATATTTCTGGTATATGCACTGTAAAGTGCTTTACACCTTGTCCTTCATATAATCAGAAATGGCTTTATGGAAAACTTGGCATTTAAAATGAATTTCAAAGTATTTAGACATATAAACATGAGAGGGAGGACATTCGAGGAAGAAAGAACAGCAGAGACTCAAGTACAAGTAGCCAGTTTTACGGAAGTGTAGGATACAATAGGGAAAACAAGGCTCAAGACAAAGGCTGGAGCCCTGTTATGACACCTTTGGAATACCAAGCCTTTAAGGCAGAAGTTCTCAGTCTGGGATCAGTGATACCTCAGGAGCTAAGCCCCCACAGGGAACTGAGGAAGTCAATGAATACTCTAAAGTTAAACTGAAAAATTAATTCTCTATGTGCACTTTTTCCTAGTCTTTCTTCACATTCTGAAAAACAAAGATCATACCCCCTGCCCCTGCAAAGTGCTAAGAAACAAAGAGGCTAAGAGGTCAGCCCTTATTTTGATAAGCAACAGGAAAAATCAGAATTTGAAGTTAGTGGAATGACTCCTGCAGTAAGGCATGTAATGGCTTCAAGAGAGGACAGAGAGGCAGGAAAGGCACTCTATTAAGAAGACTGAAGGTGCTGAGGACCTAGAGAAGTAGCAGTCAGGACTGCCATATGAAAAAAATGCTGAGCTTTCCAGATGGGGTGAATAGAAGAATGATTTTGCCATTAACAGGATTAGGAAAGTATGAAGGAAGGCAAGGTTTGGGTGTTACAAAGGACACATGTTTTTAATATGAAGAATTATTATATTTATACTTAACAGCCAATTAAAAGCTGGATGTTCTAATTTCCAACTAAACAAGTAACTAAGCTCTTTCCTACCACCTTAGGTATACTTAGTGCTTAATCTATATGATGGAATTCATGAAGGAACCAGTACTTCTAGTACTTTGATCTTTTTCTACTCAAATTAAAACCAAAGCTCCTTTAACACTAAATATAACTATCTTGTAAATATTTAAATTGTGTGAAAGCAAGCAGTGTTAAAAGAAAAAAAAAGTTTTTCCTAAAACCAAAAGAAAGCTCAAAATCACATGGCTATGAGAATTAATTAGGAAATGTATCAGATTATATGCATAATCTGCAAAGATGTATTTCTCCAACCAAGCGCTATATATATATATATATATATATATATATATATATATATATATATATATATTTATATAGTACTCCTCAGACAAAAAGCATTTACTGATCCCTTATAAGACATAAGGCTACTTCTATTGTATTCTTAAAATAGCTACTACACAAAGAATTAGAAATAGAGTCAAATAAAATAAACTCATCCCAGTTATTATATGGTGAAGGTAAAGACTGCCCACACAAAATCCAGATATGATACTCAAAACTTCCTTTAGCTACAGTCCTCATGGCCTAACTTGGACTGACTATAGAAAACTTCAAAAGGAGTATGTTCAGTTCTGACTTTACCTGAAAGGGGGTATCTGGAGAGCTGGGTCATCCACAGTTACTTTAACATTATGACCAGGAAAGCTGGTTTTTAAATGCTCAATGGAGAGAAATGTATCATTGAAATCAAGGGTGGCGATCTGATTGGGCATTTTTGAATAATGCGCACTGCTTGGATCCCCATAACCTAAAATGATGTCATGTAGCCAGTCAGGTACCACACAATCAGTATTCATCAGGTTCCGAATGGTCTCCAGCACAGCCTGTCAGTAAAAGGACAAGAACAAATTTTATCAAGAAGACATCTCAAACATTTGCACTGCAGTGGAATGCAGGGTTGGCTGTACTAATCCAGAATTCCCGAGTGTTTCAGGGCAAGAAGCTATTTTCTGCTGACAGGTGCTTGGCTAGACTGAATCAACAGCTATATTTTCAGCTGATACCATACACTGAGTTAAACAAAAGACCAAACTTAGCAAGAACAGTTTATCCACTAGGAGTTCATTTAGACAGAATGTCATAAATGAGTTTACCACTTGACTTCTGTTGAGCAGGATGAAAATTCAATCAGGTATATAGTATAGCAAGAAAACATTATAGAACAAACCCTTAAAAAATGCACCCTCTTAGAAACTACCAGGGTTTTCTCCTCTATATTTCATAGTTCCACAGTGCTAACATTAATATATATGCCTCAATTGTGAAATTAAGAAATTCTAAAATTAGCACTGTCAGAAATAAGAAATTTTAAAAATGAACAATGATAAAAATGAAAAGTCAAAATTTTCAGAATGAAAGAATTAGGACTACAATAAAAGGTATTATAGTAGTTAATTTATACATTTTCAAAAGTCATTACTAAAAGCCAAGGTAAATTCTTAGACTTTGCAATAATTATTTCAACAAAATGATATATCTCTATCCCACATATGGAAATCGGAAGGCTAGGCTATTAATTTCATAAAATAAAACAACCAAACCAGCCATTTGTATATAATAAATGTTATACATCCAACAGGACAACAAAATAATAGGATAGTGTATGTTAATACAATACTTTTATCACATTACCTTGTTTTATTTTCTTGCGCTTATCTCTAACTAAAATTCTCTTATTCATGTACTTGGTTACTTATTTCCTGTTTCTATTTCTGACTTCCCTAATCAGTAGTCTAAGCTCACTAACGGTGTAAACTGTGCCTTACTCATCTTCATTAACTCTATAGAAAACTTAGCACAATACCAGACACACCACAGGCATTAAAAAAATGATGAAAGGAATGACTATAAAAAAGGAACCATTTTTCTCTTAGTAAACTGAATAAAATTCATTCATTACTGAGAAACAGAGACAGACAAAACAGAAGCCGTGTCCTCATAAATTTGCAGACTAATGCCAGAGAAATAACAAATATAAAGTCCTTCTAAAGTCAGGTAAATAACAAACATATAATCATCAGGTATAATAAAGGCTGTGAGGAAAAATGAAGATAACTGAATAAAAAATGATGAGAAAGGGAGATGGTACTTTAGAAAACATTGTCAGAGAGGGCTTCTGTAAGGAGCTGACATTTAAACAGAGTTGCCCATGTAAAGTAAGGAAAAATCCATGTGGATACCTGGGAGGAGACGGTTTAGCTGGTGGAAACACCACGTGCAAAAGCTTGGACTACTACAGAGTAAAGAGGTCAGTGTGACTGGAATGGCGTGAATTAAGAAAAAGTGTTAGAAAATGATTTTGGAGAGGCAGCCAGAGGACAGATAATAAAGGGACCTTTGGATTATGGTAACAATCTTCTACTGTGATGGGAGACCATTAAAGTACATGAACAGGGATACCAGGTTGTAATTCACATTCAGTCACTACATGGAGAATAGTGTAAGGGAGGAGCAATCAAGAATGGAAGCAGGGATGTGAGAGATGAAGGTGTCTGACACGTGGCATCAGCGGAGGTGGTGAGCCAGTAAGACTGACTGATGGATTGGATGTGGAAGACAACAAGAAATCAAGGATACCGTCACTGTTTTGCCTTCAACAACAGGGTGAGATGTGGAATAAATTTCTTTGTATGTGAGATTTTCTTCTTTTAATCGTAACATTGGGTTAAAAAAAAGGTAATAAAGTGATACTGCATAAGAAGCACTATTTTGGGGGAGAGAGAAAAGAAAGGCACTTGTGCAAAAGCTAGTGTTTTCAAATGCTAGAATTGCTTAATGTTTAAGTTTTATAGTAAAGTTTCAAATAATAATTTAAAAATCTTCCTCTACTCCTCTCCACAAAGTTATTATAAAAGTATAACTCTCTAATCCCCAAACTCCCTTTTTCCATTAATGAATAAAATATAAATACAAAATATCATAGAGTAATTCAGAACCCTGCAGTTCCACATCTGTAGTCTTAAAGTAATTTGGAATATACCTACTTTTGATTTAAAAAAGAAGTCCCAGTATATATACAAGATCTTGTGGTAGCTCACAATGAAAACAAAAGTGACAATGAATATATGTATGTTCATGTATAACTGAAAAATTGTGCTCTACACTGGAATTTGACACAACATTGTAAAATGACTATTACTCAATAAAAAATGTTTCAAAGAAAAGAAAGGAAGTCAGTAAACAAATAAACAAGCACTTCTCTACACCTCATACTGAGGCATAAACGGAGTAATATACAAAAAGCAAGGACAGATGCTGATCTTTAAAATAACAACAGAATTAATTGATACTTTGTTTCTAGCTTAAAAAGACAAAGATCATTATTTTATTAAATCATTATTTTTTTTACCAGTATCTATGTACTTCTGTCTTAAAAGTTATTCAAATTATGGCATAGTACTTTTAGTTACATAGCATAAAAATTACCTTGAAGTTATTTTCCTTTGGTTTTCTCCTCATTATTATGTTGAAAGTTTCATACACATCTTCTGCTCCATTCTGTATAGTACTGGTCATGTCTTGTTGATACTGGTTCGGATCCAGAAACACTCTAAATGTCCTTGACTCTCCTCTAAGATTGGGTCTGGGTTCAGGTCCTGGACATTTTTTTAAAAGTTTGGTAAATGAAATATACACTTTTCAAATATCCAAGTAAGTCAGCAGTATTCCTTTTCTCGAAAAGATGAGTAAAATGTCCAGACTTAACTCCAGCCACTACCGTGACTAGAATGCCTTTAATTCATCCATTTCAAATTCCAAGAAGCTGAAAATATTTTCTTTCTCTAAATTTTCACTATTTCTTCCCAGAAAGGTCATGAGATGCCTACGACGCAGTGCCATGCACTGCAATTATTTTTATATGCCCTCATCTAAAACAGGGGCCTCAGAAATCAAAGAACCTAACTTGTGCCAGTCACACAGCTCCTTCTACTGCCTCCACTACTGCCTCACATACAGGAAGCCCTTGGCTGATCACGCCTTTCATCCTCCCGCGTCTCATACCTAACATTGTCAGTATGAAGGAAAATTTCATACCCTAATGGCTAAAATCTCAGAAGCTTTATCTTGCCTTTTGCCCTCTCTCCTTCCTTTTCGTCTTAGACTTCCAACTCTCGCCCCATTATGTGGCCTTATGTTTATTTCACCTATCCTCCATTCCCTTCTCCTACTTTCTTTTATTCTAGTGTTAAGAGGAGCCTAATTATCAGCACTTCAGCAATGATGCGATCTTGAAATCACAGGCAGTAGAAGCTGATTCAAATTCTGAGAGAAAATTTGTAAGCGAATTATAAAATAAGCACTGGGCACAGATGCAGTTATAATTTAATAGTAAGTATTACTCAAAAAGTCAGGACAACATAAGGAAGAACTTCAATAAACCATCAGTGATAAGCCTAAAAAAAATCAAAGAGCTGACTAATCCTTTAAGGCAGTGTTCCCAAATGGGGATAATGCTGGCATCTTGCGCAAAACAATTCCTTCCAGCAGTCAGTTGTGTTCAGATGGTCAGCATCGCTGGCCCCCATCCATCAAACACCAACAGCTCACCATTCCCTTCCGCGACCCCAGTCATTTGACAATGTAAATACCACCACATATTTAAAAAGACATGGTAGTGCTGTTCCCAGTTGAGAACAACCTGCTATCATGAATCAAATAAATAAAATTTAAAAAGGAAAAATTAGGAAGCTGTATCATTGAACAACTAAGGGGTGTTCGGAGGTTTTTAAAAGCAATATTGTAAAGCATTATAAAGGGAAAAGTTTTAAATAAAGGCAGTTTTAAAAGATCCTGCCCAATGTCTAACACAGACGTTTAGAAACCATATTCAGTTATTTCTCAAAGTGCATGGTAGGTACCCTATACACATCTTATGTATAATCCTTTGTGTCAGTTTAGTATATAAAACAGCTTAAAAAAATTACAGAGGACGCAAAACAGAAACAAGGAAAAGAAAATTATCATTATGTACACAACTCTTTCAAAAATATGGATCACCATACCGTCTTCAATGACACGCCCTTTATCATCCAGCATGCCCTGGATTTCACAGCCTCTGACATAAACCAGGCCAACTTGCTCTATAAAAGGTCTCCTGCGGTCAAATTTGGTACCATAAGGTTTTGTGGGACGCACAGTAATTAAAAAGCATACATCATGCTTCCGAAGTCCTAGCAAAACAAGAAGACATTTTCGCTTATTTGAATGCTTTTTTTGTTTTCAGTCTTTTGTTGGCAAATTCCCCTCCTCTTATTTTTGGAATGGAAATATAATAAGCATTGAAAATATCAGAGGTGATCAATGATTATATTTACATTGTAATACAATTATGGGTTTTTCTATAATCTTTAGCAATCAATGTTTGATAGCAATAATTAAAATAAAAATTTCTCTAAAATTAGAAAGCTTTATGCCATGAATACATTACTGAATAAGTCTTTCCAGTCATGCTACAGCTCCAAAACTGAATGCCTGTCATTCTTTTTCTAACATTCTTAATAAATAACCAAAAATATGGTTGGCATATAATCCACCTATATCATATTTAGCAGGTTTCTAATATCAGTTTAAACTATCTATCAGTGTCATTTCAACAACAGTCTAATTGTATTTCACCAAAGGAGGTCAACTCAAGAATAATTCATCCAGGCACAAAGCACTGTTCACAGAGCATCTTGAGAAGACAGCTGAATATATATAGTTTCAGTTGGCAAATGCTGAAATTTTTGTAAGTGAATGTCAAGAAATAGGTGACTTGTGCCAAAGTCTATAATTTCTCAGTCATTAGATCAAATAATGGATTCAACTGGATTCCCAACTCTATTAAAAGTCAACACAATGGAAGACAAGAGGCATAAAATCACACCACACACTGTGTATGCAATGTTACACCACTTAATCTTCATTTTTAACCCCAATTCATTTTTGTTAGTTCTTATAGAGTATAAATGCAAATTTAAACAGTCTGCTTGCTCATAATCTTGGTAACAAGATATATAACGAAATCACATCACAAATGTGAGTGTGTGGCTAATAGTATTAGCAACACTCTGGTATGTTTCAGTATGGAGTGGGGTTCAAGTGTACTAGAAACAATAACTCTGACTCATGATGATGGCTTGACTGTTTATTTTTCAACAAAATCTATGCAAAAAAGCAGGAGAAGAATGAAAACTAAGGGGTATTCTACTATATGAATTGTGCTGCACATTAAAACTTCTAAGTTTTAGAGCCAAAGAAGTGGCCCCAAGAAGTAATTTAGTCCCTACCAATGTCACTTTTTGGCATCACTGAGGGATACTGTGGGACGTCTTAGATCCACATTAAAATTAGCTATTTTACAATAAGCTCAACTCTCCTTACAACCATTTGCATTTACTCCATCCTGGCTGTGTCTTCTAGAGCAGAAGCCAATATTTCAATCTCATTAACTCTGTTTCCTTAATTTTAAATGGGGTAATGGAGAAGACAAGGGCCTAGCATCACATCTTTTTGAAGGGACAAGAAGAATGTTTTATAGTATTTAGCTAAAACTCTTCAAACCAATTCTGTTTTTACAGGACAATATTCATTACTGTTTCCAGAACCCCTCTCTCATTTTTTATTTAGTTACTTTATCTGTGATCAGTAAGGGGCCTGAATTTTGGCTCTAGCCTCCCAGAAAACACTTTTCTCCCCACCACTCTTGTCCCACAATGCCCTACTATTCCCTATATTGTCCATAGAAATGTACCCACTCTATTTCTTTTTTTTAAAACATTTTTTATTGAGTTATAATCATTTTACAATGTTGTGTCAAATTCCAGTGTAGAGCACTATCCACTCTATTTCTGATTCTACCAGAGGTCTTTGCTTAAAAAAAAAGAAAGCAGGGAAAAAAAGGAAAATAAAAAAAAAGACTTTGATGGCCTTCTGAGTAGCAGTCTCCAATGTTATGGAGGTAAGGGGTTCAGAGCAATTTTTTTTCTTAACACCACAAGGTAGGCTTGTCACCTGTCATCTATGCATTTCGATAAAGGGCGTTTTTTCCCCCTCGTTTTATTTCCAGCCATCATTACTTCCACGGGGTGGTCAGTACGTTATTTAAGTTCATTAACCACTATGTAAAACAGTGTTTATTTTAATCCCTCCTTAAGCTCCAAGGGGTAATAAATGTAAGGGCTTCTTCAGCAACTTAATGCCTTTCTCAAGATTCAGCAATAATTAAGGTACATGTTATTCTAGATGGGAAATGTACCAGATTGGAAAAATTCTGAAGGATAAAGAAGTCACAAAAACAATCTGTCACAAACTCTACTCAATACAGTGACTATTTGTTAAACATCTGGCCAGCTTTGCTGCTGGATTCCTTCAGAATTACTGGATGAATATATCATATAGTCCCTATGGCTATAAACAGCTATATCAAGAGCAATGATTTCTGAAAACGGATCCATCAAGGGACAATCCCTTGCCTTCTGGCATGTCAAGAAGGTGGAAGGAGAGAAAATCTACCAGCTCCTGTTTCTCACAGCAGGGGAGCAAACATCCTTATAGACAGCTGAGAGAAAAATATGAAATGCCAATTAGAAATCAGTTTATGTGCCATTTCTGGCACAGGTGTTATTGATGTTTTAACTCCATTTGGCTTAGTAACTTTGAACACATCCGCCTCTAAATAAAATTAATTGTGATATAGAACTACCATCCCTAAAATCTTGCTTAATAAAGAATAGGAAGAATAACTCAGTTTCTCTGCAATTATTTATCCTTAAGTGCATCTGATTTCACTGATTTTTTAAATCTGACTTCCTCTCTTTGGTACAAATAAACTATTATTATTTCTTCCCCAGTTACTTTATTAGCTCCCTCTAAAGTCCTTCTGAGTTGGTCTAATTTTGATTTTGTATCTTTATTTTCTGCAAATTATATGCATCCTTATCCTCTTTACTTGGGCTGCTTTTATCTTTTAAAAATATCTATTTTCCTTACTTGCTCTGTATGTGGGCAAATTATATGTGAGTTTCCCCCCTTCTTTAGTAAATAAAAATACTTTTATTTTTTATATTGATTTTATAAACTCATAAACATCATCTTATCACGCTTAAGATTTAGAATGCTCTCCCTTTCAGCTCTGCCAACTGCAACTTTCAAAACACTTTGATATGTGTGCTATTTTATGCTTTTATTAAAGTATTAAGGTATTTAATTATTTTTGTATGATCCTTGGTATTTTTACTACTAATAATCAGAAATCACTTGCCATTCTTTAAATGATTCTTTCATTTTGAAGATAAAATTAAGTTTATAAGAGTAACGTTTAGTAAAAGTGCTTTGCCAATGCTCTAGGTGAAAATCTATAAACTAAGAATGCAAAACCGATGCCACTTCTTGAAATACAAAATTACCTTCCCATTCATCTTTGATGTGATCCCTGACGTTCAGGTTGATGGTAACATCTGCACGAACTCTGGTTGGCCAGTTTTCACCTATGTTGGGTTTGGCAACCTCAACCACAGTGAAAGCCACAATAGGCTGGGCCATTCGCGCCCAACCACCAAATACTACACCGCCGTACTCAGACTGCCTGGAAACCAAAGAAGTGGATGATTACTCAAACAAATAACTTTTTCCCAACTTCTGGACAAGCAAAACTGGTAACTAAATACTAGCTAAGCATGTATTCTTAAGTCCTAATATTGGCAACTCTTATTTCTAAACTTAAAAAAGAAAAAAATCCTTAAGTTCCAATATACAGGGAATGCATGTGGTGGGATGAAACAGGCAAACATGGTCCAGAAACGAAAGGGAAGTAAAGGAATATCTCCCACATCCCTGGAAAAAAAGCTAACTCTACGTATGTAAGAGCTGAGCCATTTTGTCAAAGAATGAAGTTACACAGCATATTCGGTTTTATTTTATATTCTTACCCTTTTCTCCTCTTCATCAAGATATTCTCAATTGTTTATAGTTTATCTTATGTATTACAAGTATTTCTATACAGAGTTTCAAAAATGTTTTAGAACATTCTAGAATTTAAAAAATTAAAAATAAACAAGTGATAATATCTATGCAAATGCTTTCTTTAGGGTATAATATTTAAATCATTTAAATGATGCTGCCATGGATGGTGGGGGAAGGCAGATAATCAAGCTAGTTGTAATAACTAGAACCATTAACCTCCAAATACTCATTCTTTCTGCTATTAGTGCTTTAGCTTTTACATTAAATAGTGTCCTTGGGAAATCTGTACCATAAAGACTGCAGCAACACTCTGAAACTGGAAGGTACTGCCAAAAATGACATGCTTGCAAAGATAAAGAAAAACTATATCCTAAGCAAAGACTCTAATAAATAATAATAATTGTAAAACTTCATAACATCAAAGAGTGAAAAATAACTGAAAATAAAAGTTCTGCAATTCAATAACTTGGTTAGTGGTGAAATAATTTCTAAAAGGCATTACCTTATATCTAAAAGCTTTTGTAATAACCTTCTATCCCCTCCTTCTTTTTTTACAACTTTACTAAAATATAGTTTACATACCATAACACTCATTTGCTGTAAATATACAATTCAGTACTTTTGAGTTAATTTACAGAGTTGTGTATCCATCACCACAATCCAATTTTAGAACATTTTCATTATACATTAAAAAGATTTCCATTGTCCATTTGCAGTCAATCTCTGTTCCTACCCTCAAGCAACCACTAATCTACTCTCCCCAATACTGTTGCCCCTTTATAAAATCTACCTGCAACAAAAGGCGTTAAAAAACATAGATTTCTGACCCTCTTAATCTTAGCACAACCTCTCTTCTGCTGCTCAGTAGTTTCAGCAGCCTGAAAACGTGATGAGAACTAGGCAGTGAGTCCCCTTTTTTAGATCTTGTTATTTTTAACCATTTTCAATGATGGGCAATTAGGAATGAAAATTTAGAAAAATTTATCATCAAAAATTATCCCCCAAAAGTAACATTTTCTTCTAGCAGAAAATAAGTTAAAAAATTATTTTTTTATTAAGCCATAAGAACTCTAAGTATTACTGCTTTATTTGGCATTTAAGTAAAAATATAAGGGAATTCTATTTGATGAACTGCTAGTTACTAACTCCCTACTCTGCAAAATCACCAAAATTTGGTCCAGACTCTGAGCATGCAAATGCAAGGTAACCATAAATTGTAAGGCAGCTTTCTGATCAAGCACTCCCCCGGGGTCCAAACAATGGGCAACAATTTCAGCAAAGCTGTGGGCAGAGATGATCAGCCAGTGGGTATACAAATTTCATAGTGCTAGCCTGCCTACTGACTCAACTGATTATTAAGTCAAAAATACATTATGTTGTGCTTTATAGTCTCACCCAGAATAACTTTTCACATAATAATTAATTAAAAAATAGAACTGTGTATGGAAGTGAAAAAAATAGATCATAATCACAGTGTGCATGTAGCTGTCTGTAATTAGCAAGGGGAGAAGCCTGGAACATACCTGAATCAGTTCACATTCAAAATTCATTAAGCTTTTCACACAGAATGCAGTCTAACTGTACATACAGGCACATGGTGTGACAATAATGTAATGAAAATTCATTTTACAGAATTATTTTCCTCATTTATAGTCACTTGTGATCTATCACTTATCTCCATTAATTTCATACTTAGAATGAAATAGTGGATGAAGGGCATTTACCCAAAGTCAGTCACGTCTAAAAAGCAAAGCTAACCTTCACAAATCTTATAACGCAGAGCTGACTACAACAAATCAAAGTCTTTTCTTTGCTAAAGTAGTTCCAGACACAAGCTAGCAGGTGGAAAGTCAGTTCAGGCAGAAGAGCTCCTCAAATAACGAAACGTACTCAACAGGCCCTAGAGGTAGATGCTGATGATTTAGTCTCTTCAAGGCAATCTGTGGATGGAGGGCCAGGGAAGATTTTCCAGTGTTCCACTCCGTGCAATGTTCAGCTATGCCCCTCATCTCCTGCCAGGTCCTCTGAGAGGCTGACTGAAACTAGTGGTGACAGCCACAAGAGCTGCTGGGGTAACAGAATACCCTTTATCAGAAGCTTCTCCTGGGACTTGAACTGCTTTGCCCTCGTACAGACCTGCTGGCCAGCCCATACCCTTTCCTCTTTACCCTTTTACTAATGCCCAACTCACTCCCTTCTGTGTTTCTCCCTCCCACCCGACTCCCCAGAATAATGACCTCTCCTCCCTCACACTCAGCCCCACCCCCAAGTACCCAGACACATAATTTTTATTTTAGCGCTTTGGATGTATCTAATTCACATAAAAAAGTTTCTCAAAAGAGTAAACATCTCATATTTTAAGGGGCATCTTCATGCCAGATATATTATTTCAGAATACACTTGTGAGGTTTCTGACAGACGGATGTCAGTCACTGTTGCTTCTCTTCATTGCAAATGGAACCAGTTTACTCACCATGGCTTCATTCTGCTGACACTATCCTCGATGTCCTGCCTAATTTCGTAAGTTGATTCCAAGCGGAAGAGATTAAAGTTCCTTAGAAGGTAATCATGAAGAGTCAAAAACTGCAAATTCAACTTTGGAAGAGCAAGACAACCTGAAAAGGAAAATAAAATATAATATTTGAATTAGTTTTTAAATCAGACATCTGCTTTATGTATAAAAAAAAGCACTACAAATTTGGTAAGAATCTAATTTAATGGTGTCTAAAGTACAGCATATTTGATAAGGCCTTATTTTTAATTCCACACAGAAACTGAAACCAAGTCAACAAATGCCATCTATTAAGATTGGAAATAAAGGATGAATTCCATTAGTATATGTAATCTGCATATCAATGATTCATATGCAAACATTACTTCTAAAAAGTATTTAAAGATATTTAAAACACACACAGTCTCGAGTAGTTTAAAAAATTCTTCCTTTACCACCTAATTTATATTTGGCAAATCTCAAAGTAAATAATGCTACCAGAAATATAGCCCATGACCAACTTTACCATGAAAACTGATTTGGAATATCACATTACACAATTCTATCTTCAGTGATCACTACTGTGCCGTGAAGCTTTGCCCTTTCGCTAGACTTTAAGGATAAAACCTTGACTGTATGTTATTCCTCGAGTTACTTCCCTTCTCTGACAATATTAATGATCAATATTCTTTCCATTATCTTCATCTAACACTATTTCCCTTGCATACTAAGTACCCAAGCACTCAGGAGCAATAGCAAAAATATGTTTCAAACTCAGATCAGCATCACTGAATATTACCCAAAGCACAGATATAGGACTGTTTTCATTTTTAAGGACACAAACTTTTAATTAAAAAGACAAAATAATTGCAAGTGGTATTTGCCTTTTAGGGACTGATTAGTCAAAGGATTAGATTGATACAAATACGGCCATAATGCTTTTAGTATGAACAAATTAGCAAAGTGAGAAAACAATGCATTAACCACAGTCAGAACATAAAAACATGAAGAATGACTATTCTGAGATCAGTACGATTTCAGTACTGTGGGTTTACAGGAATTATGGCTCCAGATAATGACTCTGAAGTAACAGTTTTTCTTTTAAATAAATATACCAATACTTATACTGGTGATGTCTTTAAAACAGCCATATTTCTTCTAATAATGGTACTGTTTCCAAAAATCTTCCAGAAATATTTTTGGAAATATGCCTTCAAAATGTGTCAGAATGCACTCTGGAATATACTCAATTGTGACAAATTCTCATCATTACAGGATAAGAAAAAGCATTTAGAAACCAATCTGTTGAAATAGGTAAGCGAACACACCATTTCTTTCTTTTTTTCTGCTTTTTGTGGGGGAGGTAATTAGGTTAATCAATTACTTAATTTTTATTTATTTGATGGGGGCTTTGGGGATTGAACTCATGACCTCCTGCACGTGCTCTACCACTGAGCTATACCCTCCCCTCAACACACCATTTCTTGATGTTACTTGATGTCACCAGCCTGAAATGCAATCACCTAAAGAGAAATAAAACAGGCATCTCTGGTTGTTAAAAAAAAAAAAAAGCAATACCATTTCAGATCAAAACTAAGATTTTATACCAACTACTGTCAATATCTTTATTTTGGTGGTCATTAACTGGCTCTGTAAGGAGTTCAGAAGAGCCTCTGAAAAAGGCTTTAAAAACTAAAACACTACCAAACAGAACCTATTACAGTGACATAATAAAAGCTACACCTCCTGAATTATTAGGTCTCCTTAAAACAATTTTATTGCTTTATGGTCATATTTTATACAGGATGATACAGACACAGACATACACATTAGGGCATAATTAAATTTAATAAAAATCCTTAATGCTAAATATTCAAAATACTGAATAGTTTTTAGCTTCTAAAGTTGAACTTGAGGGTACTAGAAAATTATCCTAAAATATATATTAGATAGGAGTATGTTCAGTCACATGTGATGAACTCTAAACTCAGTTTCATGTTACATCTGAATACTGTACTTCTTTTTTGTTTTAAATTGAAGTATAGTCAGTTTACAATGTGTCAATTTCTGGTGTACAGCATACTGTTTCAGTCACACATATACGCAGACTTGTTTTAATATTCTTTTTCATTACAGGTTACTACAAGATATTGAATATAGTTCCTTATGCTATACAGAAGGAACTTGTTTATCTACTTTATATACAGGAGTTAGTATCTACAAATTTCAAACTCTCAATTTATCCCTTCCTGCCCTCTTTCTCCACTGGAAACTATATGTTTTCTATGTCTGTGAGTCTGTTTCTGTTTTGTAAATAAGTTCTTTTGTGGTTTTGTTTTGTTTTGTTTTGAAGATTCCTGAATACTGTACTTCTTTACCATACCTTCTCCAGAATAGTACTCGGTTGGGACAATATTTTCATCCCATATAATTTTCTCAGTTGGATATAAAGGCATTTGGTTCAACTGCTGAATCTGAGAAATTCGGCGTTCATGACGAGACACCTAAAAGAAACAGGTTTAGAAAGAAAGTTAGAACCATATTTTTTAAATCAAAAATAATTTATGGAGAAACTCATCATAAAGTATGGAATGAGAAATTTCATGTCTTTCAGTTACTGTGGTACTTGACAAGATATACTTTTTTCCTTTTTCCATTTTTTCCATAAACCAAAGAAGAAAGAGGTAATAAACATGATGGGCTTTGGAATCAGACAGATCTGAGTTCAACTTCCAGTACCTCTACTTATGAGCTAAGTGAAAGCTGGGCAAGTTACTTCAACCTCCCTAATCTTAGTTTCCTTTTCAGTAAAACAGATTAAAATGCCACTCCCTTCTTGGGAATCTTATCAAAATGAAATGCAATATTGTAAAATAGTGTCAAAGTGCCTGCCACATGCCAACACCTTAGAAACCACAGCACAAAGCATTCACCAACGGAAGAAAAAACTGGGAGCCCTAAGTCCTAGGTTACAGTTTTCATTCTTGCACTAACCATCTAAACAACCTGGGTAAGTTTATTAGTAACTTGGCCTCAGTCTTTTTTGTAAAATGAGAGAGTTGGATTTGATGATCTCTATGTACTCCTCCATTGTTAATGTTATAGTGATCTATCTCAAATACAGAAATAAGCTTTTACCTAATTAACAGATGCTAAAATAATGATGTATCTAGAAAATGTGTCACATTCTTATCAGTAGATAGTATTGTTTTAGGAAAGAAGATAGTGTGATATCATCTAAATAATACACATATTTCAACTTTTTATCATAATTTGGTTGGCTATTAGAAGAATCCAAAGCCTGAGAAAATCCTGTAAGATGAGGAGGAAACGAAAGATAATGCTATAGTGCTATAAACTTTTTAAATTGTTTTCTTTTGGCATAACTATTTACATTTTAAGGATGAAGTCTTAGCTACAAGACCCTAAAAAGCATAGATAGGATCAATTTTATACTCAAACCTGTTTTCCATTAGAAAGATCCTTGGAAAAAAATCCTCATTTCCTTCTATAGTAAGGATTTATTATTAATCCCCAAAACCTGACTTACCAGAGAAGATTTTATGTTGTCAGAAAATAGGACAAGGAATTTTTAGAAAGCATTTGCAGCCAGAGACCATGAAGTGATTTATAAGAAGGAAGGCAAAGATAGTGACCGAAGATATACATTTCATGTAAGTAAATATATCAATAAAAAGTATTTTCCATACTTGAGTTTATTTAAAACCTTTCCCATGGATTTCTCTCCAAATGGCACTTAAACACCTGTCACTAGGCTTAAAACACCTGCTGCAAATAGTTTCCTGTAACTATCCCAAAACAAGCATATCATCTTCCCCTCTACAGTAAGGAACTGTATTTTATACCCTACATTAGAAATATTAGCTTGAACTATGTCACAAAACCATGTGCCCATTATTGTTCCACATGTGTAAAAAAATGTATATACACATCCACATAGTGTATGTTTGTACAGGTATAAAAAAAATGTCTCAAACCTATAAAAGACAACTCAGGAAACAAAAAATTAAAGTAAGCTTTTTTTTTTTTTTACCCATGAGACTGGCAAAATTGGGATGACCTGTAACGTCCAATGCCGATAAGAACTTAAGGAGACATGCGCTAGTACACTGTTGATGGGAACGTACAGCTTCTGGAGGATGGTTTGGCTGCAACTTTTCTCTTTTAAATAAGCACATGCTTCAATCAGATGTACCTCTCCTAAATGTCCACATATGGGCACAAAGAGGCGTGTACAAGGACTGCATCATTATATGTAATAATGAACCTTGCAAACAACCTAAATATTCATACAAGGGTATGATTACATACTCATCCACTTAAGAGTTACTTTACGGAATACGGGATATCCCTTCCCCTCAATTTTTCTATGAACCTAAAACTGCAGTTAAAAAAAAAAAAACTTCACAAAAAACATATTAGTTTGAGAGTTAACGATCAAACTAGTACTCACTTCCTAAATTGGTTGAGAAATCTCTTAGCATTCTCAAACCACAAAGTCAGTGATAACTTTATTTGTAAACATTCCTGAGTTCTCTAGTGAGAAAGGTATAGCTTAATGGTCAAGATACTATATTTCAATATTAACTTAAAAATAAATATATAGATAGATGTAAGTAAATCTGTATTATCTCTGTGTATATGTGTAGGTATAACTTATCTCTTAAAGGCAAGAATGGTGTCGGCCATCTTTGTACCCACAGAGCCTGAATCCAGTACCTGACACAGATGTTGCTCATAAATGTTTGCATGGAATGAATACATGCCATAAAGCAGTTTTAAGAGGCAAGAGACTTGAAAAAAGAAATCTAAGAGATGAAAAAAGAAATCTGACAAACTCAAAGGACAATATAATGCCAAAACAGGTAGGAATTACTAACTCTTAAGCCCAGAAAAAAATCTGTACCAATCTACATCTTTAAGAATGATTTAGAAAGTCAGGAAAACCATATGCAAATTTCAAAGAACATTAATATTTACCAGTAATTCTAAAAGAAATTCTTTATCAAAAGTTGTGTCTTCACCTTTAGGAAGAGTGGGTAACAAACAGAGGTACGATGCCACCTCGTGGAGTGTATTTGAACTGCAGAATAAAGAACATTCAGGTCAGAGTATTTTATTCTTACAACGTATTTTACTTCATTTTTAAAACGTAACTTTACAGATTGCTTAAAGTTTTACTTAGAAAATATAATCCTATGGTATGAGCAGAAAATATATGAAAACAGCAATGAAAATTAAATTCCTAATACAGAATTTTCAAAGAGTCTTCTGCAAACTTCTCATGTGTCCTTGAGATCCTTTCAGGGAGTCTGCAAGGACAATACTTCTTCATACTAATAGCAAGACATTATCTCGTCTTTTTTCACTGTCTTTACATATATAGTGACAGCGCAAAAGCAATGGTGGGTAAAACTGGTGACATGGATCAAGACAGTGACACCAACCCATACTACAAGAGGTCATAGCATCCTCACTACCACACATGGTTATTAAAAAAAATAATTAAAAATAAAAATGCCAGTTTTGTATAAAAATGTCCTCGATAAAAACAGCAATTATTAATGCTATTAAATTTGGACTTGGGTAACTGTTTTATAAAAATGCCGTGACAGAATGGGAAGTACACATTTTGCACACAATTTTTACTTGAAGGGATGACTGACAAACTATGGTTATTCACACTTGAATAACAGCAAAAAATCTGAACAAAATAAACCTGTAACGTTAAGGAAAAATAACTGACAGTATTTGTTACAAAGATAAAATGTGAATTTCTGAATGAAAAACTGGAATTTTGAAAAACTGGCATTTGCCATTGTGAGTGTGACAGCCTTCCACTACTGAAATACAGTTTCATCAGTCCCCAGGTTCCCTCCAACTCTCTACTCCAGTCCCTGGGACCCACTAATCTGTTTTCAGTCTCTATAATTCTGCTTGACTAGAAGCCCAAATAAATGGAATCATGCATTATGTAGCCTTTTGCCACTGGCTGCTTTCACTCAGCATAATGCATTTGAGATTCACCACACTGTTGCGTGTAACTGAGCTGGTTCCTGTTTACTGCTGGGTAATATTCCATTATACAGATATATCATAATGTGTTTATTTACTTACCAGTTGAAGGATATTTGTATATTCCAATTTTTGACAACTATAAATAAAGCCATGACATATATTTCTGTACAGATTTTTCTGTGAACACAAGTTTTCACTTCTGTTGGGTATGACTGTGAGAACACTAGATCATACAGTAAGTGCACGTTTAACAGCGCAAGAAACTATCAGTTTTTTCCAAACTGGCATTACCATTTTGAATTCTCATCAGCAATGTATGAGAATTCCAGTTGTTCCACATTCTTGTCGAGTCGATACACTTGTTTTTATAAATAATTCTTAAGTACATAATGGTTTCTCATTATGATTCAAATTTGCTTTTCCTTAATGACTGATGATGTGTAATGATGCTAGTCATCTTTCTACAATCTTATTGAAGTCTATGTATCCTCTTTGGTGAAGTATCTGCTCAAATCTTTAGCCTTTTGTTTTTTTAAAGTTTTTTTTTTATCACTGAGTTCTAGATTTCTGGACACCAGTCCATCATCAGATATGTATTAAGCCAGTATTTTCTCCCAGTTTGGGGCTTGCCTTTTCATTCTCTTAACGATGTCTTTTAAATGAAAGTTTTAAATTTTGAGGAAGCCCAATTTATCTATTTTTTTCTTTTATGAATTTGTGCCTACAGAAATCTTTGCCCAAAGCATAATCATAAAGATTTTCTCCTGAATTTCGAAAGTTTTAGATTTGATATTTAGGTCTATAATTCATTTTGAGTTAATCTGTGCATATGCTGTGAGGGATGGGTGTAGTTCATACTTTGCATATGGATGTCCAATTGTTCTGGCACCGCTGTTGAAATTATCCCTTTGCGTTGCCTCGGTACCTTAGTCAGAAGCCAACTAACCATATATGTGTGGTCTGTTTCTGAACTCGACTCTGTTCCAGTGACTGTATGTCTACCCTGTTTTCAATTCCATAATGCCTTGATTACTGTAACTTTATAGAAAGTCTTGAAATTAGGTAGTGGAAATCTAACTCTGTTCTTTTTCAAAGTGGTTTTGGCTATTCTAGTTCCTTTGCCTTTCCATACTAGTTTTAGAATAAGCTTGTCATAGTCTATAAAACATCCTGCTGAGGCTCTGACTAGAATTAAATTGTATCTATTGATCAATTTGGGCAGAACTCATGCCTTAACTGAGTCCTCTCATCCATGAGCAAGGCATATCTCTTCATTTTAAACAATCAATTCACTTTAATTGCACAGATTTCCTTAACGTGGTTTCAGAACCACAATGAAACTAATTTTTAAGAAATTACCACTTGTCAAGTTTTAATATGTATCAAAGAAGAAGATTACCAAATACTTGAAAAAGCTATTAAAATGCACTTCCCTCTGTGTAAAGCTGGATTTTCTTCATTTACTTCAGGCAAAATAACATCTCACAACAAACTGAATCCAGAAGCAGCTCTGCAAATCTAACTGTCTCTAAATAAGCCAGATATTAAAAACATTGGCAAAAATGTAAAACAGTGCTATTCTTCTCACTATTTTTTTCACTTTGAGAATAAATTTTTCATTAACAATACGTATGCTAACATACAATAGATTTTAAATGATTTTTGAAATAAGTTAAATACTAATTTAATAGAATTCTATGCTGTTATTTAAAAGGAAGTAGACCTATGTATTATTAAGAGAGTTACTATTATATCTTCATATAAAAATGAATAACCAAAACAACCTTAATTTGTTTCAATTTAAATAATCAATTAACTAAACATAAAGAGTAAAGGACAATGGAGAGATAAGAGAGCACAGTAGTTAAAAGTTAGGGCTCAGAATAAAAATGAATAAAATTTTGCCATTTGCAACAACATGAATGGACCCTGAGGCCATTATGCTAAGTGAAATAAGTCAGAAAAAGAAAGACAAATACTGTATGATCTCATTTATATGTGGAAATTAAAAAAAAAAAAAAAAGAAAGAAACAAAAGATAAACCCCCCTGCCCCACCTCAAAACCAAGCTCATTGAAAAAGAGTAGACTGGTGGCTACCCAAGGTGGGGGGTGGGCGAAACGGTGAAGGAGACCAAAAGGAAGAAAATTCCAGTTATTAAACGAGTAAGTCATGGGGACGTAATGTACTGCACGATTATAATTAGCAATACTGTATCGCATACTTGGAAGTTGCTAACAGTGTGGATCTTAAAAGTTCTCACCACAGGACAAAATAATTCTGTATGTATGGAGATGAATGCTACCTAGACTTGTGGTGATCAATTTTGCAATAAACACAAAGATTAAATCATTATGTTGTACACCTGAAACTAATATTTTATGTTAATTATACCTGAAAAAAATTATACCACTTATTAGCTGTGTGACCCAGGCAAAGTACTCAACTCTTCTGGCCTCAGCTACATTATAATTACAATGGTACCTACTCCTCTCACATACATCAGGATTAAATTATTTATATACTAGCAGAGTACCTATGACATAGTAAATAAATGTATGCTATTACTGCCACTTTCAAAAAAAGTATATTAGCAGATAGCTAAGTGGCAGAGAATATTAACAATTTAATAAATTTTAAACATGCCAACACTTTCTTATGTCTTACCTCTAATATCACATGATGAACATTTATTGGTTTCTGTTGTTTATGACTGACAGGATACCAGCTTTCTGTCCTAACTTAAAAAAATTTAAGACCTAGGAAAACTATGTAAGTTGTGAAAAATATAAAATTTTATCAAAAAAAAAGAAAGAGAAGATGTATAATTATACTTAAGTGACTCAAACTTGAAGATACCAAAAGCTACAGAGAAGCACTAGTTCTAGTTGTTAATAAACAGTAATGCAGCAAGTAACATTACCTAAAGTAGTGCAAAACTAACTAAAAGCAAAAGAGGAAATTAAAGTTTGGTTGTCCTTTCATATTGCCTTACCTAAGAGGTCCAAAACACTTGACCAAGGATTCCCGAGTATCTACTTCCGCCACATTTGAGAGGGCAAAATCATACAGTTCAGGGAAATGTGCAAAAGCAGCTCTCTGAAAAACAACAGCCCCCCCAAAAATTAATGCCCACATATTAATATAATAAACTACAACGTATCCTGTATAGTGGAAAAGTAGTTTTTAAAAAAATTACTGCACTTCTCTTATATGCTTCTCATATGCGACCTCTGCCTTATTTAGCCAAAGGCATTAGATATAATGGGAAAAAAACAAAATTGTTCTGGCAGGAATGCACGTTCTAGATCCTAAACAGGAGTCAATGTTCAGATTTTGATTTCTAAAACTATTTTGAATATATATGAAAATAGCCAAGAAGGTCAGCTTCACTGACAGGAGGGGAGAAAAACAAAATAAAACAGACCATTTTATTATCGAGAACTGGCCTAACAAAACTAAAAGAAATTCCCAAGGGTAATTCCTACTGAAGAGGTATCTCGAGGGAGGGGCCAACAGGACAGAGAGCTTATGCCCTGCTTCACTTGGAAACTTTGGAAAGAAGAACCTCGCAGGGTAACACCTCCAACCAACATGGGGTGAGCTGCAAGAAAACAGAAATAGCAGCATTATGCCGACTTGACTAAGTAAGTGCGTGATAACATCCCTAGTCTTCCTTAATGCCCACGTGGCACAGAGAAGACTAGAAGTTCTCACGTGCACCGTAGTGAATGACCCAGAAGGCTGCCAAGGTTACGGATGAGCCTGCCATGAGATGACTACAGGCAACCGCAAAATGATCCTGCAACCCCAGCCTGAAAGTGGGGCAGCCAAAGCTAGAAAATGCAGGAGAGTAGCTCTCAGGAGAACTCTAGCACCACCATGAACGAGGTCAACAGCCACGCTCCGAGCGAGCAATCACTGTGCCTTGCTGGTGCCAAGAGAACAGCCACATGCCACACCAGCCACGGTTACAAGGGCAGAGGCAGAAGGACAGAAACACTAATGTTCTGAGAATAGCATAAAAAGACGTCCAGCTGGGACAGTGTGCAGATTACTCCTCTCCCAGTGAGGCTATCTCAGTGTCTCCATGCACCCAGAGGCCATTTTGGGAAAGAAGAGGGAGAGCAGAGACTCCTTGAGAGACAGTGGAACTGATTACGAAAGACAATTTGAACTTTAGTTTGTCTCAGTCTCCATGCCCCTGCAAAACTCTTTAAAATGTAAAGAACTGAATTACTTTATACTGAGAAATAAAAGTTTCCTTTTGCCACCAGAGAAGTGGAGTTCAAGAACAAGATGAGATCGCTAATAGAAACAAGTAATTTGGGGACATATCTGAGCTGTCCTGGTAAATTTCAGACCCATTACATGTGTTTATCTTTCAAATGTACAAAATATTTACACATAATTTGTCAAGTTGAAATCCTCTTTCATAAAAAAAAAATTTACATGCACCAAATTGGCCCAGTAACTCATATTTCTGAGTGTCAAATATCAGTATATTGATTCTCAAAATTTATGACTACAAAAGTGAATCTTCTTTTTCATGAATTCATCAGAATTGGCAATATTTTAAAAATTCAAGACGAAAACACTATTAAATTAGTACCTTTTCCTATTTGTACTATACAAAACTTAAACTGCTGATGATCCAACTTCATGGAGCAGAAGCAAAGGTTATAATGCACTCCAATTACCTGCAGAGAAGTAATTCTATCATAGTGAATAGTAGTCATCTCATTCTCCGTCAGAGCATTTCCAGTCTGGTCGTTAATCTCAAAACCAGTATAGAACTTAAGCATGTCCAAAAGCTGAAAGGATACATTTAAATTAATAAACTGTGTGAACACAAGAGCAAGAAAGCAAGAAAAACGCCATTAAAAGTGAAAAACAAGTTCATATACTTTCTCAGAGATACTAAAAAGCATTGGAATGTAAACACCGCAGCAAACATTTCAGAACTTATGCAAACATGTTTTACTTATGTGCAAATAAAGTATATGTCTTGTGAATAAATTGTTAAGTCTATTTCATATACATCATCTCATCTACTACTACAGGGAAGAACTTAAACTGCAATCCCCATACTAAAGAGACATTAAAGATCTAATCAAAGGAAGTCAAGCACTTTAATGGAAAAAAATCTAATTACTGCAAATTTATAGAACTACACCACTAGAGGGAACTCCTGAGGTCTTTTTACTTTTACCACTTAGAATTTTCTGAATAAGGGTTTTGCAATTCACAGTTAGAGATACTCTTCTATATGCATCTATTAGGAGAAAACAGCAAGGCTGGAAAAACTAAGTTATTCATTCCTCTCTTCGGTCTCCATGGCCATTGAGCCCTTCCTCTGGCTTGGTTCCTGCTAATGAAGGCATGCTTTCCCCCTGTGGTGGCAGCGTCGACAGAATTTAGGGCTGCATTCACCCCAAATTTTTACTATTCTTAACTCTAACCTATGGCAGATCAGATATTAGGATTTTAATATATGTGATAAATCACTGGAAACTTAATAAGAAATTTAATAAGAGAATGGGAAAAAAGGGAATGTTCATGCTCACAGATACAAGATAAAAGAATTCTTAAGAGAATATGCAAACACACATTAAAAACTGTATCTCCAACTATGATCGCATTAAAAGGCAAGTATTAGAAGTATGTTATTAGACTTTTCTTCCGGATGACATTACAGGTAATGGATAACCCTGAAACTCTGTCTTCCTACCCAAGACAGTAAACAAAGTACATCTGCCTTCTCACTCAAGGCAGCAGACTAAGTGCATGTGCACTTCCGTGCTATCAACTGCCTGTCATCCCTGTCACCATCATCTTATGGAAACTCAGCCATGATATCAGGGCACAGCTCAGTCAAATTAATGCTCATCATCTATTATAGTCACAGTGGTTACTGACATAAAATCAAAATACACAAGTAACTGGGACTATGTAGCACATAATTTAGTCCAGTAATAAAGTCACAAATGATTAACAAAGGTTGTAATATAAAATAGAGGCTACCTGCACAAGAATGCATTCATTTTGTACATTAAGACTGGATTTTAATTTAAAATGACTAATTGGGAATTTGTATCATTCAATTCAATATTTAGCAAAATTTACTTTGTGCCATATCCCAGTATTCCCAGTTGCATGGCCAAGAAAAGACCAATTTAGAAATGAAAACCATAAGTATGTTCAGATACATCAATGCTCACCTGGGAAAAAAGATGGCCATCCTCTTCCCTATGAACAAGATTGGAAAGGTAACAGTGAACCAAAAGGTGGGAGTCATCCAGGATGGTATTAAACCAGCGCCTTGTGGGGAGGAGGGCCTGGAGAAAATAAATACCATGACATTAAGTCTGCATGTTCTCCCAGCTAGGGGTGAAGTCTACTGATACTTAGCTCAGAAGTGTTAATCACACACAAAGTGCCCTCAGCCCCCCAAAAGACACTGTGTATAAAGTAGGGGTCTAGTCCATGTTGTAAATAAACTCAGTGGTAATGTTTCTAAATAAAACTCAGTACTGAAAAAGTCTCAGACATCCTGGCCACTGGTTTTCAAACAAAATCCTATATGAAATTCCAATATGTATTGTGTGTAGGTTTAAAATCAGAGAAAAGGGAATAGAAACTGCAAGGCGGAGATTCCTTTCTCGGTTTCCTTTTTCCACATTCCTCTATGACATAATCACAGTTTAGAAACCATGAATCCAGCCAAATATTCTCATTTCAAAGAGATGATTGAGATCCTCAGAGGTTATAAATTAGTCACTGGCAGAGCTGGAATTTGAATGAAGACTCATGAATGACCGCTGGTCCAATACTCTAATCCTCATATCAAGAAACAACCCTACCTCTCCTGATAAGGATGGACAGAAAGGATTTTCTTTCAATTTCCTGCATTAAAGTGGAAGAGGAAAGGAAAGGAATTCAATCTAAACTACACTAACTCTGCATCTGAACTTTGCATCAAGATGTTGCACCTAATAGTATGGAATCTTCTTTAAGAATCTTAATTTTAAAGATTGGCAACAGCAAGCAGCTAGCAACATCTTTCTTCATCAACAATAACAGGCACATTTAGAAAAGTGAGATCACTAAAGAGATGGCCAGAAACCTACGACTTCAGCCTCTATGTAAAACTCTGTGAGGGGTAGTCAAATGTGACAGAAGGTAAACTGCCATTGCTGGACTCATGTTTAATAACCATATTAAATAATGGTTTCTATACAAACAGCAGCCATTGGACAGGCATCTTCTGAAAACTTCAAAGGTTAAAAACTTGACCTTCTCTATAAGACACCTTGAAACGGGTATAAAGAAAGGCCGGTTTGAGGTGATAAAGAAACATTTCATCATATATAGTCATATGCTTAATCTTAGCCTCCTACATGATCATGTAACAGAAAAGTGACTGCACACTTCTTACCTCTAGATCAATCATAAGTTCAATGAATCTTTCACAGTAATGAACTTTGTCCATAGTGACAGGTTCTAAATATAACAGAGAAAACATATTAGAATTTTCTTACTTAGGTCACTCCATGGTACTCTATCTCAAAGCTGGCAACTATTTAGTTATTTAAACAAGGTTATTTGTCTCATTCATCAGGATTGGACTAACTGTGACTCAGAGAATAGACTTCACTTACATTTCAAGAAGGGCAGGTATTATCCTTAAATTTAGCTCTACAAATATGAGAAAATGAGAAAACTAGCTTGGATCAGAGACATGTTTTAAAAATAAGAGCTGCAAAAACATTTTTGAAGTGTTAATTTTTAAAAATCTGTGGAATGATTAGATTTTGAAAAAATGTGAAGATTTAAAAACCAGAAAGGCAGTTTTATCTCAGTTCTCGACATATTTTTCTTATTTTCTACACACACTAAACATTGCGGACTTCTTTTATATGCATATATGTATACATACAAAGATATGTACATATCTTTAGACTGCAGAGAAAACAGGTGGAGAAGATACACAACAAACTGAAGGGGCAATTTTTGTGATTTTTTTTTCACTATATATGTATTAAATTTGACATTAAAATGTCAATCACACACAGAGCAATAAAATATTTTTAAAATCACTATCTTACTTTAAGTTATTTATGAGCATTAATGTACTATTTTAAAAACATTTATTTTCGTTTTTAAAATAATTTCAACCTTGAAACATGTTATACTTTCAGAGTACAAATCTTTTTTTTCTAATGCCAGGAAATGTTCTACCATTTTATCAGCTGAAAGCATCCTGCGAAGAGTGTTTCAACTGAAAAGGAGATAATTTCAGGGTCCCTCCTGCTGCTTAGTCTAACAACCCCCAGCAGGGAATAACGCAGTGCTAGACCTGCAGAAGGCACCCTACAAAGGCTTAAGTATATCCACTTATATATTTGTAGTACACAGGAATAGAGAAGGCTTTATGTGAAGAAAGAAATGTGAATACTTTTGTGACTACTATATGGAAATAACACATGCACATAATGTAAACCCTAAGATAACATAACTCTAGAATTTCATAACTGGGAAAGAAAAACCTTAGAGAACATCTACACTAGCTCTTCAATTTCCAGGTGAGAAACTGAGGATCAGAGGAAAATGACTTGATAGAAGTGCAGAACAAAGTAATAGCTGGTCAGAACTGAAGTCCAGGTTTTCTGAGATATAGTCTAGGTCACACAGCTGTAAAAACTAAAGAATTCAAAGGGGTGACTTTCAAGTTAAATCCACTTAAATAAGGCCTCTGGTGCTATCTTTTGTTCTTACTTCTGTCAAAGGAAAATAATTTTGCCCAGAATTTTTAAAGTGAGCAAAATGTAATTAGCTCCTCTTGGTACGTGGGTCTATAATACAAACGCACACACGTATGTATATCCATACGTAGTACAATCATGGTATATTTTAAGGTTTATATCCTACATGGCATTTACTTATATTTGTTTCAGCAAATGGGGGCCACGGTGGAGGGAAATCCTTCTCATTTCATCTTGTAGCTCGTATGTCAAAATCATTCTCCTCTTCCCCTCCAAACAACAGTATTTGATATTGCTTAAAAACACTACGCAGTACCATATTGTAAATGCCATATTGATAGGGTCTGTGACTGTCTTGTTCACCATGTCCTAGAACCTTGTTCAGAACCTGTGTCTTATAAGTAAGCTCAAAAAAATTTTGCTACATAAATGGACATTTCAATAACAACGCTTGTACCCTCAAATTAGGTGAATTTGTAAGGCAGTCACAATATTCAGACTGGTAACATACTTTAAAAGGGAAGGACATACCCTTTCTCAATATAATTCAAAACCGCTCTAAGAGCAGTTCTTAGAACAGAGATGAGTAAATACCGTATGGGCATCTAAGTGGTAACTTCACAAATGAGCTGAGGGAAGGAAGACAGTTACCAGAAAGCGGGACTGACTTCAGTACAGAGATAAACTTCTGGATGAGCTGTGAAAGAAATCTTCTTTCTTGATAGGCTCTAAAATCAGAGAGATAACAGGGACCAAATTATTTTTGAGAAACAATTATTTCAAAAGTAAAAATTAAATGTCAAATCGCCTTTCTCACACTGTTCAAAATATGCCATTTCTCTCTGAAATCAGGACCATAATTTGAACACACAGCTTTTTCTCTGTATAAACATGGCACCACATGAAGAAAAGAAGAGCCTCTCTGCTGGCCTAACACACCAGCTAGGGAAGCACCTCTTTCCTCCCACTGTAAAAGTTTTCACTAGCGATTTAAAGGTCAGGACTAGAAAGGAGTCTTCAAATTTCATTTACAGTCTGCCCTTGACAACAAAAATCTAACTTTTAAGTATGTAGTTAGAGTGAGATAAGCAATTTCATCCTTTACGATGTTTAAATTACTAAATACAGTAGAGTATTACAATGTCTAAAGATTAAATGTTAGTTTAAAAAACAATTTTTCACTCATTACTAATTAAGATGCACTCTGTAACAATTAATCAAAAAACAATCTGTTGGACAGAGCTACAAAGGATTCTGCCAGTCCTGTTGCAAATACAAAAGATAGGAATGACTAAAACACCGGAAGTGAGAAGTTACGTAATGTAATTAGTAGCACAAACCAGCATTAATTAATAAAACTGGCTGACATTAATTGAGCACTTACTGTGCCAGGATCTGAGCTGTGTGAAGCACTTCATGCAAACCATCTCACTGAACACTGACAACAGTCCTTTGAAACAGGTACTACTGTCTGGATTTCACAGTGAGGCTCAAAGAGGTGAGGTAACTTGGCCAAAGTTACACAGCATGAGAGTGTGAAACCTAGATAAGCCTGACTGTAGATCCTATATTCTCAACAACTATACGTAGACTAATTACTATGAAAAGAGCTGGTGTTTCCACAAAAAAATACAGCGTGTTTTAGGAGTTCAGAGAAGAAAGCATGGTGGCCTAAAGCAGTTGGTCTGGAAGAGAGCTCAGAAGGTTAACCTTTAAAACATGTAGAGTGGAGGGAAAGAGTAGTTAGGGAAGGAATTTTTAAGAAATGAACAGTCTACTGATTTGGAATTAAATCACACTGAGGTAATGGGAAGAGAGTGCTTAAATTTTTAAGAAGTAGTCAAATGATGCAAAGATATCACATAATTAATCAAGAGGCTGTTCGTTGGAAAGATATCACGAAAAAGAGGAGACCGGAGTTCGAAATTAAAGGAGGGATATTCCTACTCCTGTCCTAATACCCTGTTCTTACAGCTCTCACTTCCTTCCTCCCAAACTCATTTCTCTGACATCCAGCTTTTTTCAGTTCCTCTCATTTACCACCAGCATAACTCTAAGCTTCACTTCTTTTTGTCCTCAAGCCTCTTTTCATGGTTTACATACCTCATTAAATAATCTCACTCCTACTCATGGCTTCAGTTACTAGCTACAGATGTATAGACTACTCACCTAAGTGGATGAAAAAATAAGACAAGAGTCAAAAGAAGTTATCATAGGCCCCAGGGAAGCGAGTCCTAAGCATATGCATGTAAGCAGAGGGAAAAAAACAGTGAGAGGAAGAGAGCACTTAAAAATGGAGAGAGAAAAAGGATCACCACTAGAACAGCCATGGAGTACATAAGGCAAGAGCACAGGTAGACCAGTTAGCCTCAAAGAGAGAGAGAGACACTCTTAGAGCATGCTGATTCTGCCCCTGTGTCCTACTAATAGCATTTTGTTTGATGAAATAAATACTTGCTATCAGACTTTTATCCAATTGATAATAATTACTATTAAAACAACCCATAACCCTCCCCCCTACTTCTTTATTCCTTTTACTTGGTTTGTTTTTCTCCTTGGTATGGACTACCATTTAATATGCTACATAATTCATCTGTTTATTGCTTCCTTCCCCAACTAGAATGTAAGCTCCACAAGGGCAGGAATTACTTTCCATTTTGTTCTCTGCTATATTCCCTATATAGTAGCACCCAGCAAGATAATAAATAACCAATATTTGTTGAATGAGTGAAGTATATAAAATAGAGTGTATAAAAGTCATTGTTAAGAGTGAGGGTGTAAGAAAAAAAAAAAGAAAAGTTTGACTGATAGCCTGAAGACTGTGGAGAAAACTGAGAACCATCCACAGCAGACAGACCATAATGGACAGCAGGCAGGGAGAAGACCAGTGATACACTTATCACCGGAGCAGAGATAAGGGAAAGAAGGAAAACATGGTTATGTTCTGGTTTCCCCTTTAGATCTTTGTGAAAAATATGACAGTCTCAGTAAAAGCACTTCTTAACCATTTATTTGGTTCAGCACTACGTAAAGGAAACAATACATCAGTCAACACCACAACCCAGCATAATAAACCAACATGAAACAAAGCTTTGGCAACATACTGTTCTCTTGCTTCTGTATCCATCTTCTCATCATTCTTTTTAATTAAGTTCCAGAATTTTCTTAGTTTAGGTGTCTTTTTTAATTCTAATTCCAATCGTGCCTGAAAGAGTGATATGAAATTAAATCACCAGTAATCCCCAAAGCTTACAAGGATAAAGATTAGATCAACTATTAGCCAGCCTTCTAATGTATGGATACAATATAGAACAATGGGATAAAACTGGAAAGCAACATGACAAAACCTGAAAACTAAGAAACTAATAACTATTTTTAAAAACTGTTCAATTCTGACATATTAATAGAAAACAATAAGACAAAAGAAACTACTGTTAAGATTTTAAGCTCAATAATACATTTTCTTTCTTATTTCTAAAATTAAAAACTTCATTTTGAAAAATATAAGCATTAACATTTATGAGCATAGTCATTAAAATTCAAAAAATGAGTCTGAAACAATGAACATAAAACAGCTATCACAGCTAAACAAGGAAATGTCCACACTACCACATTCTTCCTTATGGCACTCATCAGTTTTGAACTCAGTATTAATTATTTACATATGCCTGTTTTCACCCCCATCATTGGTACCTATGAATGAGCTTGCATATCTGGGTGTCTGCAAAACCACCCATGTGCATAAAATACAATTCTGAATAAAGATTATACTGAAATTTGAGAGTTTTAACTTTACTCTCTAAGATCTGTTAATTTGCCTTTGCTACTGGTGCATATTATATAATGAGAATTAGATGAAAAAAAATGAAGTCGTTAATATTAAACATGATTCAGATCTTCTCCTATAGCTGAATGTACATCCCAATCAAGGGAAATAAAGAATTCAAGTCTATTTAGTCTCATCCAAAGACATACATACGAATAACCATATTTTGCTAAATTAACTCCTCTTCTCATGAGCAATAGATATTACCTTATTACACCTTATAATAATGAATTAGGTGAAACATATATTAGTCTACACATAAAAACTTTAAAACTAAAAAAAACACTACACCTATGATTAGGTTAATGCACAATAAATTAGGTAAATTTTGTAAGCAGGAAAGGGGATTTTTAGCTACCATTTTACATCCATACTAAAGCTACACAGTCTAAAACCATTTACAAATACACATAAACTTCTGAAATTAGATACTTACAGGCTGTAAGCCCATCCACATTGGAAGGGAGATGAGCTGCTGTACCTGACTCCGTATCAAGTCTACTTCCTGTTTAAAGCACGAAGAGAACAAGTTTATAAACACACAAGCATTTTAACCGAAGTCTTTACATAGGGAGCATACTGCCTTTTTAAGTGCTGGGAGGAAAACACACCATCAATACTTTCAAACTACTGATATTTTATTATTAAGAAGTTCAATACTTTTTAAAAAAGACACAGCCAAGCCTCATTACTTGAAGATTTCATATTTGTAGGTACCAATCCCTTCTTCAACTTGCAAAGATGACTTGTAACCCAAATGCAATACTCCCGGTGCTTTCTCGGCCATTCAGACAGCAGAGGGCAGAGGCAAATGTGAGTTGCTCAACACACACATTTCCCACTGAGCCTGAACAAGGTGATGCTCTGCCTTCTTGCTTTGGCTCTAGTATTGTACACAAGCATCCTTGATATGGTCTATTTAGTGCTACTTTTTCACACTTTTGTGTTTTCTCTTGGTGATTTTGCTACTTAAAATGGCCCCAAGCACAGGGCTGAAGTGTTGTCCAGTGTTCCTAGGAGCAGGAAGGTTGTGATATGCCTTACAGAGAAAATATGTGTGTTAGATAAGGCTTGTTCAGACGTAAGTTACAGCATTGTTCGCCATGAGTTCAATGTTAATGAATCAACAGTATACATTATTACATTAGGCAACTTTAAATAGAACTACACATAAAACAAGGCTATGGATTAATCGGATGATGGAAATGTGACCAGAGACTTACAGGAACCTAACCCTGCGTTTTCCCTATGAGCAATGGTTCAGTTTTAGCTAATTTAGTGTTCACAGCCACTTTATAGAGCATAATTACTTCAGATAATAAGAATTGACAGTAAGCTGGAAAAAAATAAAGTATTTCAATAATAAGCTAGCTTTCAAGTTAATTAAATTTACACCAAACTACTAAGACTAATTAAATTTTATTTTTGTTCAATTTCTGATAAGGAATCACATCCATTCACATCTGTTTAGTTTAATAAGTGTTTAAAAAATGAAAAAAAAAGCAAAAAAATTAAAAAGTAATAGTGACATATCATAAATTTTTTTTTAATGCCTTTGCAGGATGTTTGTCAGGTAGTACATGGAAACAGATAACATCCATCCATCCACCAGCACTCAGTCCTCAGTGTAAGAAAAGAATCCCATGCATTCTTTTGCACGGGTCTAAATACACTATCAATTCAGAAGCATCTATCTTTAAATAAGCAGGTATATGCCTTCATTTAATCACAGTAGAGCAGCAGTAATGAAATATTATTACAAATATTTATTTTTTAGAAATCTTACGAAGAATGAAAAACTTGCCATACACAATCCAAGAGATTTTCAAAGATCATATAACCACCCCCATCAGTCAACTCAAAGCATAACACTCCGTTCAAATTCAGAAAGCCATATAAACAAACAAAAAAAAACAACATAACTCTCCAGCTGACCTACTAACTTAGGCATGAAGTATGACTGAAAAGTAATGAAACTATGTTTTTGTGTGTAGACTACAGCACAGATCTCATTACTCAACGTGCAATATTAACACTCTTCGCCACGCTACATTTGGAGAATTTCAGTTCTTATTATCATTTTACTTAGAGGCTAGATAGAAAAAAGAAGAGATTAAGTCCAAATCTATTAAAAAGCAAACAGATCTTATAAAATGATTTCACTCTGAAGGGGCTGAAATCAAGCCATTAGCATTATCCTCATTCCTCACGAGTATGGATGAAGAGCTGGCTACAGAGGTAATTTCATCTACATTCAACTCAAAAGAACAAGAAAACTTGAATGTTTCCCCAAAAGATAATGTAAAATTACCAAACTATTGAAGCAATGATCAAGAAAAAGCAGTAAGACTGTCTGTTCATGGAGTGAAAATTCACCATCGGTTTCAGCTAATGCCGCTTTCAATATACACTTGAAAAAGAATGGGAAGTGGTCTGGCTTCTTCTTAAAAGTCTGGAATGAGAAAGAATAAAAATGCATTTTGAAATGACTTGCTCACCGCTTTTTCACCTTTAAACAACACTGGCAGACTATCTCGGAGTCTGTTAACAAAACCTACTACATTACAAAAAGATTAGTTGCTTACTTATAATTAACAGCAAAATATAGCAGGTCAAATATAGGTTTCTGGCAGGACTATGTGAGAGTTGCAGAAACCTTCAGCAAATAAAATAATGGCTTTAATTCCTTTTTTTCTTTAAGGATTATGCTGGTAATTAGTTCAGGTTTTGTTTTCTTATTAAAGATCTGAAGTATTCAAATTCTTCTAATTTAAATAAAAGAAACAACATCTTTAGCAAAAACTATGCTTTTCCCACTCCAATTAATCTCAAGGACAGCCTTGAGATTTCCTTTATATTATCTCCTTACCTGTAACATGTAAATAATGTAAAAATAAAAAAGATAAATAATGTAAATATATTCAAGCCTCTCTTTGATCCACCTCCCCACCTAGTTTCTTTCTGTTACCTCTCTCATCCTTCATAGACAAGTGCTCCAAATGTGTGGTCTACACTAGTTGTTTTCACTCACTTCTGTGAAACAGGCTGCTGCCCATAGCGCTGCCCTGAAGTTGTACAGCTATCAAGTCCAATGGACTCTTACCAACCGTCAACTCCTTTTCAATGTGTTGAGAGCACCACTTCCTCTGTCACTTTACAGGCAGTGTTTCTAGGGTTCCAGCCCCATTCTTCTCCCCCTTCCATATTTCAACTGCCATAAGCTAATGATTCCAAATACACATCTTCACTCCACACTTCTCTCCTTAGCTCTAGGTCCTTAGATTCCTTTGTCCACTAGACAACTTCATCTAGATAGTCAAAAGCAATTTAAACTCAGTAAGTCTAAAACTCAATTCAACAATTTTGTACCCTCCAAAGTATTCCTCAACCCTCTTTCTATATATCTCGGTCAACGGCACTCTCACCTTTTACATTTGGTGGCCCAAGGTTTCTGAAAATAATGCCCTTCCCTAAGTTACTTCAATCATCAAATCCAAGCAATTCTACTTTCCAAATCTGTGTGTAACCTCTTTTCTTAATCTGTATTGTCATTTCTCTATTTCAAGCTGTAATCACCAAAGCGGTCTTTATAACATGCAAGCTGATCAGGTCATTCTCTGGCTTCACTTTCTCTTCCTATAGTAGTTTGAAGGAACTTCAAGAAATCCCTAAGATGGCTCAATAAGACACAAGGCCTTTAGTTTCCTTTGAGCTCTAAACTGCCATATGATGGTAGTCACATAATGAATATTTGAGTGAAGTGTCAATGGTTTTATCTTAAAGAATGTAAAACCTTTTCATTTTGGAGACTGTGCCCTCAAAAGAGATGAGAAGTATCCATGCTTTTCCTTCATGACTGGAGGGGAAAAAACTCTTTTGATGAGCTGATCATTTCACGGTGGCCAGAGAAAAACCTAGATTTTGGTCTTCTATTAGCTGACCAAGGCTCTATTATACCAGCACAAAGAGAAAATGTCAGTCCACTAGAAATTTCAAAAAGGGAAAACAGATCCCACATCAGAGGCAAAGAGATAACTGAAATTACAATAAAAGCATCTCTCTTGACTTTGGAAACACAAGTTTATTCATCTAAAACTATAAATACATACACCTTGTTGTGAAACAAGGCATTCATTTGAGCATTACTATTTGTGCTACTTAACACAAATTTTACTTTATCTGATGTAAAAGTCTTTATAATCCATGCCATTCTTTGTTTCAAGCACAAAGCAGAAAAACAACTCCACATTCATAATTTTTAAATTCACAATAAATTAGTTTAAAGGAAGTATTGAAACTGAAAGAAATCTAATACTATTTTCATACATCCATTCTTTTTCTCAACATTTATTTTATTATTGGATAAAGTCTGCTCTAGAAACACTATTTATTATCGATAAAAAGTTTGCAACTTTGTAATGGCTTAAGTGGGCACAGTAGGAAAGCTGTGAAGTAATATAAATCTGTTACCTCCCAAGCTGGGACATTTTCTCTGAACTTCTCATTCACCATACAGCAGATTGACATTAAATAGGCCTTGCTGGACACTTCTGGAGAATAATTCATCCAGAGATAATTTTCAAGATACTGGCTGTGAAGAATAAAAAGGCACAGAATATTTGATTAGTTACTACCACCTCATTGTAATATACCACTCCCCTGAAAAAGCCTCATTTACAACTTTCTGAAAACATTTTGGAAATCTGTATTTATACTTTTGGGAATCCTTTACAAATTTACCTGTAATATAGGTCAGTGCTACCTACTGCAAATGTATATAGCAAATGTGGCTTTGGAGAACGAAAGTCTTATACTTTCAAGTAAGAAGATGTCAAAGGTGTCTAACATACATAATCATCACCATTAGAACACTGGATATTCCCTCATCTAAGGCTCTTCATGGAGTGAAAAATAAAAATATGTGACAAATACCAACTCTAAAACAAAATGATACGATGGGCAGCTTCACAGATAAATGTATCTGAGAAATTAACACGAACTCATATCAGGACCAAATGATTTCAAGAAACTAAGACAGAGACTTAACAATCAAAAAAAGGCTTTGTTACTTAATTTACAAGGTATTCAACATAAACCAATTTTCAATGTAACTGGCATTTCCCCTTCAAGATGTCAAAACTCTTATTTTAAAACTTCGGTGAAAAATATTCCTAAACAAAATAAGTATTTCTGATTTCCAAAACAAAGCTTAGCCATTTCTTATTCAGAGTAGTAGAAACATCAATTACTATACTAGGCTATAAAATACTCTGAAGCACTAATACAAAAAAACCAGAACTTTTTGTTCCTATTTTAAATCACCACACATGCATAACTTTTCAACCATTTACACATGCATGTACACTGAGGTAAGGTGTATCTTTTATAGCATATAATTCTTCTACTTCCTCTTATGCTTCAAAGGTCTGCTCATGTTGGTATTTCCCTGGGTCTATCTTTAGCAATCCCTCTTGTTTAATTTGTAAGAGCCTAGGAAACAGGTAAATAGTATTTTACCCAAAATAACAGCCAAATGGCTCCAAGTTAGAGACTGTTCTTTCATAAATAAAAGGCATGAAACTTCATATTATTCCTTTCTTATAAGCTTAATTTCCTTTTCCCTGAATTATGTCCTTTAAGAACTTCTGTTAGTAAGCCTGTTAGTATGAATCTATCTGAAATTTCTTTATTTCATGAAAGTTTAGCTGGTGATAGAATTCTTTTGAAATTGCTATTTCTACTTTTCTATGTATTAGTCTCATTCTACACTCTTTTATTACACTTGAGAAGTCTACAGTCAATTCGTTCTTCTTTGAGTAATCTTTTTTCTCCAGCAGATTTTAACATCTTCACTCTGTTTTTGTTGTTGTGTTCACAATTTGCTATACTTTCTGAATCTAAAAGACTCATATGCTTCAACTGCAGAAAATTATTAACCATCATTTATTCTAAATTGTCACTTCTTCATTCTTTCTAAATCTCTTCTGAAATTCCTAATGGACCTTCCCATCCTAACCTCCATATCTTTTAATTGCCTGATACATTCTCCATCTCTATTTCTCTTTGCTATTATTTGTTAATTTCCTGTTATAAATCCCAATTCACTAATTTCCTTTTTAGCTGTGTCTAATCTACTATTTAATTTGTCCACTGAGTTTTTGAATTTGAATTATTTTTATTTCCATTTTTCACCAAACCTTTCCACTTTTAGTATCTTATTCCTTGTTCGTAGATTCTATTTGTTCTTTTATACCTATAATAATTCTAAACATAATGATTTGACAGTGTATCAATTATTTGATTATCTGGGGTTTTCTGGTGGAAGAAGGTATCTGATTCTATTCTTTGTTATTTCAACTGAATCTTGCTTTAATGTGTTTTGTAATTTGGGAATTTGAATTCACTTTTACCAGGATTTTACCTATAGGAATTTTTTTGCAGTATGGTTGGAACACATACGCTTTCAGAGTATCTTTATATTTGTGTCTGCCAGATGCCCCAGGGATATTACTGGCTTGCCACAGTTTTTAACAGTAATGTTTTGGGTATTATTGGACTACATAGTAAATTCTAAACCTATTGTTTACATTTTTCAGATGAGGACTCTGAAAATATGAGAGTCAGTGATTTGCTCAAGATGATGCAGTATCTCCACGATATACAGATGATACAGACCTAACGCCAACTACATCTCTTTAATCCAAACTTAAGGACTGTTCAATAATTCCCTGATTCTATTTTGGCAATTGCAGCAAATATAATTATATAACAACATGTCCTTCTGAGTTTCATCAAAGACTCAATTCAGACTCTAGCAAGAGACCATCAGTTATCTCTACTACTAACTTTACACTCATTATATCTGGAGACTTGCACAGAAAAAAGTGGCATTCTCACCCAGAAATCACATAAAAGCTCCTGGAAGATAACAATCTGCTTTTTCAGTTATTAAAAATCTTTCACTGTCATTGGTGCCTTCAACCTATTCTGTTGCTTACCCTTTCAGTTCCCACAATTCTCTTGGTATCTGATATTTGCCAGGACTACAGAATTCTGGTTTTATCCTAATTGTGTATCAGCATCCTCTTGATTTTTAATCTTCTTGAAAGATGGCATAATATGGTAAAAGGACACATTAATCTTAGGGCCGGATGTATCCAATTTCTAGCCCGTGTTCTCTTCTATAAAGTAAGGAAGGTCTTACTGGGATTATTGTGAGGATTAAATGAGATCATGTATTCAATAACAGTTCTTAGAATACAGTAGGCACTCCATTTACAAGTTAATTCATAATATAAACCTCTATTTCTCTCTGTAAAAATAATAAGAACACTTACTTCATGCTATTTTTTGTGAGGATCAAATCAATGTACGTAGGGAGTAAGCAGGTGTTAGAGAGACTGACTTTGACACAGAAAAGACCTCAAGGGAGTGTGAAGAAGCAGAAAAAAAATGAACTTTGGTATCAGATGTTGGCATCCCAGGTCTGTCAATTACTTAAATGCATTATCTTGAACAAATTACTTAACTGCCCTGATATGTTTCTTTCACTGAATGGAAAGTATAATACTGACTTAGCAGGGTTGCTGTAAGTGCTCTGTATGCAAGATGTTTAACACTGTGCCTAGCACAATGTTCAATACATGGCAAATATTACTATTATCAGTAACAACCTTGGCTTTTATTTCCAGCCTACTGGCCAGATCTGATTGTAATATAATCTAAATCATAATTTACAAATTACATATTCTTTTCTGTCTAAAATATTTGTAAGTGGCTTAGCTCAGAACAAGGCTGCCTTGGTATTAACAAGTTACCTTTGAAGGAAAAAAATGTCTATAGAACACACTCCAATTTACTCCAAATGATCACTAGAGGAACCAGAGTTCAGAAATTGCTCAGCACACACCACCTTAATTAGTGAGAAATGACTCAAAATACAGTTACACTGACAATGGAGCATCAACTTTGAAAACAAAGGATATCATACACATATTTCAAAATAAGCCAATCACAAAAAGATAAATCTTCAAAAATTTATAATTATTTTCTTATCCACTCACAGAAAGGTACAGAAAACTTAGCCAAAAGTTAATCATTCTGTCACCTTTAACTTTATCAAAGAAAAGTCTTTAACTCACCTGAATTCCAAGAGCATTATCTTTCTGATGGCAAATCTAAAAATATGAAAATAAATAATAAAAATATGTAAATAGAGAATATACACATTTCTGAGTTACTAATGCAGATATATTCTGGAATCTTGTTTAATATTGACTAGTATGTCAGAATGATCATATTTATTTATGCACTGAAGGCAGTGAATTTTGCTTTTAAAAACTGCTGTTTATATTTTGTTTCAGGATAGTTGATTTTATTTTAAAAAATTATCTAAGAACAGTTACTTATATCTCACTCATACAACAAACACAATCAGCACCATGACATACGAGGATATAACACACCGATTAATAAGCCATATAATTTTAATCAAAACACAAATGTTCATCAGTATTCATAATACGGGATCACAACTGCCAAAAGCTAGCCTGTCTCAATTTCCTAAGCACTGACTAACATTCTTTCATGTAATATTGAAATGAAAACATTCTGCTGAAATCATGCCTTCCTATAAACTAGCATCTATATCACAAACATGGGAATCAGACGTTTCCAACGTTCTGCAGTCCTAACACTAAGTCTAAAATATTAGAAAATTGTGGAGGGAATATCAGATAACTTTTGATATACTTTAAAAAACAGAAGTGTTTTGTTTTATATGGAAAAATGATACGGCAGGTACAGGGTATCCCTCCAAAGGTAGGTTCAAATGTCCACTAATTTAGTTTTATCATTTTATATATTAGACATAAAGTAGTCAGACCAGAACACTGCCACTGGAATATTATCCTCCAGCTTTCAAAATTAAATGTGTATGCATTATAAATTTATAGTACCCCAAGAGACCATTACCCTATCAAAATCCTATTCTACTCAATTCTGATCTCTTAAATAGTTTCACTGAGCAAGTAATGTCACAAAACTTTAGTGAGAATGAAATGGAAGGTTTTAACTGTGGAACAGCACAAAGGTAGAACACTGCCAAGGCACTGGCTTCTGTAATCAGCCAGGCCACGGGGAGGACACAACAGCTTGTGTGGCGCACTCTAGATCTCCAGCTGCAGGCATTTCACTTTAAATGCATGTTGCACAACAGAATTCAGGGCCCACTGTGCAAACACCTGCACACTTAATTTCTTCAGCCACAAATAGGAGGTCATTGATGAAAGGAAGATCTTGGCTCACAAGATAGATCACTATACTGGTCATAATTCAGTGCCATCTTGGCAACATCTTTAAACATTCTGGGACCTAGTTTCTTCATGTACAAAAAAGGTGCAGTGGTCAATTTTTTTTTAATGACTTGACAAGTGAAAAATCAGTTTTGATAGGTCAAGATAGAGCAAAAACACTCTGAAAAACACTCAGCTTCTCTTCTAGCAGTCTTGGTGGTATTCATTAAATTTAGGGTTTTATGCTTCTGTCAAACTTTCTGAGAAAGATAAATTAAGAGCTTAACTAAATGTGTATATATATATGTGTATATATATATATATATGATATAAAAACAGGTCTAGAGACTAGACATCATGCCAGAAAACTTTTAAAGAAAAGGATGAAAAATTACAAGTAATAATGACAAACATAAAGGATTTGGGGACAGTTATTTTATTGTTACCAATATTTACTGAGAGCATACTTTATAAAGCCTGATTCTGTCAAGGGTTTAATTTTCATTTCATTAAATCCACTCAAAGCTGGATAATTTATGTACAATAAATTGGCTCTATTAACTGTATCTTAACTAGATCATTAACTCTGATTTAAAAAAAAAAGAGTGGTAGGGACATGCAAAAAGGAGTTTCTTTGCTGCTAGAATATATCTTACTGTCGTCTGCCTCCTCTCTTGGGATATGGTTGTATGAAAACATGAGGTCTAGAGCTGTGGCAGCCCCTTTGCAACCACACAGGGAAAGTCAAAAAATTTGTTAAAAGGCTGACAAGGTCCATGATGTTATGAATTTCTGAACTAGCTACTTTCAGATTTATTGTTAAATAGATGATTAAAAAAATCAAATAATAACAGTTAACAAAGGAAGTCAGCCACAGAAGAGTACATGTCATGTGATTCCATTTATATATTTAAAAAAAAAGGAGAATTAAGCTCCAGTGTTCATGTTTGCATACTTAGATACTAAAATGGTAAAGCAAAGCGGCAAACAAGGGCTTCTGGGAAGCTGACAATGTTGGCTCTTTTTTTTTTTTTTTAACCTCACTGTGGTAATTCAGAAGGCTAGATACACATTTCTGTACATTTTATGACTTTTCTGTTAATTTCATAGAAAAGGGGCCTAAACATTTTTAATAAAAAGAAATATAAACACTGACAAAAGTAAATTGCTCTATATAAGTTACCCCCTTTTTCCAGTATAAGAATCACCTGGATGGAGTCACAACAGGATTAACAATCATATCAAAGTGTACAGGTTAAGAGAGTCCTAACGGGGAATGAACCCTGTCCTGTTTAACAACAGAGTATTGGATAAGAGCCAGAAAACAAGGAAAGAGCCAGAGAACAAGTTAGAGGCTCTGCCTCTAACTATGGCAAAACATCCTGGGCTCATTACTTAACCTGTCTGTATCTTAGCTTCCTCGCCCATAAGATGAGGATAACAGGGAGTAGCACAGGGTTGTTGTGAGGATAAATGCACTACTATGTACAAGGTGCTGAGAATGGAATCTGGCACACAGTAAGCACTCAAGAAATGACACTGTTATTTTTAATATTTAAAAATCAAACAGATAAAAATACATTAAGACAAGCTTGCCAAATTTGATAACGGTAAGGATGGCAAATATGAATATACCACATATTACATGGGGATTGGGCCATATGGTATTTTAAAATCTATCTAATTTTGAGATCCTAGAAGTGATCATTATACCATAAGAAAATGAGAACTTATGATTTAATTCCCAGATGCCTTCCAGGAAAATAGGGATGATGTAAAAAAAATGTGTAAGAACTTTAATGTATAACATTAAGAGTGCCTTATGGCTATAAACTGCCTATTCTGATAGCCTATAAACAAGTTAATAAATCTTACATCAAGCCATTCCCTGTGAACAAGCATATAACTGAGCAAAACAACTTCCACAAGGCACTAGTCTAAAAAACAGTTATTCAAATTTTTAAATATATACTACAGTTTATGTGTTATACAAGTGCATTTAACTTTTGAACTTTGAAATTTGGGGACAGAATGCAATCAGTTCACTTTTATTCAAGTATTCAAAAATGTGTACAAGATGAAGAAATGGCTGTAAAGACTGCAATGATAAATCTTAGGGAGCCCAGCCAGTGACTGCTAATTGTTTCAGCAATTAAAAAATAATTTAGCCAAGTTCATATAACTTAAAAAACAACCACTGGCAGCTTTTAGTTGTTAATTATATAGAGGTTATCTTCAAGGAAGCAATATTAATAGCAAAGGTCTAAATAAAAAACAAACAAACAAACAAAATATCAACAACAAAACCCCAAGAAATCCACTGAAGTGTAAGGAGGGAAAGCCTGTTCTGAAAAGAGGCAGAGAGCTAGTTCTGAAGGTTCAAGGTAATTTCCAGATTGGTATATCCTTAATATGTGACAAAAAAGGAGCCTAAAACTTATCTGCCCACATCTTCAGTTCAGTTTCCTCAGGCAGTTTCAGCCATACTCTCCCTCACACCAAGTCATGTTACATATCTGCTCAAGTGTCCTATCTTCAGAGAGGATCCTTGCCTGATCATTCAGTCTAAAGCAGCAGTCCTTGTTGCTGTACCCTAACCACACCAATTCACAGCATTGACATTACGTATCTGTATATACTTCGTCTGTCTAGATAAGAATTAGAACATAAACAGGTAATTGAATACCTTGAGTAGGGATTTTATCTGCTATGTTCACTGATGCACCCTTGGCATTGAAATGGTGGTTGATACAAAGTAGGCTCAACCCAGTCCTCTCTTCAGAGCTCTGCACCTAGATACCCAAGTGCTTATTCTACACCTCCCTCTGCATGGCTCTTTAGGAGCCAGAATTCAACATTTCCAAAAGCAGCTAATGATCTACACCCAATCCCACCTCCAACAACAGCAGAAATTAGTAATGGCACCACTAATCACCTGGCAACCTTTGCCAAAAACTTTGGAGTTGTCCTTGATTCCTCCGTTCCCACACTCGCCACATCCAACTACCAACCATCTTGTCACTTCTCTCTCAGATTGGTAACTCCTCTCCATCTCAACTTTCTATGCTACTCTAAGCCATCACTATCTTGAATCTGACTACAACAATATTCACCTAATTTCCTGCCTCTTGCCCCCTCCAAAATTTTAAAATATCACCCTCATGCTTCCAACATCACTGGTTTCCAATTGCTCCTCAAGTTAAAAAAAAAAATCCTTAACATGGTCTCCTCCCTACTTCTACAGGCTCAAGAATAAATCAGTAAAACAAAATGACTAGCCTCATATTTTGACACTGCCTTGCAGTTGCCTTCACAGTATTTACTAAAATTTACCTCCTAAGACTCAAACACATGAAAAAAAATTTACCTCCTAAGACTAAAATACATGAAAAAAAAAATCTGAGATTTTACAAGGTCTATGACAGTCATAACATAAATGTTTCTATTTCATATCAAAATGATTAGTCAATTACCTTTTATACCCACTGGATATATATGTCTATAGGTGTAGATATGCAAATAGGTCCAAGATACATTGTTTAAAAAAAAAATCCATGATGTAGAATAGTACATCAAGTATAAACTCTTTGCTATTTAAAAAAAAAAAAAAGAGGTAGAAGACAAACATAGATATACATAAGTAAATTACCTGAACGTTAGGGATAGGAAAGATTTACTGAAACTTACCCCCCTCCTGTATATTGTTCAAAATAATCTTTATTTTTTAATATATATATGGTTTATACATTATATAGAAAATACATATTTTATTATTTTGCATTTATTACTATCTATGTTTTACTTTTATAATTTTTAAATACTCTTTAAAAAGATTTATCAGAAAATTAAAAAATTAGTATTAGTTGAATTCAAATTTTAAAATCTCCATATTTACTCTTCCTCACATTCCTTCAAAAACAAAATATACCCTCAGGAACTTAATCCCTCTAATCTGAGTCAGACATTAGAAGGCAAAGGAATATCTTATGACTCTTCAGCAGCTAGATATAGTTTCCCTAGTCACCACCTCCTTGATGACCAAATCAACAAAAGAAAAGGGAATTCCAAGTTTGTGATTACGTTCAGTTTAGAAGTTCAGATAAGATTCAAGTTAGTCCCATCTAGCTCCTACATACAAAAATTAAACTCATTCCTACCTTGATTTGACAATCTCTTTCTCATATATATCTTCAATTACCTGTTATTAAAAATATAAAAATGTTTAATATCTCAAATAACTTTTTTTAGACTCTAAATTCAGAGTTTTCAATCACTGAAATTATACAAAATAAGTTGGTTTAGGAAAGTTACCAAATATTACTGCTACTGAATAATACTTAAGAAATTTTTTATAACTCCTAATTACATTCCTCAAAATGAGAAATAATAGAAAGAGAAGTAGTAAAAAAAAATAATAAAATATATCTACACAAAAATCTACAATAACGATAAATCAAAAACAATCTAAGAATCTACAAACAGGAAAATCCACACACCTTTTTTTAAAAAGCTTAAAGGAAATACAACAAATGATAGCAGAGGTTATCCTTGTGTAGTAATTTTTATTTTCTCATGTGTAGCTTCTGTACTTTCCAAATTTTCTATTATGAGTAATTATTACTTTGGTAATTAGAAAATCACTAATTTTAATTTTTAAAATATTACGGAAAGCTTTTGTTGAATTAGCTCCTGGAAGAAAGATAACAAAGAGCACACTTTTTCAAAAAGTATGTTGCAAAGCAAAACTTCGTACCTTTATATCAAAAGGTGATTTTTTCTTGATGTGAGGAGCCCAGTATTTACATGCTAGCTGCAAAAGTGAACAGTTTAAACAGTAAGTCACAGATTCATACCACTGTAAAGCTAAAAGACTGAGACCACTCAGTGACAAGCTGTTTCTTAACCAGGCACTACTGCATGGGGTGGAGTGATACAGTAATCTACCTATTAAAAGGATTGGCTTGCAGATCAGCTAGAATCCTTGGTCCTAACCCACCGAATGCCAGTTATGTCCTGCACAGCACCCTGCCACAGCAATTTAACAAAAACAAAACATACTCTTTCTAACTACCCCGAGGGAAACAGTAGGGTGAAGTTAACAACCACAAACATCTTCAGCTTAGAGACAAGGAAACCCAAGTCTAAAAAGATCAAGTGAGCTGTCCAAGACTACAACTGGTTGACAGGTGAGCCAGTACTAAAAACTAGATTCAAAATCTTCAGGAATGTTGATTTGTAAAACAATAAATCTTTAAGTGACTAGTACACCTCAGGCACACTTAAACAAAACCTAAAAAAAAACTGCAGTTTATCAGAGGGTTATTAGAGTTGATATGTTATATTTCAGCAATTAGGTTTTACGTGAAAACGCACATTTTAAATACATATACAGGCATACCTCAAGAATATTGCAGATTTGGTTCCAGACCACCATAATAAAGCGACTATCTCAATAAAAAAGTAAAATGAATTTTTCGGTCTCCCAGGGCATATAAAAGTTATGTTTATGCTATATTGTAGTCTAGTAAGTGTGTAACAGTATTATGTCTTAAAAAAAAGTACATATCTAAAATTAAAAATGCTTTTATTGCTGGAAAAAAAAAAGCTAACCATCATAAAAAAAAAAGCAAGATCTCCGAGTTCAGATATTTGATCTTCTTAAAACTAAATTTTAACCTCTATATCTCATTCATTCAATAATAATTAAAAAGCACCTTCTCTGGTCAGCTGAACCAGGTGCTCAGAAAGAAGCTGGAGGTGGAAGGAGAGAGGGGAGAGAAGGGGCAGGGAAATGGTATGACCCCCACATACTCTCCGCCCTCATCTCATACCATTCTCCCTGTTACTTCTTAAGTTCGCTATCCTGGCTTCTTTACATCCACACTGTAAGGTATTTGCACTTGCTATTCCCTGGGCTGTTTTCCTGCTCTTCCCCAAACTGGCCCCTTTTTTGCATTCAGGTCTTAGCTCAAATGTCACCTCAGGGAGGACTTTCCTGACTGATTTTCATACACCCCATCCAGTCTGTCATAAAACCTTGTTTCATTTTCCTGGTAGCACTAATCACTGTCTGCAACTACACTATTTGACGGACTCATCCCTCTAAAACATAAGCTCCATGAAGGAAGAAAACTAATAAATGACTTTTACCACAAAAATTCAGGTATTAGGGAGCTCTAATCTAGTTTAAGTTGTCTGGAAAAGCCTCTCCAAATGAATGTCGGTAGATGACAATGAATTAACCATATAAAAAAGGTGAGGGGAAAATGAGGATTCTAAGTAGAAGGAACAATGTTGAAAGGCCAGGAGGTGAAAGATAGCTTGGCACAAATAAATGCAGTTCAGTATGGCTAAAGCACAGTTAGAAAAGGAGAGAAAAGGGAGGAAACTGGATATCAACACAGGCCAGATCACAAACACTTTGAAGGATTCCAGTCATTATCCTAAAGACAATTAGAACTCCTTAATGATTTTAAAAAGATACGTGATATGATCAGATTTGAACCTAAGTAAAATCACTCTGAAGAATGAGCTTGTAGAGAGCAAGAGGAAAGATAAGAACATAGTTTAGGATGCCCAGGTCCAGGAAGAAAACCATGGCAACCTGGCTTAGGGCACAGAGAAGAAAATAGATTTAAGAGAGATTTAGAATGCATAAAAGTGGAGGTTAGAAAAGGAAGGACTCAAAATGACTCCTATGCTTCTGTCTTGGCAAATCTGCTAAGACAGGGAACAGAGAAGAAAGAAGCAAGTGAGGTTCTGCAATGAGCTACTTGCACACTTATCCAAAACCCAAAGCAACAAAAAAGGATTAGTAACGCTGCAGAGAGCTACAGGATCGTGTTTCCCCATTCAAAGCAAACGCGGTTCACAACGCCAACACAGTGAACAGTTCCAAATGAACACTCTCCGGCAACAGGGTTGCTCTCTTCGTAGATGCACTTATTTGGAGAAGGTGTCTTGTCAGATTTTCGCCATTCAGCTCAAATATCAAGGTTTTTTTTAAGGCTAAGAATAAGTCTATCCCTCCCTTAATCCTCAGTTCAGCATCACCTCTGCTACTAAACCACCTTGTCAGCCTCAGGTAGACTGGGATGCTCCTTCTGTGAATCCACCGCTCCCGCGACAAACTCTAATACAGCAAAGCTCGAGTAACAGCTTTCTTTTTATGTGTCTGTTTCCCTTGGAACGTGAATTCCTCAGGGTAGAGCCTCTGTCACCATGCCATCCCCAACACCTAGCTCAGTGTACACAGCAGATGCTCCAACAAAAAGATCTGAGTGAATGAACTGACGAACGAATGCCGCCTGGATGCTCCCGTTCCCGAGGACAATCCCACCCCTGGCCTCGGGGCCTCAACACCCTCATCTCTTCACAGACAACAGACTCCAGACTCGCCCGAGCGCACCTGAGTCACGAACTCCGCGTTGATCTGGGACACTGTCGGGGCCACGATTTTCTTGGGCTGAGCAGAGGCCGTCATGGCTGCACTCTCCCTTCGCTCCAGAGGAAAAGAAAGGACCGCTCTGAGAAGCGGGAAACCCGCTGCACTTCCTCTAAAAGGCGGCTGCGGTTACCCAACTCCGAGATGCAAGAACCCGCGGGCCAGAATATCCTCCACTCTTACAACCCCACAAGGAACGTGTATAGCAGCCCGTCTTCTTCGGGAAGCGGAACAAAACAGGGCCGGAAGTACATACAGGTGTTGGCGCTGAGCTAGAGAGGCAAGGGCTTCGACCTCCCGCGCTCCTGCCCCCTAGCGGTAATCTGAGAGAAGACACCCAGTGAGACCGGATTGATGTCTCAGTGACCAGGTAGATGGTATTGGGTAAGAGCTTCCTGTGGGGGGCGGGAAGGGTCACTATCGATGTATAGATTATTATACTTTTTATAGAATTTTATAAATGTGAAATAATATAGTATGTACCTTTTTTCTTTTTTCACAACATAATGATTTTCAGATTCATCCGTGTTGATTCATGTATTAGTAGTTCATTCCTTGTTATTGCTGAATAGTATTCTATTTTATGGACATACCAGTTTGTTAATCTACTCACCTGTAGATGAATGTTTGAATTGTTTCCAGTTTTTGACTATTACAAATACTGCTGCTATGGGCATTCATATATATATATATATATATATATATATATACCTTAATGTAAACATGTATTGCCTTTTCTTTTAAGTAAATACCTAGGAGTGGTATGTTTAACTTTTTAAAGAAATTACCAGTTTTATAAAGTAGTTGCATCATTTTATGTTCATACCAGTAGTATATGAGTTCCAGTTCCTCCTCTTTCTCACCAACACTTGGTATGGTTACTCTTTAATTTTAGTTATTTTAATAGTTATGTGGTATATCTCATTGTAGCTTTAATTTGTATTTCCCTAATGACTAATAATGCTGAGTGTCTGTTCATGTGCTTACTATCCATCCATGTATGTTCTTTGTGGAAGCCTGCATTCAGATTGCCTATTTTTAAATTGGATTGCTTGTTTTCTTATTACTGAGTTTGAATGCATACCTCTACCATATCTCTAATAAACTTTCCCTGGATGAACACAGGCAAGAAACCGATGGAAAGAGAACAAGGAAAAGCTAGCTTTAGAAAGGTGGAGGAACATTATTATAATGACATATAGGATGAGAAAAGGAAGGAATTCAGACAGACATTACCGAGTGAAGAAAAGGGAAGTCTAGAGAGTACTGGATTGGTTTTGATCTCAACACATTAGAAGGGAAACTCATTCCAAGAGTGAATGAAAGGCCCTAAATGAAGTTATAGATTTACAGAAACTGTAAGAGTTTGTAATAATGCCTCCATTATTTTCTTTCATATATTCAGTATACATTTGAGGATGTAAAAACATTACATACACTGTTTTATATTGTATGTATGAAACATACAAAGATGCATTCCCTTGTTTTCCAGAAGCATGTAGTTTAGCTCAATGGTTCTCAAAGTGTAGACTCAATACAGCAATAACAGCTAACATGTATAAATGTAAATTTTTGGATCAAATCCAATACTGAATCAGAAAATCTGAGGGAGCAGCTCAACAATCTACGCTTTTAACAAGCCCTCTAGGAGATTCCAGTGCACACTAAAGTTTGAAAACCACTGATCAACAGTGACGATTAATAGAGTTATGAACAAAAAGCGGTGGGAGCACAGGGAATGGAGTACTTGGATAAATCAAAAGGGCTTCCAGAGGAAGCAGTGTTTTAAGCCCAAACATCATGAATAGAAGTTAGCTGATGCAGATGCAAAACATTACATGCTCCATATTCTGTTTAATAATACCATTGTACCACTTTTCTTTTTTCGTTAAGTTCTTTTTTTCCCCTCTAATAGAATTCTGTTCTCTAATAGAATAGTGCTAATAGAGTTCCAGCAGTTAGCTCTGAAATTTCTAAGCCCTTTAATTGGCAATAGGAGAAACCTCAACACCAAAGGAATTAAATGTTCCCTTTCACTAAAAAACAGATATTCTGCATCATGAAACAGTCCCTGCCAATGTTACTTCTAACAATGGATTCTTGTAAGATACTCAGACTTCAAAGGCTTTTGCTATCCCCTAAATATGTCTGTAATCCACATTGGTTATCTTACATAACATAAACTGAAATCTGTTTTCTGTAGGTTAAACACTATAGTTTTCTTCCATAATTATATTTGCTTTTCTTCCATAATTATGGAAGAAATAAAACCTGCCTCAACTAAATCTCTTCTTTGAAGAGAGTATTAGAGACTGTATCTAATTTAAATTAATACTAGGTAGACATGTAGACAAGATGGAGACAAGAATAACTAGAATGTGTATTGGAGGAACTAACTGTATGTTTAATACAAATCTGGAGAGGAAGGCCAAAAAGGATAAAAGGATAAGCAGATAGATCATGTGACATGCAATGGAGTTAACATAACCTTTTGGAAGTGATAAGGAGCTATCAAAAAAACATAACATGAACAGGAAAGTAAACGATTAACGATTCATGTTAGAAATTTCATTTGTAGAAGGCAGACTGGAGTGGGCTCAGGAAAGTGTTTGGCAATCAGTACTTGTTCTTTTATAATGTGATTTTCCCTTAAAAAAAAATCCAAACTGTGTAATTTGAAACTTTATTTTCAAAATACTCTGAAATTTGAATTTTCCAAGAATCTTTACCACCATCTTCTTTCCTTCAACATACATTTTGTCCTAAAAGTATAGGCCCTATTGCAGTGAAAACAAGAAACAGTAATTCCACTAACTCCATCAATCAAACTACTTCAGTAAATAATCATGCTACAGCCTGGAACTGCTCAAACGAAAAATTCCTCTACTTTGCTTTAAAGATATTTAGAAGTTTATTTTTTCAGAAAACCAAAGTAATTGATTCAACAATAATAACAGTTCTAGCATGCAGCAAACCATCGTTTAACATCTAATGTTCAATCTTCTTATCATGGATGTATGCAGTTTATTTTCATTCCTATAAAGTTTCCACAAGAAGCTTACAGTGATGATAAAAGTAAATAAGTATTTTGTTACAGGTACTTCAAATAGCACTACAGTATATCTTTGACAAAATTTTTACAATATGCCAACTTTCAATATGAAACAGCTTAAAAAGGCATGGGCCAAAAAAAAATTATAGTAGTTATCACTTAGGCAAATAAAGTCTAATAGTCATACAACTACAACACTGTTAGGATTTTCCCTGTTTGGGTTGGGAAAGGAGTATGTGAGACACTTACTTCAAATAAAATTACATGAATAGTTTAGGAAAATCCTCAAATACATAATTTTAGAAATATTACAGAAAAAAACCTTGAATCTTTATTCTTGAAAAATATGAACTTGTTATTCCTTGTTTTTACGTAATAGATGTGTTCTTGAAAAGTTCTGTGGAAAGCAAATTTTGTAAACCATCATCTTGCTTGCACTGGAGGAATATATCTCAAGGAAATCTAAAATAAATTATTCTTTAAAACATATGATTCTCCTGCACATTTGTATATCGTTGGGATTTTATCGGTAATGTTATGTTTAATCTCTATAAATTAAACCCAAGTTTATCAAAATTCACTTGTAAAAGAAGCAGATGAACATCTCCCTCCTTCCCCCAGCACAGACTGTTTTTAGATTACGATGCAAAACTTAAAATTGTACATTTATTCATTCTCAATAGAGGGCTTGTCATTATGTATATCTAACTGTGCTAGGATAAATGCCCACTTGTTTCTTTCACCTTAGAAAGAAAAAGATTATTTTCTCTTATTCCTAGGATATGTCATTCTTAAAGATGTTTTATTAAAACTGGCAAATATGCAGGACAATTTATGATTACATCTTTTACAGTTGAAGATTTAAATATTTCCCAAATTATGACAGTACCATTTAGAATGATACCCTCAATTCTATAAGCATCTTATTCCAACCTTACTAACTAAATTGACAATTTACTAATGATCAAAATAACATTCTTTAACGTTAGAGTCTTGCAAAAAACAGAGGAATAAAAACTAGAACTAGACAGTCAATGCCATTTGATCAAACTTAAACAGAATAGATTGTTAAGTCATAGGACCACTCAAAGAGATATTAAAAGAAAGTTTTACTAAAGTAAATGTAAAAGTCTTGTGGAGATGTAGAACTACTGATGAGTCTTAAGTCTACAACTACTGCTATCAAACACTAATAAGCAAGTAGTTGAATTGCATTTATTCCTCTGAAAAGATAACACTGCATACACATCATCAAACAGATCATGGCACTTGGACAATATTTCCAATAAGTAAACATGGTAAATGTATAGAGGTGCATCCTAGCCTCTCTCCTACTTCAAACTTTGGAGGGAAAGATAACAGCAGGCTGGGCAAGAAAACAATTCAAATCACCTGTAGAATAGGAGGTGCTGCTGCCAGAGTCCTAAGAGTAAATAGCTTGGAAAAGACCAATGGAAATAATGCTGTTATTTCCTCACCCATTTTCACTTCTATTGCCTTTACATTTTTTAAATTATAAGAAAAATTTTGCGATGGAATTTCAGCTATAGGTATAAAATACATGAAATAAAGTGGGGTTATCCACTGTGGCCAAAACCCAATTTTTGCCTCTCAAGTCTTTTGAGTATATATAAAAGGAGATGGCATGTCTTAAGGAATAATTCCTTTAAATATGAGGCTGAATGATTTGTATATCATGGATTCACAACATTTTCAATACAGCCAAGTATATATTAAAATAAAATAAACGCTTGCTTTATGGCATCAAATCAAGTTCCTCCCTCTAAAAATTAATTTGGCTGTTCCTAAAACATTGTATTAAATTTCTATGTATCTTACCTCTTACTATGCAGGACAAGCAATTGCCTATGAAATCATTCAATATAATGTAGGTCTTTTGATAAAAATACATTTTAAGTGATACAGGCTTAAACAGCAAGTGACGACAAATGTGTTAGTGGTTTTGTCAGTTACATAACTGAATTTAAGACCACCGTTTTCTCTTGTGGTCATTCCTTAAAGTGAGTAAGTTGGTGTCTCTTCCAGTGAGGAGCCTGTCTGAATGTTTTGCCACAAACGGAGCATTCGAACGGCTTCTGCCCCGCATGAATTAGATAGTGTCTTTCAAGTTTAGATGGGGATCTAAAACTTTTAGAACAAACACTGCATTGGTAAAGAAGACCATCATTCCTCTTGGCATGCCCTGAATAACTACAACAATGACTGTGATGGCCCTGCTCTGATTCCAGAAGCGCGCTAGAGAGATAGGGCTGCCTGTTTCTATAGGGGGTACCAAGAATGAAATCCTCTGATTCTGCCTTAACTTTGATTTCTGGTATTTGATCTGACTCTGAAACCTCATATTTTTGAAAACCAGGAGTCAGACATGGTTGGGAAGCATTATAATTAACATTATCACCCTGATGAATGAAAAGTTTGTTCAAATTTTCAAATTCTACTTGGCAAAGAGATTTTCTATATGGAATCTTATCACTATGAGTTAATTTATGTCTTTTCAAGTGAGCTGACTGTCTAAAAGATTTCCCACAAACAGTACAGCCAAAAGGCCTCTGTCCAGTATGAATTAAATAGTGTCTTTGTAGTTTAGATACAGAAGGAAACACTTTCTCACATTTGTCACAGGGACACATCTTATGTCCAGTATGTATGTTTTCACTTGGAACTGAAAAACCACACTGAAGCACTTCACAGTTATCAAAAAATTCCTCACCTGATGATCCATAGACAGATATGTCTTTATTATTCATGGAATTATCCATAGTTAACATGTTCTCTGGCGTAAAGATACCTTTTAAATTCTTTCCCATATTTTGGCTCTGGAAGTGCTTTTGCCAAGAAAATGGCAAAGTCAATGTTTTCTTCTTTTTATTGCCAACTGTCTTATATGTTCCATGTTTGCCCAGAGAACCCATAAATGTTCTCTGGGTTTGTTCAGGGCTCTGCTCGTCTGAAATAAGATCACAATTTTTCAAGAAACCGTTTCTAAATACTTTTTTCTCTGATCGAAAATTGTCTAATTTCTTACACCCAGCACGTTTAAGCTTAGCCAAGATTTTTTTAACAATGGTTTTATAGTTGTAGCTTCTTTTGAGCCTGCTTGGAATTTTGCCACCTTTGGCAGGAAAACACTTGTGTCCATTGAGAATCTGCTCTGATTCAAAACATTCTTCACACTCTGGACATTGAAAAGGGACAATATAAATGGAGTGGACATCAAGATGATTATTCTCCTCGGGTTCACCTATATCACCATTTTCAAAGCCATCCTGCTTTGCATTTAATTTATTAGGCAGGGGGCATGATTCTGGACTCTTCACCTTCAATGAAAGAGTCTGAAAAGTCTTATTCCTGGTATGGATCTGTTTATGCTTCAGAAGTTTGCTTTGAATCTTAAATCCTTTTTGACAAAAACAGCATTGAAAAGGTCTTTCTTCAGAATGCGTGAGTTGGTGGATTTTTAAGTGAGTTGACTGTCGAAAAGATTTACTGCACAGGACACATTTAAAAGGCCTCTGACCAGTATGAATAAGTGCATGCCTATCAAGTTTTGATTGTGATGGAAACATCTTGCCACAGATTGTACATGCGTGAATGTTCTTTTTTTTCTTTGTAGGGCTGTAGGTAGGATCAGACTTGGAGCATGGGTGTAATGCCCATCTCTCCTCTGTGGTAAGAGTCTGATACATTCCATGCGCTGGTTTTTCTTGCTTGGCCTCCAACAATCTTCTGACCTGTTTCACATCATTCTGGTAAGTTTCATTGTGAAGCTGTTGGTGCTTCACAAATGTCTTCAGATTCTTAAAGTGGCGTTGACAAATACTACATTTAAAGGGCAGATTATGAGTTAGTTGATGTCTCTCCAGGTGAACTAGTTGCCTAAATGTTTTATGACACACATCACATTCAAATGGCTTTTGACCAGTATGAATGAGATAATGCCTAGCTAATTTTGATGGTGTTTCGAAATGCTTGAAGCAAATATTGCAAATATACGGCCTGTTTCTAGGTAGTTTGTTGGCTACTACACACTGTTGAATCTTTAGCATTTTAAAATTGTTTTCAGCCATCATATTCTTCAGTGATATATTCTGGTGAGCTCCATAGTGTTCTTAAACTCCACAGATGTCTAAAAATAAAAAATAAAAATGTATTAAAAATTACTTATTCATATGAGAAGAAATAATTTAAGTTGTCATTTGGTTAAAGATATCAAGGGTAATAAGGAACCTAGACTCTATATAATTTTAAGCTATATTTCTAGTTAACTGAGATGATATATTAAAAGGGAATTGAGTTGAATTTTATAATATCAAATAGAGCTTTAAATTCCTTTTAATTTTCCTAGCTCAGTATTAAGTAGATTTGTCATATTTAGTTGCTTTGTCACTTTTCAAAATTGGGCTAGAAAGGTAAAGAATGTAAGAAATAAAACATAATACTAAAAATAAGATATGTTTGCATTCAATTCCAACATACCCTGGACATGATCTGAGAATGGAATATTTCAGTTATCAGTGTTCTTAGCCACATCATTAATATTATTTACTCTCAATTATTTCTTTGGGCCAACAAAGATGACATGGACAGCTGGGAGCAAATGTCCTAGGAAACCTGGATTCTAGTCCTGGATTTGCTACTACGTGATTTTGGTGACAAGAAGAAGGAAATACAAATTCCTCATCTCTAAATTGGGGAAAATGCCTCCTGGCCTGCCTATCACATCAAGATGTTGTGAGAATCAATGGAGATAACGCATCTCAACGTGTTGCAAAACTGGAATGATATATAAATGTAAGGTATTACTTTGCTCAACGTTAACCAAATTTTAAAACTTTATCTACTGAATACTTTAGGGTTTCTAACTAAGAGAGAAACACACTAACAAAATTTACAGTTCTTTTTATTTCTCCTCTCCACTCTGAGGTAGAATTCCTAAAATATGTACAGAGGCAATGAGGTTGACAGATTGGCTACTTATATACTCATCTATGGCTAAGTAATTGAAAGTTGAGTGTGGTTCACTTCTCAGGCCATATGATAAAAGGGTCATTTTGTTCTCAGAGTTACTATAAAGATAAAGATACTTTTCCTAATATACCTCTGTAGGACACATGCAAAGGTTTACCAGGAACTTTCACAACCATTTTGTGCCCTATCTTCTCCTATCAGAGAAGCCAATTTTCTTCTCATCCTTCTTCTACTACTGCATTTTCCTTAAATAAGGGAGCCAGAGATTTAAACTAAAAAACAAAACAAAACAAAACAAAACAAAAAAACCCTGTTATAGCTCTCACAGTTTTTTTTTTTTGGTCAGCTGATTTGGTGCATATCCAACATAATTACTGTGTGCTATTTACTGTTTTCTTATAGAGGACACCTTAAACATAAAATCAAACACATCCATTGTAGTTCTCTTCAGCAATCTAACTTTAAAATAGAAAAAAATATATCATTTATTGAGCAAATCATCTTCTACTAGTGGTTTTACCACAGTGTTTTTCAAACTGCATATCACCACCCATTAACAGATTGTGGAATCAACTGAATGGGCCATGGTCAGCATTTTTACTTAATAAAATAGCATAGAAAATATCAGATTGCATAACATATAGTAAGGATAAATACTGTTTTGTGAAACTTCTGTAGGAAGAGGTTAAAAAGTTGGTGAAACCTGCTCCTGGCATATCTCTTCACACAACACTAGACAGAGGAATCCACAACAAATAATCACTTTATTCAAAGTGGCCAAGTAAATCTATTAGGTAAGATTGGGACCCATAGGATGAGACAGGTTTACTAAGGACTACTCATTTTCTTCAGTTGGCCACATATAAACCCAAAATATATATTTAAAAAATTCAGTTAGAGGCCAAAGGTAATATGCCACACAGATAATCTGACTGCAAACCACTATATTAATTTATAAAATACACATATAACCCAGATACCCATGTTAGCAACAATCCTGGTATTAGTATGCATTTTCATAACACTGAGTTAGAGAAATTCTAGGTACAGAGCCTCCAAATCCCTAAAGTGCTAACACAGCAACAGTTACAAGGATTAAAATTAAGTCATGAATCCAGTGAACTGCCAAGAACTTGGCAATTTAATTCCTGTCAAGCAGTCAGGTATTGCGGTGGTCAATTAGGACAATGAGCCAAGCTGAAAGTAATAATCGTCTTTACTCACTTACTCCTAACAGTGCAAGCAAGAGGCAAAAAATTACTAGTTCCGCAGTGGTCCATTAAACGAAACACCACCAGGTGAGGGTTAGGTGGAAGCAATGCACACAATCATCTGCCAGCAGAGGACAAACAAAAGGCTTCTGCCTCGTTATGGACCTGTGGGCCAGAGGAGGAGGAAGGGTTATGAGTGGAAAGGTCCTGAGTCAAAATGGAGAAAAGTACCTCAGCCAAGGCTCCTTCCACTGTGTTCCCGGCTCCCCTTGCAAGGAGGCACCTGGGAAGTACCTGGGCCAAGGCCTTTAGAATGGAAATATCTGAGCCAGGAATGCAGTATAGTATGAGCATGGCCAGTGGGAGGGAAGGAGTGAGTCCTTGCAACTCCCTCCAGGAAACTGCAATGCACTGGCCATGCACAAGTCTGTTGTGGGGAGAGCAGTTTCTCCCCATGAGGCCAGCCAGGCAAAACCATGCAATTGTATATGGTCGGGCCTGAAAGATCACACACAGGATTTTGGCCAGGAGCCACATCCTCAATTCTTATTGTGTATTTCTTCTTCCGTTTTGTAGTTTCTATGGAGCAGTCTTGAAAAAATTCCCATGCTAATACCACACACATGACAACCATCTCTGATTGTAACAGGAATTGACTACTTACAGTTACTGTGCCAAAAAAGACTATGGCTTATCACCTAACACTAGCACTAAGACTGGATACTCTTGTCACTTGCGTTCACACCATGTGGGAAAGCATTTATTGGAAGCCCTATATTGTTAGAATCATTGGTGGCAAGCGGTGATCTCATACGTTATTTATAGGTGACAGCTCAGGGATCCCCAAACTCCAAGTGCAGTCCCACACGCACTTAAACACATGCACATTAACTTGATAGAGCTCCAAATCTCACTTCAACTGATCCTGTGTTCTCAAATGATCTTGTTGGTAATAGTTTAAAAAACAAACCCAACATTGTGTAATTTTTCCTATGTTCAAGTGAAAATAAAAAATGGTAAATCTCAATGGTTCAATCCAAAGATTATCCTGACAATAGCAAGATACATTCCATCGGAAGACTGTAAAAACTGATCTCAACAAAATTTCACTGATACTTCAAGGATAAAAGCCTGTGGGTTTTCCAGTCTTAACGAATACCATTAAAACAAAGTGAGGATATCACAAAAGTAAATGAACAAGAAACACAAGGACTGAGATAAACTTAAGACAACTTTCAGTTAGGGAATAATCTCGGGCGACATTTGTCACAGCCTTTCCCTCTTGGTAGCTTCTTCTGCCCCACTTCCCCGAGCCCACTCTCCTGGCCTTGAACTCTCCCAGAAGGATTGCACAGGACACAGGATCCTGACAACTGGCCCTCGCCCTAATCGCCCACAACCTGTAAGCACCTAGGAGTCCAGCCAGAGTCCAGAGACTGCAAAATCCCACACCAGGAAAGGAACAGCAAGAGCGAAACACTGCTTTGGCCACAGCGAGGGGGGAAAATGCCCACATGTGATATAACCCACTGCAGAGGAACGTATCCTCTCTGCGCCTTTCTCTCAGGGATTCCCTTTCCCCACGAGACGCAGTCAGGAGGCGGGGAAGTGGGAAAGGCAAAGGAGCTGAGGTCGTAGCGCCCCCGTTCTGGGCAGTTTGGAAGGATCGAGGCAAGCCCGACCCTTCCGAGGGGTCGCTCCACCTCACACCCGGGTTCCTGAAACCCTCCTCACGCACCTGGAGCTGGTACAGGCCCGGTAACCGCGCATCTCAGAGCCCAAGAACCGCGAAGGCAGCGTGCGCACGTCCTCGGGGCCGGCGCGGCGACGGGCTGAGTGCGCAGGCGCGGAGCTCGGGAGCGTCGCGGGACGCGGTCCGGCTGGAAACAGGCTCTCCCCACCCCAGGGCCGCAGTCTCTTCGACTCAGTCTGCGAGTCTCAGGGGGAAAAGGAGCTCCAGAGGTGCGCCCCCAATTCCAGCGCTCTTCTCCTCGCACCGTAATTGCGGGAGGAGAGAAAATAGGAGTGAGGAAAGGTGCATTTTCCGTCTCACCTCAGGCCTCCGCTAAGGAAACCGTGTAGTCCTGACCAGTGGGCTCAAGGCCCTACTGGAAACTGGTGAGCCTGGGTTCAAAGCCCACTTTTCTAGTCCTCTTTCATGCCGAGGGCCCAGCATAAAACTCCATGTATCGGGGCCTTTCTGTGCCAGCACTGTCCTGGGCACTCTGTACATTGTCTGTACAGGGGTCAGGGACTTGGGCATTGGGCATTGCGGTCAGATATACCTGGACTCCACTCCCGGCTCTACCAGTGTCTTGCCAGCAGTGGACTTTCTTAGCTTCTCTGAGCTTAATTCATTCGATGTATTTTGGTTATCTACAGTGTACAAAGCCCTGTGCTCAGCGTCTTAGTTTCTTCAAATTGCTCTGAAAATTAGATGAAATGGATATAAAGTGCCCAGCATAATGCCTAGTACATAATAAGTCCCTCCCAAATAACTTACCATTTATTAACTACTATTTTATATTAAATATAACAACTTTATAAAGTGATAAAATCTCATTTTAAAATGAGGAAATTAAGACTGAGACGTTAAGGAGCTTAACTTTGCACAGCTGATGAACGATGGAGGTGGGATTTGAACGCAGGTGGTCCTGCACTTTAAAAATTCTCTACTGCTTCCTAAATTGTAGCTATCTCAACATTTTACGTAGACACGTTAAGGGTTAAATGTTGTCGTACAGTTACAAATTACTGAATAAGGTGCTTGGGTAGCTACTGAAGATTTTATACAAAAGTCATTAGAGAAGAATTTTTTGTGGATTTTTGTAGGTTCTGATTGCAACTGTCTCAGCTTATGAGGAAACAAGAACAAGTAACGAGCACACTTTTCAACTGTAAGTAACTTTTTACATTACTTTTCAAGGACCATTGACAACAAAAATTGTTATTTCTAATTTTGGTATATGTGCTTCTAAAAAGGGAGAAGTTGGACCAATAAAAGTCTCTATCTTTGATGTGGTACCATGAGGAAACAGCTAATAGGAAATAAGCCTTTGCTTCTCATGAAGCAACCTTGGAGGAATCCCATTTGGGAAAGGTTGAAGCCCCTACCTCCATCAGAAGTAGAGACGGAGAGAGGAGAGGAAAAGCTTTAGGTATCCTGAATGCTAATCCCAGGGTGGAGATGCTGATTGCTCAGACTTGCTTCATTCTGTGGCTTCTCCTGGAAGCTCAGCTGAGTCTAACAAATGTATCCATCACTAGCCACTTAAGTCCTTAGGAGATAAATGCAGATCATAAGAGACTATTACCTGAGGTTGGGGACCAATAGAGGGTGCATTATCTGCAAAATGGATAGGCCTTTGCATCAAGAGCCTGAACATGGAGTCTGGAACACAAATGGAACATGGATAGGCTATTCTCCAAGTTCACATTACCTACCTCATAACCTCCCCCATTTACCCTGAGAGCTATCTCAGGAATCCTCTGTTTAAAAAAAAAGGAAGAAATTACTGTGAATAAGAGTCATCTGGAAGATTGATAGTAATGGGTGCAATTTGAATAATAGAAAACAGGTGAGGCAGGATAGACCATTGTAGGGAGGGATGATAGTAGTGATGAGGGAAAATAAAGGAATGGCTTGGCATGTGTTTGGGTTAGTATCTTATCTCTGCAGCTTACTAAGTGTGTCCTTAAAAGTTACTTGACCTTTCTAAACCTCTGTTTCCTCATCTTTAAAGTAAGGGTATAATCAGTCATTCATTTATTCATTGACATATCATGTACCAAGCACAAAGGATTCATTTCTAAGTATATAAAAATGAAACATGAGGCCCTTGACTTCAATGTAGTTTTCAGCTCAACTTACAAAGAAGTACAATATAAGAGAAAATATATACAGGGAAAGAGTGGGAAGCAGGACTATCTAAAGCTACTTGGAGGCTTCAGGTGAAAATGATCTTTGAGCTGAGGTTTTAATAATCCATCCATCTATCTTACATATATTTTATTAAGTGCTTGCTGTGTGCCAAACCCTATTCTAGGTACTGGAGATAGAGTAGTGGACAAATTAAAAAGTCAAAAATCCCCGTCTACCTAGAGATTATAGTTCATATTTTATATATTTATATGTCTGCTGAGGGAGACAGACAATAAGTTAAATAAGTAAAATGTATGTTAGGTATTGCTAAGAACTAAGGAGAAAAAAATAAGCATAGGAGGGGGCTTGTTGGCATTTTAGTAGATGGCCAGGGATGACCTTACTGAGATGTTCTGTGATTTTTGAGTTGAGCCCTAGAGAAAAGAGTCAGTGTTGCTCATTCGTACTCCATGTTTAAAGCATCCACTGCTCACCAGGCACTTTGCAAGAAGCTGGGAGAGGCCTTAAATGCCTTGCAATGGTTTTCTTCTTTCTTTTAATCCAGTAGGCAATGGGAAGTTATTGAAGAATCTTGATCACAGGTATGGTGTGCTTAGATTTGTGTCTTAGAAAACTCAGAAGTTTTATGGATAATGAAACAGAGGAGGCAGATTAGAATAGTCATGCTGTCAGCTGGGGGCTTCCTACTCCTTGAGTATCTGGTTATGTTGGATGAAAATCCCACTCTGTGGCCTGAGATAGTCTTCGTGATACCTGTGAATTCTCACAGCCTGCTCCTAGTGTGTGCCTGTCCTCTGTAGTCCTTAACCTTTAGGACTACCTGTCTCCTTTTTAGCAATAACAAATTGAATGTAGACCTTCATCAGTTTCTAGAAAAACACCCACTCATACTTAGTGGGTGTGGGTATGTGCCTAAATGATTCTTTACTGAAGATTTAGGAGTCGCTACAGGATAGAGCTTCAACTGAAAGTATTTGGGGCCTTGGGAGCAAGTCAGCCGACACCAAGTGCATCCAAGATAATTGCATTTGAAAGGAGTCCACACTTTTAGCATCTTTTGTATACCTTTTGGAATATTTTAAAGGCAGAAAATTTGAAACTGAATTTTTAAAAATTAGATTTGATTTACAATATTATATTAATTTCAGATGTACAGCATGGTGATTCAGTATTTTTACAGATTATACTCCATTAAAAGTTATTGTATGATAATGGCTATAATTACCTGTACTATACAATCTATTCTTGTTGCTTATCTATTTTATACATAGTAGTTTGTATCTCTTAATTCCATACCCCTAATTTGCCCCTCGCTTCTCCCTCCTTTGGTAACCACTAGTTTGTTTTTTATGCCTGTGAGCCTGTTTCTGTTTTGCATTAAACAGAATGCAAAGCATTAAATATGTTAAACATTATGCATTAACATAATATGTTCATTTGGATTATTTCTTAGATTACACATATAAATGATGTCATACAGTATTTGTCTCTCTCTGTCTGAATGGTTTCACTAAGCATTATACCCTCCAGGTCCATCCATGTTGTCACAAATGGCAACATTTCACTCTTTTTATGACTGAGAAATATTCCATTGTGTGTGTGTGTGTATATATATATACACATATATAGATATATATATTCATTGTGTGTGTTTGTGTGTGTGTGTGTATCTCACATCTTCTTTTTCCATTCATCTGTTTTTGGGTTGCTTCCGTATCTTGGCTATTGTAAGCAATGCTTCTGTGAACATTGGGGTGGATATATCTTTTTGAATTAGTGGTTTTCAAAGAATTTTTCTAACAAAGACAGCTCTCCCTTTCTAAGAGGAGTTTTGGTGAATAAAATCTCTTATTATATATTTCTAAGATGATTTTTGGTGAATAAAAATCTTCTCCTTATGTATTTCCTCGAGAGAAACGTTTTCAATCTCTTGTGTGTTTTGCTATGTGACTTCAGAGGGAATGGTGGCAGGGGCTGGGGTTGGGGAGTGGTCAGTTGAGATCAGAAGGTGAAACAGTACCTCTGTATTTTACTTAAGGTAGTTGGACCACCTGCACCTCACAGGCTAGTACCAGTCTCCTAAAGGGTTTCTGGAACTTTTCTCTAAAGCTCCACTGGTGATAATGCCTACCGGATTGCTGGATCTAGTTAGGTAGCAGCATCTCACCCCACTCCCCATATGTTGGTTTAAGTTCAGTAGCACTGGGGTGCTAGAGTTACCCTAAAGGCAAGCAAGATTCTTAATATAGGACTTTGACCACATTTGTTCACCCTTTGTGTCAGGGCTGACAACCAGATCTTCACTGACTTCACTGATTATGGAGACCTCTTCAACTACTTGAATACCACGGTCTGGGCTAACCAAGGAGGGAGGGTAGAGCTTTGGTATTACCAAGCTTTTTTGTTTATGAGGTCAGGAGAGCCTGACACTATGACCTTTCTCCTGTTTCCGGAGGACAGTGATAGAGTTCTTCTCACAGGCACATCAAAAAAAAAAAAAAAAAAAAAAGAAAGAAAAAAAAATGCCCATCTTCATAAGAGCCAGAACACATGAAGGTATTTCTCTTCTTAGTCCCCAACCCCAAGTGGTGCCATGGGTTTTAAAGCAGTCTCCAGTGGCTGCTAGATTCCAGGAGCAAATATGTGAGAGATTGCTGTCTCTTGTTTTAGGACCTGGCTTCCCAACTAATACAAATACAGTAGTCATGGTTGGTGTTTAAGGCCTAGGGTTTTTCTAGTGTGTTCTCTGACCCAAAGTAAGGATGTCACTTACTCCATAGTCAGGAGGCTTTGGTAGTTTGAAATCTGAACTTGGGTGGCTGAACTCCACACTCTGCACGCCTTTATTTCTAATCCTTAGCAGTTTCCTCTCTTCTTCTCCATAAAGGAGGAATAGTAGCTTCTTTAAGAGCAAGGAGTGGGAAGGATAACTCATGTTTTCACAAGATGTTCTGAGCTTCTCCTGTAATACTTCGCTTTAAGTTCCTCCTATAGCAACTCTCTCCAACAAGCCTAATTTTTCCAAACTGCTTTCCGATAGCAATGTGGGATGCTTTGTGACATAATCCGCTTCAGTTTTAGCACAAATGCAAAGGTCATTTCTCCTTCCAGCTGTTACAGTGTCAAAAATCTGACTTACAAATCCAGGCAATTTACCACAGTGTCCAGTGCTATTGAGCAGTCAGCTACCCAGCGTATGCACTGGAAGCTTTGTGATCACATAAATTCCTAATTCTGGATCCTGCAAACTTTCAATTAATTATTGTCCAATTCCCAACTGTCATTGCTCTAACAGTTCAGGGAATGTAGAAATTCTCCTTTCTGCATTACCTGAAAATGTCTGTATTTCTTGTGGCATATAGCATTTACTAGGTGTCCTAATAGTTCCAAGTTCAAATCTCCAAGGGGCCCTGTCTCAGTAGAAGCAGGAGTAATAGGAATCTTTCATTAGCCCTGTAATGAGTTACCTTGCGCCCCCTCTAAAAGATATATTCAAGTCCTAACCCCGGGAACCTGTGAATGGGACTTTATTTGAAAATAGAGTCTTTGCATATACAATGAATGATTTTGATATGAAATTATCCTGGGCTTACAGTAGACCCTAAATCCAATGATGATTGGCCTCATAAGAAAAGGAAGGACACAGAGAGATATGTAGCACACAGAAGAAGGCCATGTGAAGACAGAGATAGGAATGACCTCCTTGTGGTTAAGGCACAGGTAGAAGGCTAGTGGCTCAAGATTGGTGCTCAAGGAGGAAGTGGTACAGAATGAACTGAACTCAGAGAATGTTAGGGGTCAGATCTTGCGCAGAATTACTGTAAACCATGGTAAAGAGTTTGGATTTTGTTCTAGCTGCATGGGGATGCTTTTGGAGGGTTTTAGGAAGAAAAAATGGTCTGACTTGAATTTTTCCATGGTATCTACCGCTGCCATGCTGGAGTTAATTGAAGGGTTGTGGAGGATTTGTATGGTGTTAGTTTAGCTAAATCAGAGTTATGTTTCTCTCAGTAT